AAAGTTGGTATCGTCAAAGGATAGGTACTCCTTAAATATTATGAAAAGTCTAAATATTTTAAAATATTGGCTTTACTACACTTACAAATTCCAAAAATCGGAATTTTGAATACATGCGAAATTTAACCAAAAATTGGGGTGGACACGATTAGTGAATCATTCTGTATAATATATAATATTTAAACTTCAGATGTTTATATATTTATCATATTTGTTTATAACATCTAAATTAATGCAGAGTAAAATAGAAATTGATTCATCACTCAGAGAATTCAAATTACCAATTTAATTTTGCATATTTTTGCATATTTGTTCGATTTTTACTCCCTAATCATATTTTTATATTCATCATGCTTTTAATGCATATTTGAAGTTTTTCATAATATATAATGTTGGCACAACGATTATTTTTACCAAACCTGGAACATCCTGCGATAGTACTTCTCGATACAATATTAGTTGTCGCGATAAATTTATGTCAATTTTTCAATTGTTTATTGTGTTCCACGTTTCATTCGTTTCGTTTTCGTCCGAAGTGAGATTCTATGTTATTTAAAGCTTTATAGCTATTTGGTTTAAAATGCCGAAAACTTCCAAATTGTCGCGACTACGTATTTTTGTTTCAGAATTAATTTAAATGTTTTATTACCGATGCAATTGTTTGTACTATACATTGTGCAATAGGTACTTTAGTAAATGGTGATCGACGGTTTTAAGTGCTTCAGCATATTAATATAAACAAAAATATTAAAAGTTTCAAAGATAAATTTTTGTCAACAATAATTTTATTGGTGCATATTTTAAAAAAAATTCTAAGCATATTTTTATACTTTATAATGCATAATTTTTAATTTTTTTGAGTATAAACATCCGTTCTCTATAATAATATTCATATTAAACATATTATGATTATATATATTATTATATGTATTGTATGTAGAGCGCCGATTTCTATTCAATTGCATATTTTTTTCCTTTTCACATTTTTGGATTTTTGTCAGTAACCTTTACGAATCATAATAGTTTGAAGTTACTGATGACATTTTTTTTTTTTTTGTATATTTCTGCATATTTAATAGTTATTGAATATTTTTGGATATTTTTACGAAATTCAAAATGTATTGTATATTGAAGCAAAATTTAAAAAAAGAAGTATAAAATAATATTTTGTTGAGTGAAAAAAATCAAAAATAAATTTTGTAGGCATTAAATAGTAATTGAAATAAAGATAAGATAACTAAACGATTACGACCTAAATTTTTATATCTATAATCTTAATCGCTCTTGCTGTGTCGGTCAGTTATCGATATACCACTTTAACCGACACACCGTTTAGTTTGTTATGTAAATAATTGAACATTTATTGCATATTTGTACGGTTTTAGAAGAGCTCCACTGTGAAGATCCAGGCGTTCACAAGAATTTTCTGTGAATGACGCCAGATATTTTTGATAGTCTGTTGGGTCTTTTTAAAAAACAACAACAATAAACATATGGTGTAACCAAAATGCATCTTCACCGGTGCAGTGGTGTAACCGGAATTTCAACATGTCATAGGCTTGTGGTTCATTGCCTATCATGCCACCCTATCGATACGCCACTGATCATCACTGTACACTAGCTGGATCATTACTATCTTATCCATCTACACAAAGCCGTACACGAAGCTAGTCGGTGGTGGAGGGGATTACTATCGCCAAAAGTAGAACGACATCCTAGTTGCCTATATTAACTTGATACGCTAGCTTTCTAGTTTCTACAATAGCTTCCTAGCTTAAAAACGAAACAAGTTCTATTCACGTGAAACTAAAATTACGAGCTTTCTAGCTTACTAGCCCTAACTTACTATGCTTACGTGCACCGGGCATGAGCAAATTCTATCCCGCTTGGTCGCCGGAAATCGGCCCCAAACCGTTGATCGTCGGCCATGGCTCGGTAATAGGTCTTTAAGTGAATAAGCTACAAAAGGAGTCGTGCAACTTGAACAAAGCCTCTTGTTTTACGCAGGATATCCTATTCTAGTAACTTAAATACTAGATCAGTTGTACCAATCTAGTAACTAAGTGTTGGGTCTATATTCATTGTACTTTCATTCTAATATCAAGTTCGTTAATTGTAATTCGTTTAATTAATTCGTGTTAATAAAACGTCTTTTTCTTTTACTTATAATCAGTATTTTTCTGTGTACGACCCCACACCTGTGTGAGACGGGAATAGATTGTTTTAATAAAATTGTGGATTTGTTTTCGTGAGTCATACACATCCATGATGCAATATAATATGCACGTGTAATGTGTTCGTAACGTTTTGAAACTAAATAATTTTTTATTTAAATTTGTTTATTATAAACAAAAAAAAATGTATATAGGTAACTGATGACAGTAAAGTTTTGCACAAACATTATTTTAACCGTAACTCTTCTTAATTCGATGAGTTGACGAAAATATTTCACTTTTTTTAAAACACTATCATTCATAACTAAATGTATGATCGGATGTTTAGTCGCTCTAGTAATAACTAATAATATTTATCAAAATTATTATTATTGGTATTTTCTTTATTAGAACATACATTTTGATAGACTGTCCCTATTGTATAATATATATCTGCGTTAAACCACAATAATTATATATAATAATGGCCGCTTCTATGTGATAAAAAATAAATAACTCTGGTTGAATTTTTTTACAGACGGATCGAAGTAATAAAAGTTGAGTTGAATTGCAATATGAATTTCACAATGTTAATATTATATTATCACGGTACCTATAATTCATTCCCGTTTTCGTTTTTGATTTTGTTTTAATATGTTTTTGTTTTTTTAAAAACGTGTTCAAAAAGTTTTACAACTAGGATTTAAATACAAGAAATAAACGATTTATAGGAAAGTCGATCTTTATCTATTATTTAGTTATATTATTTCTGTAAAGCTATACCGTGCGAATATATATTCACTTATGCCAGATCCAAATAAGGGCGTATGGGTTATAGATCTACTATGAGATGTATGATACGTATTCAACAGAATCCGTACTGGACACGGGAATGATGTACATATAGGGTTAGGTTAAGCAAGAATAGCCCTGCGTGCGACAGTGATTATAACAACCAAACCATATTCTGATAGATTGCGCAAAGAAGAAGTTTATTTTTCAACGTTTTAAAGGAATGCATGTATGCAGTGAATACCAATGTACAGTGGCGTAACCAAAATTTATTAATGGGGAGAGGGGTAGAGAATCTTGGGAAGTTTAGGGGTCTACAACCTTCTTAACCTTAACTATTGGTGAAAAAAGATCATCGGTGAGGGGTTAGGCCCCCCTGACTACGCCGCTATACCGATGCAATGGGATTGATCCAAGAATTAAACATTATCCTATAATAAACTGTGAATTATATAACTATGTATTTATTATTATTAGTAGTATCATTAGCATTTTGATATTTTTATTTTTAGATTCTGAGCGTGACAAGGAATGTATTGATTTTACTATGACATGTGAGTTTTTTTTCTGTCTATATAAAAAAACTTTTCTAACAGAAATCGTGCTCCGAACAAAAAATAACAAGAGACCTTTATTGTGGCATTTTGGGTCTAATTGGAGCATTTAAGAAGTCTTTTTTTGATTTCCCAAAGGATTTTCATAATAATAGGGAAAAATCAAAAACAAAATTATGGGAAAACCGAACAAATATTAATGGCGCAGCGTTATAAATTTCATTCTTTTAAATTTTATGATTTATGTTTTCTACCAGAAATCTTGCTTTAATCAAAAAATGTTTTTATTATTTTTACTACATTTGACTTATATTTTCGACTCACATTATAAATGTTTATATCACCATTGATAATCACAACGATTTTATTGATCAGAATTTGTCCATATCCCATTACCATCCATATCTTATATTTATTGGTATTAATTGTATACCATTGATTATATGTTGATTGGTATATTATATGTTGTTGGCTTACCAGCCATACGAAATAAATACTTAAGTTCGAATATAAAATCGACTTAACAGTTTTTTATTAAAATTATTACAGTTGTGTATTTGTATGTTTAGGTATTTGGGTCAAATGTTCTGAAATGTGTGTGTGCATATTATAAAATCGAGTTTGACAAATAATGTAAAATTCGAATATCATCATTTAAAATTATTCATCGTACAAATTTAGAAAAATATAAGTATGGTCAAGTAAATAGTATACAAATTTAACTAATTTAACTAGTGAAAATTGGAAATTATTATTTATTACATGTACGATTGTATGAGTAAGCAGGAACGTCCCTTAACATATCTGTAGTGATGGGGAGGGGGAAATTAAAAATGTAAATTCTGTCTTTGCGTTTATCTAATCATAAATTACTTATTATAAAATATAATTAGGCTAAATATCTGGGCTACCTCATATTGATACAACCCCAACATGTTCATGTATACAAATATATTTATATACCTTGTATATGTATTATGTATTATGTATACAGTGTATACTATACACCCATCATGCATCGTAATTATAAAAACTACATAGGTCGTTTTAATAATATGCTCGATACAACATTTAAAAAATAAAAGATAATTATTCAATACCAACGTTAAGGACTTTTATATCATATTAGGATAACATCAATTCAAAAACAGTATAACCCAAATTATTTTCATAATTTTACAAAATATATACTACTATTATGCATAAAAAAAAAATGTGTTATTAGTAATATTAATAAATAGGTATTTACTTATGTATTTTAAAATTAATATGAAATAAACATTAAATGTTAAAAAAGCTTCAAGGTATGGAGGGGCGACTAATCCGTTCACCTCCCTGAAGACGTCCCTGAGATTAGGTACTTAATATTGTTATAATATAAAAATATTTAATACTAAATTATCATTTGATAAAAAGACGGGATGTACTGAGATTAGTTGAAGTCTCCATGTACCCACCCTTAGATACGTGCCTTTTGAGTTCGTCTCACTATTTCACTATCATGATTCATGGACGTCCATTGGTTGGGACAAGACAGGTACATAATATAGTTACCATATCGAAGTAAAAATTAAAATTAAAAATTATACATTGTCCCCGCTTGGATTTTTAAAGATGGACGGTCTTGTGTTTCATCATTGCAGTATGAACAATTATTTCGTATTATTATTTTGAAATGTTAACCAATGTTAAATCAATATTCTAAATTAATTGTCCCAAAATGATCATTACCGTATTAAAAAACACCAAACTAACATTTAAGTGGTCGGCTCAGGTACATCTAACCTATGTGTAGGTACCTATTTTTTAGGAAATTTGAAAAATATTGTGTCAATATTATGTTGCTTATTATTATTTTAATATGTGCTTATATTTGTATTGTGTGTGAACAATTTCTAAAACTAGAATTCTTGCTCCAATAAAAAAACGACAGAAGACCTTTTTTTGGTGTGGATTGCACACAAAAAAATGTAAGGAAAACTGAGAAGTTTACAGCATTAATGGTTTCATTATTTTCTATTTTGGTTTTTTGTTGTTATTTATTTCAAAATAATCGTAGAGACCTGAAATACTTACAGTAGCCTCTTCTAGATGTGGTAAAATTATCAGAAATGCTGTCGAATTTTTATCTATTTTAGCATTTAATATTTTCTAATTTGTTTAGTTTATTATCTGGTTTCCTGTGGATAAAATAGTTTTAGCAGAAAAGAAATGCTTTAAAATTTAACACAAGGTTCATCGAACACTTAGCTGTACTTAGTTGTCAAAAACAAAAGTTGGGCGTAATGTAGTAGTTTTTTTATAAACATTTAAAATCAAATTATAACGAAAATTGTAAAAATTACGGTATTTCGAAACATATATAACCGAACTTCACTTAGAATCGTGTTTTATTAGCAATGATTTATCTTTGCATACAGAAATACAACAAATAATTCTATATATTACGTATCCTACATTCTCAACTTCACACCTAAAACAGTAGCACACCCATCAGCAGTCTCGGCTCTGTTTTTTTAATAAATACTAATTCATATTATACACAACTTTTGATTAATAATGAAAAATGTTTACAATGAAACTTTAAATTTAAACAATTTATACCGTCATCACTGTAGTTAAAATATTTAATATTTTTTTTCAACTACGTAACCCGAAATATCTTAAAGATAATCGGTAATACATGGTTAAATAAATTGTAAAAAATATGTAATTTATACCTATTATTCGTTTGCGCAACTGGTAAAAAGTGCAATGTTTGTGTACCTAAGTCTCCTTACTTAAGCAGTTGATTCTCAAGTTGTTTATACAAATGTGCATTGTAAATTTTATATTAAAAAAAAGAGAGAGAGCTGATAATAACTTTGCCACTGTTGTAGGTGGGAAGTTAGGAAGATAGAATACATATAAAGTTATTTAATTTATAACTAAAAGCAACAATAAACCATTGGGAACGAAAAATGATTCTGAACGAAGTTCAGTTATTATATGTTTTGAAATGCCATAATTTTTACAATTTTTGTAAAAAATTGAAAATTTTTTTTTTCCCACTAAGTACAACATATAATCAATTTACGTTTTTAACTTTCAAACATTTGTGTTAGGTTAAAAACCATTTTATCTATATAAATATATAATACCTACCAAGAAATAACAAAAAAAAAAAATAAAAGTAAATATCCAATTCTCATATATAGCTCAATCAAATAACTTAAAAAGATTAAAACATTTAAAACCCTTTCACTGCCGTTGGCACATATATGCATCAGTGACAAGCTACATTGACAGAACATTAGCGCATATGTACGTTCACTTGTTTATATTAAAATGTCATTATCTGAAGGATGAAATTTTAACAGCTAATTTATAGTATTTTTAAAGACGTATCAAACTAATCTAAATGTATCTGACTAATTCATTCTTTTTTTTTTTATGATAATTATAAGTACAGAAAATTCATTGAGTAGGTTGAAAAATATCAAAATTTCAACAAAAAAATATAGTGCGGCTTGAGAGTGTAAATAAATTGTATGGCAGTGAAGTCAAAATTTTTTAAACATTTTACCACGTCTAGAAAAATTCAATATAAGTATTCTATGCAATTTCAAATTCCTACAAATACTCATATTTACTCCGAATTACAGTGAAAAAAAAATTTCCCAGTTTTACATAACTATTAAGAAAACTACACAAAAAATTTAAAAAAACAACTTTCATATTCACCAACTAGATCCAAAATGCAATTTAGAAAACATGTTATACTTGATATTTCTAGTAAAAAGACTAAAAAAAAATCTATATAACACTTTGCTAAAATAACTAACATCATTATTGAGACTTTAATTAAATGTATTCTGTTAAACAAAGCAAAATATAAAGATTTATAAAAAAAAAAAAAAATAGAATTTTAAGTTGGTTTCTTATCTATGATATCCAAGCGAACATAAGTTATATTATTATATGGAATGTTTTTCAATTTGTTTCCCATTGAGATCCAGATCAATAATCGAATTTTAATTCCGGATAACAATAATAAATAATTGTGCTGTACAAAATTTAAAGATATATCATTCTAACGGAAATGTTCCTAACGTTGTTAGATTAACTATATAAAGTGGTACGCTAAAATCTATGACAAAATGAAAAAGGAGAAGGACTATACGTCTATCCACAGCCTCCCCTCCACCTCCTCCATTCGAGCACTGAGTATTATCCAGAAAAATCAACGAGAAAACGCAAATTTTAAGATAATGACAAACTAATAACAATAACAAGGCCACATTACCAATGTAGTAAAATTTGAAATATTTCCAGGCGCTTTTTACCGAGGATATAGAGTTTTTGAACAAATATTATATTAGTTATAGGTACCGTCTCTTTGTTGTTCGATCTCGTCTTCTATATTAATTCTATCCGTCTTTTCTTCCACACCTCTCTACATTTTCAAACATTCCAGTGCACGGAATTAATTCCGTCCAAATAATAGCCAACGATATAACTCCTCGGGCACAACTCATTGTGCGTCGCGTTGTTACGATCGTGATGCAAACAATAACCGAGCGCGCACCGTCGACCAACAATGCGGTTGCCAACGTACTTTTTATGACAAGTTTTCAAACCTCTATGCGCCACGTGGTTTTTTTTTTCAAAATAATAATAAGAACCCCCGAGATGTGACCGAGACACACATAATATACCTACGTAGATATAGGTATCACATACTTATATTGTAAACACATTTAATGTTATTATTTCTTTGGCTGTACAAGGTCATCGCGTATTCACACAGATAAGTTGTGTTATAAAGATTACGTTATAAAAGGTATACTAGCGAACTTTCTGAAATTATCAATTCAAGTATAAATTTGTATTTATCACCCAAAGGCGTGTACGATAATATTTTATTATTATGATTAAATTTAATGACGAAATATTAATACAATAATAACTGGTGCCTGTATCTAATTTCAATACAGTATCCGGCAACGTTCTCTTTCTAAAGCCCCAAAGGTAGTAACTTGACATCGGAATCATTTTGAGAATATTGTATACAAGCGCCTTTCGAAATATTTTTAGCTACGTTGTGAATTAACGCGTTAAAATTGGAAATAAAATTTAAAAGTTCAGTTAATCAACGAGTTATTATTTTTAAGAATTCATTTTAAACTTTATAAGTTACTTTTTTGCGTACTGAACGTGTTAATTTCATATTAATCTCGTGTATTTTAAGTTAGGTTAGGTAAATTTTTGTTGAAAGCAAATTTTCTTAATTCTATAGTTTATTTACTAAAATTGTCGGAGTGATTTTTTTACATTAAAATGGTCAAAACCAATTTGTTGGACCATTTTTAAAAGTTGTTGGAACATAAAAGTGTATTTTTACCGCAATAACGTTTTATTTTGATTAAATGTGGTGTCAATTTCCTAGCACTACATTTTCCTTTGTTTATAGAGCTTTTCATATTATTCAACATTTTCTAACAAACATTCGACAATATCCAACAAACCCATATGAACAATGTTGAATTAGTTTTTTAAATTTTAAAGTTAAGTGTGGTGCTGGTCATGTACTAAACGCTAAAATTTTAAAAGTTGAATAACTTTTTAAATTTTTTCCCAGAAGTCAGATTTGAGATTATTGAAAAGTTTTTTTAAAGTTTTTATGAACTTTGTGGTGTTAGCTTCACGTACCTTACGACTATAGTATTTAATTACGAGAACCACGAGAGACCCACAATTGAACACGGTTGGAAGAATGTTAAAAAAAATTAGAAATACAACAAAATACCGGAGGAAAACGAAAAAACAAATCCAAAATATCGATAGTAATAATAATCACGACGGAAAAAGTCCACGAAAATAAAAAATGAAATAATTGTTACGCCTTCCGAAAATGTCAAAAATAAAACGACTAGAATCTTTAAAGACTTAAATCAATTGAACGTTCAAACCAAGCGTAGGTTAATATTTACTCGCACAAATTAAAATGCGTAAAAAAAAATATGTAACTAAAATACTCTATATTATCTGTTATGTTAATGATTTTTTTTTTTCAAACTTAGTTTACATCTTATAATGTGTGACGAAATCAGAGAAATATTGACCAACGAATATCTGCAATGGTTGTCGAACTACTCAGTTATGAATCGAATCGCCGTCAAAACGAATTTTCACTCAACGTAATTGAACTTGTTGAATGGTTTAAATAGCATACCCCTCGACATATTGATACTGTCGAAAACCCTAAACAAATATATTAGAGTGAGTATAAAGGATAATATTATATTATATATATCAGGTACAATATAATACCTAACGAAAGATAAAAATCGGTTAATTTAAACGATAATATCCTTGATGTTATCATCTTGTCTGCAGGTTTTATACAAACGAGACAAAGGAGTCGTCCCTTGTGTGAATGAGCTTTTAAGAACAATTTTAAGGAATTCAGGTCATTGGTTCGGCAAGATTACGATGATCAAAGACCGGGCTGCCATTTCAAATCGAGGAATTATTCAAAATGTTAAACGCAAAACTCGAGGTGAGATTTTTGCTTTAAACTATTTGAAAACCGTGTCAATCTTGTGAACATTTGGTATTTTAGAATTCTTGGAGTTCGTATCTGTGAGAAACATTTCAAATTGCACAATGGCGTGATTGTTTTGTTTACATTATCATATTATTGTTATTATGTTCAAAATATATTTATTTTAGATTAGATTGTGAGTGGAACGAGGAATTTATTGGTTTTACAATGATGTTTATTTTTGTTTTTATGTGAACACTTTTTGTACCAGAATAAAAAAGCTTGAAATATTAAAAATAAGGTTGTCATTGGCAACCATTTTTATTTATTTATTGTTATTATTAAGTTTTGATTATTTTAATCTTTTTCAAACAATCATTATTGTCATAGAAACACACATTGTTTTAATCATTTTACCATGATATAGCATACCATATATTGTATTGTTGACAAAGCAACATTATCAACTGAACTCAGCTTAGAATCGTTTTTTCGTTAGTAATGGTTTATCGTTTATATACATTAAATTCCCGTCTGTAACATACCTTCCCAACTTCTCATCTACAACAGTGGCTGCACGCACGGGGGAAGTAGGCCCGTCCTTTTTTTATTTACCTTTTTATAATAATTTGTTTGTTTCTATGTTTTTTACTTTTTTTTTTTTACATTTACATGTATTGTTGTATATTTTACGTAACTCGGTCACATAGGTAATGGTTACCCTTTCTAGTGAATCGTTTAGTGAATTTTGTAATCGTCCGTTTCAAGTTGGCAAGAGGGTTTATTACAGATGTTCGGTTACTAGCCAGATTATACAAATGAATGTTAACACGTTTGAATCGCGTGACGATCAAATCAATAACGACTTTGAATTTACACGTGTAGGTATTTTCCACGCGTTGTTATTGTCGTTTACAGTGTTTATACTTAATTAAGTTTTACGATAAATACCCAATAGTATCAAATTAATTTCTAAATCTACAACAGCGGCTTTAACTATTTCACGGTGTTGTACGCAGACTATACAGAGTGAAAACATACACGATCAAAAAAATACTACATTAAACTCAACTTTTTCTTATCGGCCATTAAGTAAAACTTATAATGAACCTCCTGTTAAATTTGCAAGCATTTCTGTTTAGTCTAACCATTTTATCAAAAGAGTAACTACCGAATACAAATTACGTAAAAAACTCCCGAAATTATAATGTTTATAATAACAGTAACCAAATTTAAAAATTCATGTTCTGGCGATTCAGTGTAACCGTCTACCAACCGGAATATACATATTACGACCGTATAATATAATCGTATCCAATTTGAAAGATTATTTCAATTCTTTATTCTTTACTAGTAATAGGTATTAGATAGATACGCAATTCATGGTCGTTATTAACAATTATTCTTCTATTTTAAGATAATTGCATTAAGAAAGGTCATTCACTCATTTTGGCTTACAAGTGTTTTGTTGTTCTTTTATTAAATAATGGAATAGGTAGATGGATAGATATTATTACTTGCTTTTATTACAAACTATCTGCCATAAATTCGTTTTAATGAAATATTAACGTTTAGTTACCAATATATTATTATAGGGCACCTCTACCTAGAGACTATAATAGATCTAGCATTTTTACTTATTGAAATATTACTACATTTCCACTATACACTCGGTCGTGTAGAAATAAATACAATATTGTAGATATCGTATTTCACAGGATAAAACGGCATGATACGACGTCAGGTGTATGTATTTGAACACGGCTTTAAACGCGATAAATCTTCTGAATTATTTGTTTATGGTATCAAATGTTTATTTCTGACCGTTTGTTTAATGTGCAGCCGTGTAGGTACGCCAGTTTTTATGGTAGGCCTACAAATCAAAGCCGCAGAAGATAAATACCTACAGCAGCATACCAGCCTAATCTAAGCCTTATATAAAAACAGTAGACTCTCGATAATTCGAAGTTGGCGGGACTGGTGGAAAATTTCGAATTACCAAGAGTTCGCAATATCGAAAGATAAAAAAAAATTAATCGGATTACTGAGTTTTGAAAAAAATTTTGTTTTTTTAGCAAATTAAGCGGATTACAGTATTTATTGGCTTTTGATGAGTTAAAATATACGATAAGAAAGACAATTAAGATATAAAATGCTTACGATAAAGTACTTATACAATAATAATTCTATAATTATTGAAAATAATAATAAAAAAAACGAAAAGATTATAATTTATAAGAAATATACTGGCGAATATACTTCGAATTGTCACGTGTTAATGGCCAGTTTTATAAAAATTTAATTTCGAATTACCGAGTATACTTAAATGAATTGTTTTTATTCAAATTACTGCGAGATTTTCAAGAGAACGAGCATTTACTTTGAATTACTGAAAGTTTCGAATTATCAAAGGTTTGAACTATCGAGAGTCGACTGTATACCTAAATAGGTAAGTTATAAATACCGTAGAGACTGTATAGAATCAATGAGTACAGATAAAACACAATAATATCAAATTCGACCCGGCTGTCCATCATACAAAAAATTACAGCGAAGGGACTCGGTGCCGGTTTTCCAAATTTACATCAATTATGTAAAATTTGAAAAGTGTTTTAATTATTTTAATGACCACCTCAAAATTTAAGTCATTTCCACCAGATAACCAACTGCACGAAGAAAATTAGTGAAATCGTTCTTACGAACGAAAATATCCTCGCGTGTGTGAGAGCATTAATCTGTGCAACCACAAGAAATTCGTTGGTACAAACTGGTGTACCGATACATTTTATATACACTTGATACCGATTATCTTACACTGGTCATACTTAGAGATATTCGACGATGGAAATCGGTGTACAACACATCATTATCCAATATTAACAACCATAATACTGTCAATTAATATTAATCAATTATTTAAATTATTACCTTTATACTTCCCATTTCCCGGTTATCAAAACTCAAGTGGTAACCAGTAAGTACTTGGGAAAGAATACAATTAATCCGTTTAAAATTAAACTTTTTAAATTGTTTATTTTGAATAAAACAACTCGTAGGTATATATTAATATACCAATATTAAAACTAACAGTACAAAGTTGACTCACGTGAACTCAAATTTACAATATCGTTCGTTTGTAAGACTTAGCGTTTTATTAAAACATTAAAAATTACTTACCTCCAATATGGTCATCCAAATGGTTGCAATCGATAGTATTCATTTTGTTAGGTAATTTTATTGTAATGTCGATATCGCACACATTAAAATTCAAATTAATTTTTATCAATTAAATTTTTATTATTATCATCATTTATCGGTTAGTTTATTATTTCGAGGGGATAAAACCGGTATGAATAGTTTGCACCATATTATGCATGGGACAGTGCGACAAAATTACACCGGTGTCGTTAATTTTAACACTGGTCACTTCGAAAAATTTCTCAAATTTACACTGGTTTGTACCAACGAATTTCTTTCGAGTTGATGCGCAAATAGTTTCTATTTTACAGTACCATTAATTTCGGAAAAAAAAATATTGTAAAATATTTGGTACGATATGTTGTCCGTACTTCAATATGTTCCATAGGAATTATGATTTTATCACTCATAATAACATATTTCAGTAGAGGTAACTAATCTACCAAATATTTTACAATATTTTTTTTTTCTAAAAGTATGTACACTGTAAAATAAAAACCATTTGCGCTTCAATATACAGACCACGATTTAAGATACTTACGTAAATAACGTATATTCGTTTATCATATATCTTAAACCGTGTTACAGACCGAACGGCCTTTCTATATTACTCAATTGTCTATAGTCTATAACAATATACTCTATAGTTTATGATTCACTGGAAAAAAATAATAATACCTACCTAATAAAAATCGCATATTATGATTTACAAAACAAACAAAATAATAATACATTATGTTTTCGGTTAATCTAGTTCCAGGGGAGTACTGGGTTCTGTTTTTGTACCGGGAAAATATTAAATATGACCCACTTATAAACATAAATCATAAACATTCTTCTAGTACCTGCCTAACTATCTATGAAATCACAAAGCTACACATTTGAAGGAAATAGGAGTAGGAAAGTGTATAAATCAAGGGCCTATAGGTATAGGAGAAGACCCACCGTAAAATTCCCAGTACCCATGTGGGCCAGTACGCGCCTCCCTAGTTCAATTTTGATTGACGGCTTGTCTATTATTTTAAATATATAAAATTAAAAACTTTAACTTTGACGATGGATGTACTTATACAATATATTTGAAAAGTGAAGAAAATTAGTCTGATACTTCAATCGAGGGTACCTACAACATATTTACATATAGGTAATTGACCTAATTCTTTATATTAACAATATATATTCTGATAGTAATTATTATCATGTCTACGGTTTAAAATAATTTATTTCATACTTATTTGAAAACTTTTTTTCTTATGTGATTAATTAATTAATTAAGTAAATTAATTTAAATGGAGTGGAAGATCCATGTGAAGATTTCAAACCTACTGTAATGGGGTAGCAATGTTCACAACAGTTAACAGTGCACAGCTGCCATCGTTTATTGATAAATTCAATATAAATTAAGAGAGATGGGCGCCTATTCTCCCATAATATAGCAATGCAATTCCTTACAATATGGTACCTTTAGACCTTAAACTATGAATATATTTAATATGATTTTCTTAATAATCAATACATTAGTATGAGTATATTATAACAATCAATAAGTAGGTGGTTTTATGTTACCAATGTTACTTAATACCCAATCATAAATTATACATTAATACACAAATGCATTAACAGCATAGGTACCTAACGTCATAATAATCTGGGCTTGTAAATCCTATAAATACCTGTGTATTGCGATACATGTATTGTGGATATAAGATATTTACATTTTATTGAGTAATTTAATATTTGTATACAAGCATAACTCATAAATCGTAGTGGTATATAATTAATGAAACAATAAAATGAAATACAATATATTATGTAGGCACCTACCTAATCTACATCAATGTATATTACTAATTAACAATAATCATAAACGCAGTATAGTATATATAGTTCTCTCAAAAATGCCAGTAGTCTCCTAACAAAATATATCATTATATTTTTTTACATTTGTTGAATTGAATATACTTTTTCAAGATGTACCCAACATAAATTAATAAATTAAAGTACCAAAGTATTTATGAGCATATGTATTTTGTATAATATAATAAATAGTTCTGAGCATATCCAACTATTATAAACTACAGTCAAAACAGAAGATTTGTTAAAGTATATATCAAGTTTTATTGTAATTAGGTACTATTTGAAACTGAGGGTAGTGAGTATAATTTGTTAAGGAGTATTTACCTATTTAAACACCCCAAGTTTTGTCTGAACTTAAGACATCAAGCCCTCAAATCCCAAACGCTATTTGCGTCTATGGGAAGAATGTAAATACCTTAAATAAAAAATTAATAGTAAATTTAAAAAAAATCTGATGCTTTTGATTAATTATCGAGAATGGATATAATTCTTTAATAAGCTGGTGGAAATATTCACCAGATATTTAACTTTAATAAACAGATTTAAATATAATGAATAGAAACCGTAATTTATTCTGACCAAAGCGAGAAATGTAGTGGTTTTACTATATGTGCTGTTTTAAATAAAATAAGACAAGTAATTTACTTACTACTTACGCCTAACTTAACATAGGTACTTTCAATAAGAAGAAGTCTTATTCTTTGACCGCTCACCCATCTTTAATTAGCCTCAAACACGCCATTTGTCTAAGGGCAATGGTATAGAATTATTCATTCCAATAAATATTATTGTACGTTTAAAGGTAAAAGGTACAATGACATAATTATTTACTATCAGTAATTATTTCTGAAGATTACATTAACTTTCATTGCTCATGTCTCATAAATTCATAACAGAGTTTTAGCATTTCTAACAGTGTTCAGGATAACAAACTTAATAATATTAAAGTCTACTGACTGTAGTAAACATGGTTATCTAATTATTGGTAGAATTAATTGAAAATATTTGTATCTTGTAAAATACAAATAATTTAAAATTGTTAAGTTAGTTTGAATATTTACAATTTACCATCAGATACACATATATATTTTTAAACATCCACGCTAACTTTGATTACAAAACAATTCAATATTGTCTTATTTACCTCAGCATTATTCAAAGTACGGAAATCAATTTTACTATATATATACCAATATGAGCGTCTAAGGAAGAGGTTAATAAATGTGGACATGAAACCCTCTTTGTCATAAGTAGTTTACTCTCATACAGTCATATAAAAACCATGTTTATAGTATTGATTCTATATTGGTCAATAATATCTTTTATAAAATGTTAATTATTAATTTTCAATAATACAAATTGTACAAAATAATTTTAAAATTATCTACTATAATTTTCACTCTCAATCAATTATAAATTCCAATAATTCTCTTTTATTATAGTTCAGTCCCATTTATAGTAAATATTTTAAAAATATATAATAAAATTACTTATTATTACACATAATAATGAAGTAAATTTGTTGAAGGACATAATACAGAAGAAAAAGACTCTTTAATTTTGTATACAATATAATTTAAAAGTGGTTTTCAATAATTCTGCATAAAATATTAAAATGAGAATTAACAATATGCACAATATAATACAAATACTTGAGACACAAAATAAAATCATTTTAATATCTGCAGGATTTATAATATAAAGGTAATAAAAAGAACATATTTTTGATAACTGTAGAAATGGGATATATTTTATTACGTTTTGCTGAACTAGTATTGTATGCAAGAGAAAGTAGTATATTAAAATATTTATGCAGTTTTCGCTCTGATAGCAGCACGTTTTCCAGTGACGGCCTATACAAATTAAAAAAAAAGTAAATTGATTTTAAGCATAACTATGAAAAATAAAAAACAAATATTTACCTGGAAACCAGATTTAATGCTAGCAACTGAGCATCGTGAACCACAAGTTTCACACTGCAAGAAAAACAATCTAGTGTCTTTCTGTAAGATGGTATCAGGTGAACGACACGTATGACAGGTAACATATTCTTTAATATATCTTCTGAGTACATTTTCAATTTGTTTTTGTTGAAAACGACCTTTGATTATAAGCTGGCTATTTCCATCCACTGAACCACTAGTACCCAATTCGGCTAATAAGAAATCTAACAAGTGCTTTGGCTGACGATGCAATCTAAACAAAAAATAAATTACAATAGAATATAAGTGTTCAATAAGCGATAAAGATATACTTAAGAAGATATTCTTACGTTTTGCATATCTCTGTAAAATTTGCAAATGAAGATTTTTTGGTACCTATCCGAACTACTTGTGGAGGGCGCATTACAAACTTTTGTTTTTTACCAGCAACCATATCTGGATTTTTCTCTCTCATTATTTCAAATACTCTAGTTAAAAGTTCATCATAAGTATAATCCCGATCAGAGCCAAACCATGTGTGGCTTTCGCCATCAGTATCTATAATTACACAAAGAAATATGATTGTAAAAATTGGTGTAAAAGTTAATACAGTAGAAAACAATGTTTTCTCTATAATCCTATAAATATATAAAAAAAATAAATTAAATTAATTTTGTCTTTTGGAATATAAAAGGTAGGTAGGATAGGATAAACATAGATCAGTAAGTCATGTTCTTTATTAATATTTATGTTATTGGGGTTTTGAGCCCAATTGGTCTTTAAAGGTTTTATATTAAGTGTAGAGTAAACTACAAAATGATTATCTACTAAGCTTTACTGCATAATATGTATAATCTACTTCTGTGATGTTGATAATATTTCTACAAGTACAAAAAAAAAAGTTTTGAGTTTCAGATATAAGTAAGTTATTATAAAAAAACTATTAATTTATTGTTTAAGAGAAAATTTAAAAGTACTTCTCTACACAATAATTGAAACCTTATCAAAACCCTTACCAGACTCAAAATGCCACTGTCCACCGTTAAAGCATGTAAATTTGAATAAAAACGTATAAAGGATTGATACCTTATTTTACGAATAAAATGGAAAACACTTACTATCATCAAATTTGTCACCCTTCTTATCCATTTCTTCGGCAACTAATTCGTCAATGTCCTTCTTCTTTTTCTTCTTTTTTTTTGTTGTTTTTGAAAAGTCCATATCTAAATCAAAATCGTCCTGCAACACCAATGATAATAAATAAATATTGAACTTAACTAGATTATAATTTACAAAATGCTAAATGAAAAACTAACATCCATAGCATCCCCTTGGTTATCACCATTTTCCAATGCTGATGATGTATCGGGTAATGCATTCTCTAAGTCATCTAAATTTATAGTGACCTTTTTTTTCTTTTTTTTTTTTTTGCCGCCGAAATTATCCAGATCCAGGTTACCATCTGTAATAGTTGGAAAAAAAAAGTGTGTTAGCACAACATATCAATTTTTTTAATTTTTTTATAATAGGTACCTTATCCTTATATTTAATCAATACATAAAGATGTTGATAGTGATAATACAGAGATTGAAGTAAGCTGTAGAACAGAGGTTCCCATCCCGTGATACATAAAGAATTTTTTTTATTACTATTTGCATTCAATATTATTTAGTTTAGTTTATTTGATATTAGCTAATATTATAAAATTATTATTTTATCAAAATAATATTTAATGTCGATGACATGGTGTTTGTAATCATAGAATTTTAGATAATGATAAAATCTATAATTTATTATAGTTCTCGTCGATAAAGCACATTTTTATAGTTTTAACCTTGGTGTTATTTATATTATACAGATATAACAAATATGGCACAGCTACTTGTTTTCATTCGGTATGATTTTCACAATGTATTAAATGAGAAGTATGTATTTTGTAAACCACTTGAATCAAATACGAATGCTGAAAATATTTTCAGAAACCCATTTTTGTATGAATCTTTAGACACTGAAGTTCCAGAAGACATAGAAGACAAAGAATCGTTCATTGATATAGTAAGTGACAGCTCAATGAAAGACGCATTTAAAGACAAAACATTGGTTTCATTTCGGATGTCAATAAAAATAAAATACCCATCTCTTTTCAAGCAATCATTAAAATGTTTAACTTCATTTGTCACTACTTATTTGTATGAGAGTGGATTTTCTGAATTGCTGTATTTGAAAAATAAGTACAGAAGTAGGCTCGATATTCAAAGTGACATAAGAGTGAAAATAAGTTCCATTCAGCCTAATATTAATGTCCTTGTACAAAATAAACAACAACAAATATCACATTAATTTTATTATTATTTATATTTATTATTTTTTTTATTAATTTGAAAATAGTAATTTAAAATTTAAATATTTAGATTTAACTAAAATTAAGATTTTTTACTTTTATAAATATTAAATAATAAAAATGTAAAGAAATGAATGAATAATAAAAATATATGCCAAAAAAATTTGAATCCTAATTTAGTTATAGAATTGAGGTGGTATGCGTATTGATTATTTAAGTGTCTGGTGGTACTCGATGATAAAAAGGTTGAGAACCCCTGCTGTAGAATATAATATTTTAATCTATGTATCAAAAAAGATATTTTAATCTAAGTACCTTCAGAAAGTCTATTTATCACAACTTTTTCTTAATTCTTCTGTAGGTACACTATATTAATAATTTAAAATTGTTCAATGTATAATACAACACTGAATTTAATAATTCTCAAAAGAAAATATAAATTTATATACCATCAAATTCATCTGGATCAGGCACAGGATCTTGGTTTTCTTTATCTAATGTTTGATCATTGACACTATCATTACCGCCTTCAGAAGCCAAAGCACTGTCCAAATCAAACTTCTTCTTCTTCTTCTTCTTCTTTATAGAAGGATCAAACAACTAAAAACAATAAACAAATCTATTAGTATTTAAGAATGCTAAATTTAGAAAAACTTCTAATTGAACATTTGATGATTATAGATTTAGGTATTCAGCCTTTATTCATAATCATATAATTTCATAAATATCAATAACACATCAACATCAATAAAATTGAATTTACCTATGCATACCTATTTGTAGTAGTATTGTTAAATTTCTAACAATTAGTAAATATATCATAAATATATTTATTTAAATATTTATATTGTCTATGAACTACTAATACACAATCACATTAGTCATTAATATGAGTATATTATAATACCTACATACTGATTCGTTGAAAATTAAAAAAGGAAGATACTCAAATAATACTTACTTATCTAGACACAGCCATTTTTTAAAAATAACTTTCATTAGAAATTTGAGTAGATAGGTACTGTACTGCTATATAAAATTAACATTAATATTGTATACCTATAGTTCAATTAAATATTGTGAAATACTTAACTGAGATTACTACTAGAACTTTTAGATACCTACTACATAATATTTTATTTGTGCTTAATTTAAATATTATAAAATTAAATTTTGGATGTAAATAATCTTTGTATTTATATTTTTAAATCATTCCTTATAATATTAGGTACTGAAAATTAGGATTTTATAGAGTTAAGTAATTTGATTAGTAAATTTCACCCTATAACAAAAAAAACAAATGTTATACAAATAATATAAATAGGTAGGTATTTAACTAATGATTAAGTTAAATTTGACAAATAAACCTTACACAAAAAAAAATTTAAATATTATAATTATAATTTACTATAATGTCTAGTTATACTTACAGCTTCTTCTTCGTTCATTTTTAAAATAATTTAATTAATATAACTGTATAATGAACAAAAAACAATTTACAAACGGACAAAATAAAATTGAAATTTCTAGAATATAGGATGACTGTAGAAGAAAAATGTGGCTGATGTGTGGAGAAATGTTGCATCAGCCCCAAACAACCAATGTGGCCAATGGACGAAAATCGGACGATATTTTTATCGATAAGTCTTTAGTTGTTGATAAATCCGTATTTATCTACAAGTACTACAAAATATAAATCAACATTATTTTAATAAAATCTATTATTTTAAGTAACTTAGTGTTATTCAAACTATTAATTATTATTTAAAACTTGATTTATATTTAACAAATTGTACAATATTGACAAGATGAACTTATAACGGGACTACGTTGTCACTATTGCGGCGACACTGTACTATTTTATCAAGTTTTTGTTATTATCTCAGAAAAAAGAATAATAATAAAACAAAAGAAAAATCTTACTGTAGTTCTGTCAAAATGGAAATCCGGAAATTGTCATTTTTATGATAATTTTCTGGACCAAAAACTAATTGAGATATATTATAATCACATATTCGTTAACTACTTGTTAAATAAAAAAATTCAAATTTTATGCCTGTGATCAAATATTTTATAATTATAATAATAATATGTATATACTCAGCCCTACGGTCGTTGTGTTCCTGATAATCATCAGTAACATTCAAGGTGAGTGTTTAATTTATGTTTCACCTATTAGGTATATTGAATTAAGTATAAATCATTTAATTTTAGGTAAACGCCTCAATAAATATGTGTCTCATTTCGAACCTGTTACGTATGATCATGAACATTTGGCCCATAGTCATGAAAGGGCGAAACGATCAGTAACTAATAGTGACAGTAATGTGCATGTAACGTTTAAGGCACACGGTCATCACTTTCAATTAAGACTTCGTCGAGATTTAGAAACATTTTCCAATACTGTAGAAGTGTTAGATAGTTCCGGAAATCGGATACATCCTAATGATGTAGATACATCTCATATATATCATGGTTATATTGTTGGTAAGTTGTCATTTTTAAATTACTTACCTAAATTTTTATTTAAAATTAATCCATGGGTAAATGGATAAATGGTTCTTGTAGATTTTTGTTTAACATATATATTAGTATACATTGAGCTAAGTTGAGAATTTAAAGTTATAATTAAGTATTTAACTTGTGATATTTTATTTTTATTGAAGAAACAATACTTTTATTTCAGTTTAAACCAACTACATCAATAGAAATTTGATCATAGAGTTTATTAAAATTGTTCACTGTTTTCATAATTTTGGTTTTAAACATTTTAGTGTCCAATTATGATCTGTTGTATCTACCTTACATTTGGTTGTTCAGGTCTGTGTTTATGTGTTGGAAGTAAGTTGTTATGCTCTTATCTAACTTTATGAATTATTTTCCATTGCCTTTTTTGACTAATCAGACTTTCTATTTTGAATAGTTAATAATATAAAACCAACATAGATGCAGATAATTTTTGTGGAAATGTTCTTTAATTTATTAATTATTATTAATTGGTAGTGAATATATTTGCAATTATTATATTATTAAATCATTAATTATTGTTCATAAAGTCATAATGTTTTCCTAAATGTTTTGTAATCAAAACTACAAGTTAAAATTTATTACTCGAATAGGTAGGTACTTTTTTATCAATATTATTTTTGAAATGTTTTAAACTTAAACTAATGTTTTATATTAAAAATAGTTTTTAAAGAAAAATAATTATAAAACAAATAATCTCATTTTTCTTGTTCCATACAAAATTTTAAATTTTTCTAACTATTATGTAAACCAGCAGTTTTTAAACTGTAGTATGTGTTTCACTGGTAGTACGCAGAAGGTCACACGGTGTACAGAAAAAAAAATTAAATAATATTCATACAAAATATTTTTAATACACCTAATACTATATTTTATATTAATATTGTATTGAGGTATTTTACTGTCTTATACTCTTAATGTTTTGAAATAAATGCAAAACCATTATGAATTGCTCAATTTTTAGTTGTATGTGACAGATCTATAATACATATAAGTAGTACGCAAAATTAAAAGTTTAAAAACCTCTGATGTAAACAAATAAAATGTTATTAGTACATAATATAAACAATTTAAATTATTATTTAGACAAATAGTAATATGACCCCAATTATAATTTATGAAACTATGATTACAATTAATTATAATTTAGTTTAATTTCCTTACTTTTATTTGTTAAAAGAGGGGGAATTTAGATCAAGGCTATAATTCAAGTGGGGTTACCTTCTTTTGTAAGCCCCTTTTTTCAACACAATAAATATTAATTGATCATTAATTTCAGGGTCGGTAAATTGGTTAAAACAAGTATTAAAATACATTTTTAGTTTGTCACTCAATAAACCACTAATATTAATATTTTAAAATTTAAAATCTCGATAGCAAACATTATAAGTTATCGGTTACCTAAATATTGTTTAATTTACTGCAAATATATTCATTCATTCATATTGTATTTATTTTCACTTTGAAAAAACGCCTTTTTTTGATGAATGTAAACTTATTTAGCCTATAGGCATCCATTATGATGATTTATTTAAACCTAGTTCTATGACTTATGCATCTAGTTTTAGATTCTGAGTGAAGCGAGGAATGTATTGGTTTTACTGTGTTATTTATTTTTAATTTTTTCTGTGGACAACTTTTCCTCCAGGAATTTTACTCCGATTTACAATATCAACACTTTTTCTAAAAGGAAATCTGTTTAGGGAGGGTTTTTTTTTCCCAGGAGTTTTCCTAATACATGAGAAAAACGGGAAACTGTTCGAAATGTAGATATTAGTAAAAAAATATTAAGACTTTTTTTTTCCCCCCCTGTGAACAACTTTTCTATTGGAAATTTTACTCTGATTTAAAATAATAGCACTTTTTCTGATACAAAATCTGACTGAGGTGGTACTATAGGGAGGTAATTTTTGATTTTCCCAGGAGTATTCCCAATAAATGGGAAAATAGGTACAATATTAAACAAATATTATTCAAAGAAATGTTTATTGCATATGTAATTATTTTACCATATGACATATAAATTGTTGACAAAGCAACACTATCAACCGTACTCTGCTCAGAATCGTTTTTTCCTTCATAATGGTTAATCGTTGCTTACAGATATATATTAAAATACTGTTTATATCTTACCTTCCCAACTTCCCACTTACAGTAGTGACTGCACCCGTCTCTATTATCCTAGAACAACTTTTTTTTTCAGTTTTACCTTCTACATATGTCTATATTTATATGAATATATTATAATTCTTAAGCATTGAAGTAAAAATTTAGTCTTAATTGTAATTATACTTTTTGTAACACTTACTGTATAATATAGAATATTTATTATATTTTACAATGTGAAAAAGGGAAGAGATGACCTAGAAAAAACTTTATGTCGCTGATTTTTGGGGAACTTGGCTTAAAATACATTAAAAGTGTTAATATTAAAATTAAAATATAAGACAAAGGAATAGAAAAGAGTTGTAGGAAAGCAATACCCATTTGAAAATTAATAGACCTAAAGAAGAAGAAACAGTGTAACAAATCAGTCTATTATTTCTTTTTTTAATTTTAATTTACAGATGAAACAAACAGTGTAGTGTTTGGTTCAATAATTGATGGAGTTTTTGAAGGAAAAATCATATCACCAAAAAAAGGAAACTATTTTATAGAAAAAACTAATAAATATATTCATCCTCATGGTCACCTTAAAGCCAATGAAGATTTTCATTCTGTTATCTATAAAGAAGATGATGTGGATAATCCATATCATAACTCTTCTAGTGATTATATTATTATTTATTAATTTACTAAATTTGAATTATAGTAAAATATTTTATTCTTAAAATATTTTAGGTCATTTTAGTGGATGTGGAGTAACAGGATCTACAAAACAAAGTATGGAAACAATCCAATATTCTGCTAATCCATGGAATGTTCAACAGCAAGATGAAGAAAGACCTGCTTATAAGTACACAAGACAAGCAGCTGATGAACACCATCAGCACCAAGGACCTGTTCGAACAAAACGTGCTACAAAACTTAAGGAAGAACGCAATACTTGTTCACTATATATCCAGACAGACCCTTTGTTATGGAAACATATAACAGAACAAGTAAATAGTCTTAAAATTTATTTTGTCTTCAAATTTTTGTATTTTATTAAATATATTTTATAGGTTGGTCAAGATAAAACAAAAACAAGAGAAGAAATATTGTCATTAATAGCTCATCATGTTACTGCTGTTAATTATATCTATAGAGATACTAAATTTGATGGACGCATTGAACACAGGAATATTAAATTTGAAGTTCAACGAATTAAAGTAAATAATATATTTATTTATGTGTGCTTAGTAATTATTATATTCTTGTTAATTTTTAAATTATTTTTCTTTTAATTGTGCTTAAATATTTTGATTATTTTAAAGTTTTACTAATTTTTTTTCTTCTAGATTGACGATGACGAACCTTGTCATGCTAAATGGTCCGGTGAACAAAATCCATTCTGTATGGAGAATATTGATGTTAGTAATTTTTTAAATTTGCATTCATTGGGAAACCATGAAGACTTCTGCCTAGCATATGTGTTTACCTATAGGGATTTCACTGGAGGCACTTTAGGTCTAGCTTGGGTTGCCAGTGCATCTGGTAATTAAGTTTTAATAATTCTAAAATATTTGGCTCTTTTGTTATTTATTTTTTTTTTTTTTTATCAGGTGCGTCTGGTGGAATTTGTGAGAAGTACAAAACATATACAGAAACTATTGGTGGTTTATATCAATCAACTAAACGTAGTTTGAATACGGGTATTATAACATTTGTTAACTATAATAGTAGAGTACCGCCAAAAGTTTCACAGTTGACATTAGCCCATGAGATTGGTCACAATTTTGGATCGCCGGTCTGTAGAATAAAATATATTTAGTTTTCATTGTTTTATTTTTTTATTTTTTTATTACAGCATGACTTTCCACTTGAATGTCGGCCAGGTGGTTTAAATGGTAATTATATTATGTTTGCATCTGCTACTAGTGGTGACCGTCCAAATAACAGTAAATTCTCTACATGCAGTATAGCTAATATTAGTAGTGTATTGGATGCCATACAAGATAATAAAAAAAGAAACTGCTTTAAAGGTGCAAATTTAATTAATAATTTTTTAATTTTTATTTGTATTTAAACCTATTAATTATATTTAACAGCCAGTGAAGGTGCATTCTGTGGTAACAAGATTGTTGAAGACGGTGAGGAGTGTGATTGTGGATATGATGATGAAGAATGTGATGATAAATGTTGTTATCCTAGACAAGTTGTTGAATCGGAACGGCTTCGTAATAGTTCGGCTAAGGGTTGTGCTCGTCGAGCACAAACTGAGTGCAGGTATGTTCAAATTCAACAGAAAATATTAACTAGGATTTATTTTATTTTATTTTTTAATTTATTAATGTTTTATTGTTTGTTTAGTCCTTCACAAGGACCGTGCTGTTATGCTGATACCTGCCGTTTTATTCCGTATAGTCGTTCAGTTAAGTGCCGTGGTGAAGGTGACTGTAGTTTTAGTTCTTATTGTGATGGTACCACACCAGAATGCCCTGTACCACCTGCTAAGCCTAATAAAACCCGTTGTAATGAAGGGACACAGGTAAATACTTAATGTTATAAGTTATAATTTACAAAATCCATTTTAAAATAATTTATAACATGTTTTATTATTTTTTTTTTTAAGCTTTGCATTAATGGTGATTGCACAGGATCCATTTGTTTGGAATGGGGGTTAAATGAATGTTTTTTAACATCACAAATTATACCTAACATTGATAAACGTAAGCTGTGTGAACTAGCTTGTATGAATGGCACTGATTCACAAACCTGTCGATCAACTAGTGAGTTTGCTGCCGCAGTTAATTTACCTCTTGGTGGCATTAGTCTTAGGCCAGGATCCCCTTGTGATAATTTTCAGGTGTGAAATATTTCAAATTTTCATTATTTTTATTATTTTATAATTCTGAAAGAATTTAGTAAATAAACCCAGTAATATATTATTTTCTTTAGGGTTATTGTGATGTATTTTACAAATGTAGAGCGGTTGATGCTGAAGGACCATTAGCTAGATTAAAAAATATGCTCCTCAACAAACAAACACTCCAAACTCTCCAACAGTGGGCTTTAGTAAGTAATAATTTTCTTTAATCTAATCAAATGGTGACAATATTAATAAGGAAATACAAATCAATTATGTATTTTAGAATTTAAATTTAATCTACATTGATGAGTACTAAAATTGCAATAAATTATCTTGTAAATATAAAATATCTATTATATAGTTGTTGTTTTTAGGAAAACTGGTGGGCTTGTATGTTAATGGGTGTAACATTTGTTATTATAATGGGAGTATTCATAAAATGTTGTGCAGTACACACACCATCTTCAAATCCAAAGAAACCTCCTGCACGAAGGTTCAGTGAAACGTTAAGAAGACCTATTACAACATTGCGTAGAATGGTAATTTACTAACATTTATTGTTTTTATTGCTTATACTAATATATTTTTTCATACAGAGACATCATCCTCAAGCATATGTATCACAACCCAGATCTAGTAGAGTTCCAGCTCATGGATATGGTGAGGGTAGAGGTCATTATTATGCACCCAGAGGTAGTACATAATAATTAGTACCTAATTGTGTTGACCTGTTTTTTTTATTATTAAAATTTGTAGCATCTGCGCCCCCTGCTGCACAAGGTCATTCAGATCGCCGAAATGCATTCCCAATGAGGCATCAGCCACAACATAAAGTGTGATAGTAAGTTAATGATAAAATTATTTTTAAAAATTAATATTGAGATGAGTTAAATTAACTATCTAACATTTTTAATATTTAACTGTCTTTTTAGTGTTCAATAATAAATTTAAATAAGACAGAACTGGTAAATTGTTTAAACTCAAATAAATTGTTTATCATAATGAGTGTCTGTTAATAATTAATCTAGTTGGCGTATTGAGAGGTTATCTTTCAATTTTAGTTTTCTACACAATCGTAAAAATAACTGACAATTTTTACGAAATATTTTTATACAGTAAATTCCTTTTAATGTGGGCAGGTTGGGACTCTTTACATTTATCTACACTAAGTACTTGCCCATTTTAACCAAAATAATTATCATTATAAATTAGAACCGAAACCAGACCATTATGTCCATATTAGGCGATTGCTCAGATTAAATGGTGGCATATTAAACGGAATCTACTGTATTGTTTTTCTTTATTAAAACAAACAATTTGTATACAAATTACATATAATACAATAAGCAAATTTTAGAATAATAGATAAATAGACACGGTGAAGGAAAGTTAAAATAACTTCAAATAATGAGTTTTTTAATTATTTAAATTCCTTTTAAACTCTATTTTTATTTAGTATAGGTTTCTTTGATAAAAAGATCACATGATCAAAATAGAAAAACGTAACATTGTAATTTAGTTTAATACTTCAATTTTGAGTTTGATTGACTACAAAAAGAATATATTTGTAAAAATATAATAATTATTAATTTATATTTTTTTTTTTTAGTTGTCAAGTTTGACGGCCCTAAACCAAAGTTGATAATGGCAATCCGAAATATTCGGTAATCTTATCATCGTGTTTAGAAACTATTAAATTTATTTATGTATTAATGTTTTTTTGTACATAGCCGAATGGAACCAAAGTGATTGAATATAATATATATGAAACTTATAGTTGTATAATCACCCTGTGTGTGAGGTGCTGGTCACAAACAAAGGCAGATTATAATTTGACATATTATATATTTATATTTATATATTTTTTTCATTCCTTATAAGCATTTTTAAAAATAAATGTGTATGACTATTGTATATCAAGAAAAATAATATATATATATATATATTATGTATACATTTTTATTTGAAATGTTCCTTCATTTTGAATTTAGGATCAAATAAACTATTTATGATAAAACTTACCAAAATAATGATGTATTTTTATTATATAATATGTGTACATTTTTGTATTTAATTAAATAACGGAAACAAAAAATGTATTTGTCAAGGGAAAGGTAAATGATACCACTCCGAAATATCAACCATTTTTGTTTCTTTTAATCCGCATTTTTTTTTAAAAAATTTAAATTTGACATTTTTTATTGTTTTTATTATATAGAATTATTTTTACTCATTTATCATAGTCATATATATTTTTGATACAATCTGCCTTTGTTTGCTTGATTTTTTTTCCCACCAAATATTTTATTTATATAGAACAAAAAAGTATTTATATTATATATTATCTTCCTATTATTTATGTAACTCATGAACAAAATATTACCTACTTAAAACTACTTCATTTCACAAATACTCATTAATTTATCATAAGCATAATATATTAGTCTAAGTGTAATACAAATATATGATTTATTTAATAAAGACATTTTCAATATATATTTTAAATTAATTAAATTTGTAATGTATGAAATAATAATAATATAGGCGTCCTGAAACCCAATGGTTGTTTTTTTATTGTAAATTTTATATTAAGTCGAGTTATTCATAATATTTTCATAATATTTTAGGTAAAACCTATAGAATTTAGTAATTTATATGTATTATCTATAATGGACGCCTTTAAAATACAACCCTAGTTAATTAAGTTTTACATAATTATATTTTGTTTTCCTACCATTAATAAGCATATACATTATTAATAAGCTTCTATTGTTTCAATGACCAAATTTTAATAACTGTTAACTGCCCTACCATTTTAGTTTTCTACCTTTTTTTTAAATATTTTTATTATATTATTTTAACTTTTAATATTACAATGAGAATTATTGTGTTTAAGTGGTTTGTTGTGCTATTTAATGAAAATCTGGTCAAGTGCCTAAATGGTTTTTTTTTTTTTTGGTTTTTAATACCAGATTCTCGTGTGTACTAAAATTTAATTAACCTTAATCCTTGAAGAACATTTATGATTAGCAAGATGGATGGTATCATATGCTCTTTAAAACCTACTTACGAAAATGGTTTTTGAAATTGTAAAACATTATTTTAACTTTCAATATTTGTTTAACAATAAAAATGGCTTTTGTTTTTAAAGCGCCTCTACTCAAAATTTGTTTTCTCTATCTATCTTGAATGTAGTATAGCAACGTGTATTTTAATTTATCTTTATTATAATCATTAATAACTTATTAAAAAATGAAAATATTAAAAAATCATTCAAAGTATTGTAAATAATTTTATTTATAAAGTATATACTAAACCTAGACCACTGTCCTAATCGGAGTCGCAATCATTGAAGTATGGAATAGCTTTGATGCGCAAGAGCAAGAAAAAAAGAAAACAAATTTTGATATTTCCTGGTAATAGTTAAATTTCTATTCCAGCTAAATATTAATTTTTCAAACAATACAATAATTAAATTTGTAAATTATATTATCATATAACTTAAACGTGAAATTTATCAATAAGTCAAGATTTTCAAGGAAGGTAAATGAAAACAATATACAAGAATCTATACAATATAAAGTTTACATTATTTACTTCAGAAGTGTTTTATAACTAATCATACCAAGAATAGACTTGAGAGCACACTGATATAATTTAGTTTTTTCCCAGTACCTATATAAGTATCTAAAAATACCCATATGTAACAGAAGGGACCCAAGGAAAATTGTATTGTTTTAAGAAACATATCAGTATTAAAACAGCAAAAAGGTCTTATTATTTTTTTTATTGGAGGATGGTTTCTGGGAGAAAATTTGATTCATATTTTATACACTTTCTAGCTCTTTGTGTTTGTTTTATAACAAAAGACGTTTTCATAAACACTTTTATAGTATAATAACAGTTATTTTCATTGGAGGGATGATTGGATAAAGGTATTAACTGACATTTAAAAGAATTTAGTACATTACACTTTACTCTTCTTTTTTGAACACTTAGGTACAACTTATAATGAACCTCCAGTTAACTTTTCAACTGTTATTGTTCGGTCAAACAATTATATTCATAGAGTACCTGCCAAATAAAAATTCCTCACTTCGCTCAGAATCTATAAAGAAGACGTACTTTCGTCAAAAAACTTCATATGATAATAATTTATTACCGGTCGCTGTATTGGCTTGAAATAATTGTGTCAGAAACACAGTTGACCAATTAAAATACACACACAAATTGACAGCAGTCAATGGATTAGCAAATCCATGAATACTATTGCCGGAAACGTTAACAAGAGCCCGACAACCGTGTAAATATTCTTACGATGTTTTTTTCAACTTAAAAACAATTTTTTCTTGATAATTTATCGTCCGTAAGTACTGCCGATTTTTTTTCGCTGTATTTGACAATGTGCCACATGACGTATTTCTATTATTTAATTCGATTTACATGTCGACGTCACAGTTCAAAACTGCAACAACTCCAAAAACCTCTTTGTCAAGTATACTGATTTTAAAAACCATCATATGATTTAGAACGGCTGTAATTTATTGTAAAATTGAGATAAAATTACCAAATTTGGTATGAATGTTTGACTTAATTATCTGAATATAAGATTACCTTTTTAGATTTTGAGTGTATTGGTTTTACAAAGATGTTTATTTTTTTAACACTTTCTACCAGAAAGTTTACTTCGATGTATACGATATAGCATCTTTTCTGAAAGGAAATTTTCTTGGGGTGGTACTTTTTGAGGTAATTTTTCAATTTTCTCAGTCTTCTCATTAAATGTGAAAAAATGGGAATATGTTCGAAATTTAATTAGTTGGTGAATAATAAAGTATTAGATAAAAATTATTTCGGCCTTTTTTTTCCCTGTGAACAACTTGTTTACCAGCAATTTTACTCCGATTCACAATGATAGCACTTTTTCTAAAAGGAAATCTGACTGGAAAAGTACCTATTTTAGAGAGGCAATTTTTTGATTTTCCCAGCAAATATAAAAACATGGAAAAACCAGAAAATTGGTACAAATTAAACAAATATTATTAAAGAAAATGTACACTGCCTATTTAATTATTTTATCATAATGTATTAATATGACATATATATTATTGACTAACATCACTATCGACTAAACTGAGCTCAGAATCGTATTTTTAGTAAGCAATGGTTTATCGGTTGCTTACAGATATAAATTCATTTCTAGAAGTAAAGGTACTTCTTTTTGCACATTAAACGTACCTATAACCATTGTTTATGAAATAGACATAGGTAATCAATACTATAACATATACCATCTAGAGTCGTGGGAAATACACATGAATAGAATTATCAATTGATGAACACTATAAATAAAACTGTTTCTTCTGAAAAATAAAAAATAATTTTCAGTTCTAAAATGCAACATGCAACATGTCGACTTAGTACTCTTTTGAATCGATTGTTCTGGGAACAAAATATCCGTTTCTAAATTCAAATAAACGTTATCTTGTGGACAGTAATTAAGTTACATTATGTTTCGTTTTTGAACTGAAATCGTAAAATATATTGCACTCATACTCATTTTTGAATTTTTTTTGAGTTACAGTTTTGAACTGGAGGTGTCGATATTATGTATACCAAATTAAAATGTCGTCGAAACCACGCTACTGCAGGAAATGTACGTCTTCTTGACGTGTTTAGTGTTACCTGTGCGTAGAAAAAGCCTGAAACTGACGCCACCGTTTCAAAGACTTACCGCCGAGACCGTTTGATCGTTGACAGCGTCAGAATTGTGCAGCAAGTATAGTGACCCGGCCGAGTGGACGGCTGTCCGAGAACGGTCAACTAATTATTAATTCCCGCCCACCACGGGTTTTATTTGATCGCTACCAGTAGCGGATCTGAAGCTTATTTAAGGAGGGTGCGAATTGGTATCATAGATTCATATGAACCAAAATTGACGTAACTTAAAATAAATTTCCGGGGGGGGGGAAGGTCTAAATATATTTTAATATGCTATAAATTTACATTTTTCTTGCGTTCAAAGCGTTTTTTTTTAATAATTTCAAAGAGTTCTGGTCGTTCTGGAAAACCGGACCCGTCCTCAGTTCAATAGTCTTACATAAATAAATGTATTAATTATATTATATTAGTATACTTAATATTCTTATAATTAATTAGAGTAACAATTATATTGTTCTTTTTTTATCAACTGAAAATCAGATCAATTATTTTGTCCACTTTAATGTGTCCCTGTGTTTATTGAGTAGATCTAAGCCAATTAAACTTTCCCCACCCATGCGTGACCTCATCCACATTTTTAATCTAATAAACAAAACAACAAGCAAAATACTAAAAACCGGAAAGCATAATATGGTTATTAGATGGATAGAAAAGTTATAGAAAGTACAATTGCAAAAATATGCTGAACATCATAAATGCGATAAATTAAAAAAAATAATTTTATAATAAGCTCTAATATTAAGGAATTTTCTGCGTAAAGTAGAAAAATACGTTCTGCCGAAGCAGTGCTTATTGGCAAAGCAGCAATAATATTAAGCAGTGACTTTATTGTAGAATAAATTATTTCAGAACATTCATCCAATACTTAAAATACATTTCCCGGTAAAAATTGCGCTTTATCAAATAACAAAAAAAAGCCCAAGGGAGGGGGTGATCACCACGTTACCCCCCCCCCCCATCAAATCTGCCACTGATCGCTGCAGAGGCCCCGAGTCGGGGATGAACGGCACTTATTTGAATATCTTGATCACGGCTCCAAGTCGCATGCACATACACATATTACATATAAAGGGTACACGGAAAAAACCAGAAAAGTCACTTTTTTTTTCAAAAACGGCGATATCGGTGTAAAATAATTTGTATTGATGCGTGCCTTATTTTTTATATGATCGAAATGGCGAACAAAACAGATTAGTCGAAAGTAATGAATGCCAGAAGTTTAGGTCTACAGGAAAAAAACAGATAGTCAATTAATAACCAGGTTACGTAAAGGCTATACGTAATTCTTGGTTAACAATATAATATGACATTATTATGTTGTTGTTACTAAACATTTCAAAGTTTAACATTAATCTTAATCTGAACTTTTTGCTTTGTAAAAAAAGTAGAAACGTTGAAACGGAACTTGATCCTGACAAACCCTTACCCCCCTGTATATTATATATTTGATAAAAAATATAGATTTGCGTGATTAAAAGAAACGTTAAACTCATTTTGCTAAGCGGTGTGAGCCACGTCGATTGTACCGTTTCATACTTGTGATTATCATGTATAAGAACCCACCACCCTTTTTTGAACACAGATTCAAATAGAGAAAATTTGTCTAGGAATGTTGATATGACAAAATTAATATCTGATTTGCCGTATATGAGTTAACAGTTTAAAGTTTATACCGGTTAATAAATTGTATATTTATTTATTAATGATAATATTCATCTCTACACTACTCAGTGCTCGAATTGAGAAAATTAAAGTAGAAGAGCTCTGCCAAGCCATAATAAAAACAATAGCTTTCCGACAAAAATGATTGTTCATTTAATTTGGATTTAGGTTTATGAGTGGAGGCCGAAAAGCAAAAAAAAAAAAAATTGGCCACCAGTCAAAATTCCACTTTTTAAAATCAATATATTAGACCAATCACCGTTAAAAAGGTTATGACAGTGGCCATTTTCCGTAAACGTAGACGTTTATAATCAAAATCTCGATTACCTATAAACTCTACAAATAACAAAATAAAATGGATATGGATAAATCATAAATGTGTAAAATCAAAAAAAAAAAAGCCATGATAAATTTGAAAATTTGAAATAAATTTAAAAATAATGTGTCGATGTTTACTGTCCATCCCTCCAATTCCAGTATGGTAAAACAGCAGGAGTGCGCAAAATAAAAACAATAAAATGAATACAAGAGCTTCGTTACCCTGTGCAACCCCCATTCAATTAGAGCACTGACACAACTACTCCGGTTTAAAAGACAGTGTTTCTGGTTTCATACCTACCATTGTAGCACATAGACGGAAGTATACCTGAACCCGAACATATTCATGTATACGTAATATAATATATATATATATATATATAATTATTATTTATACACTCGTCACACATTGTATTTATAAAGATTATACATTATAAATCGTCTAAATAAATTGTAGACATAAAAAAAAATAAAAAAAAACATTTACACAAAACATACTGGACTCAGATGTATACTAAAACTTTGACCAACTTCATTAAAATCTCGTAGAACAACATCTATAATAGGTAGGCGAGATGTGCGATCAGTGGTATACGTAATTGTAGTTTTGCCCCATTGTTCTTTTCGAGTCTGTTTACAAAAATGTATTATAAACATTATTTTAATACTAATATTAATAGTATAATAGGATCTCAATATTCCACCCACCTTGCATTCATCTTCAATAGCTGTATACCTCAATTTGGGATTTCCACGGGGAGTTATGTCCGCGTCATTAAATCCAACTAGTTTTAAACCTTTTTTATACGATTTAGATACAGAATCGAAATATCCAACTGAATTTTTACAATGATACGTTAAGTTTTGTGAAGCTGATACTGATAACAGATGTAGAAAGCCGAGCTGAATACTATCCGCTTTATACGATATCTATAACCAGATTTTGCACATTTTAATTAATTATATTGATTTGTTGTTTATAAATTATAACCTGTGTAAAATTGTCGAGTTCAGATAACCAAATTTCTGGCTGTGAATGTCTATTTCCAAAATCTATTGGTCCTATATGATCTGGTTGAGGTATTATACACGTGCTTTTTGTAACCACATCACATCGTACTAACACTGCATCACGAACATCACCTTCATTGGGATCGATCCAATATTCTCCTAAAAAAAAATTGATTTTATATAGATTGATATATTTATTTGTTATTAATAATAATTTATTCCTACCACTTTTAAGATCAGGGTAAGCTGCATATAAATCTTTGCACGTCTTGGCAGGATTATCTTTTTCGCCATTTGGTTTCTTAAACTTTTCAAACGAACTTTTCAATTTTTTATAAGCATTTAAAATCAATTGGTGTCTTTCAGCTTCTGTAATTTCTCCCGGTTGATCTTGATGTATGCCATCGTTTGGCCCCTATTCCAATTATATGTTAATCTCTTAATTAACACAATTGAATTCAAATAATACTATATCACATATTACCTTGCTCTGTCCGTGCGTTAGTAAAGCTGTTAATGCAGCCATATCATATGCCAATGCTTCACCGGGTGGTCCTGGTGGACCAGGTAAACCGGGTTCTCCAGGAAATCCATCAGAACCCCGTTCACCAGTTGGTCCTTAAATATTTATAAAAAATATTTGCAAAAATTGTATCATTTACAAAAATTTAAAAATATTACGAGTGGTAGCTCGTGAGGTTCACAAATCATTTTATAAAATATATTTTTAAACTGATAAAATAAAAATTAATTTAATTATTAAAAAACAAACGGACATACTTCACACAATCGGTGGACCACTGTTGTAGGATAGAAATTGAAAAGGTAGAGGAGAAATTTAATACATACCTGTACGCAAAGATTAATCAATGAGAACGAAAAACGATTCTGAGCGGAGTTCTATTATACATGTTTTTAAAGGCCGTAATATTTATGATTATAAATAATTTCTTGCTTTTCATACGGTTTTTCCTATTTATTATGAAAATTATTGTGAAAATTAAAATATGACCTCCTTAAAGTACCATCCCAGTCAAATTAACTGACACTTGGAAATTAGAGCTAAATTTCTAGTAGTAAAGGTATTCACAGAAAATAAAAAAAATAATCATCATTGTAAAACAAACACATTCCTCGTTTCGCTCCGAATCTAAAATACTCAGAATAATGTACCTACTTTTAGTTTTCGTAAAATCTTTACCATAGTACAATAAAAATAAAATCGACCAAATAATTTTTATTAGGACATTAATCATTTTCTGAAAATTACAAACACAAACTACAATTCTACAATATAAACTAATACAAGGTGATCGATTCATGTGGGCACATTAATTATCTCAAAAAGTAACAACGTAAAGTGTTGGCCAGCAGCGGTATACGAGGTTTGGCAAATAAATAACGAGAATTTGTTTCTAGCTCCTATAGTGGTAAGCTCCTAAAGTGGTTGATTATTTTTCAACTAATAAATATACTTATACAATTACTGTGCATGATTTCTGACTACGATCTGAACCTAAGTAAGGAAAAACGCCCGCAATATCATTTATGTTATTTTTTGTCACTTTGTGTACAATGACAATTTTATTGAACACGATAATGCGTTTAATAAGTCACCAGATTTTCAAACGGTAATCTATATTAAAAGTTCCATAAAAAGATTGCGTATTAATTAAAATACATTTTGGTCCATTTACGAGATAGTCTACTTTTGAGTTTGGGTAGAAAGAGAGGTGAATTATTAACTCGCCGCGCGTCGTGCGCCACACAAATGATGCTCCACTACTCTCACCCGAGTAAAACTTAAAAGTGGAATATCTCGTTAACGGGTTGACAGAATTTGACCGATTTTCAATCACTTTTTCTGAAAGGAAATTAGCTGGAGTGGTACTTTATGGAGGTCATTTTTTTAATTTTCCGATGGGTTTTATAATAAATGGAAAAAATATGAGAATAACTAGAAAAAAACGTAGGAAAAACGGGAAAATTGGTACAATGTTAAAAAAATATTATTAAAGGAAATTTATAACGCATATGTAATTATTTTATCATAATATGACATGATATTGTTGACAAAAGGACACGTTATTTGCGTGTTTTAGTAATATTAATTATTATTAACATAACTAGTACTACATACTAGTACCAGTAGTACTGTTCCCATAGGGTACCTATTCTACATTTATTATTACCATTGCCTGTTCATATCCCTTATACCACTAAAACCATAATAATAATATAAATTGAATTTATCTTTTTTAATAATTATAATTTAAATAATTCACAGTTTTCTTACAATACTTTTTTCCTTAAATTTTGAATGTTCTGTTTAGTAATTAGTATAATATTGCTAACTGTTTTCCTATAAAAAGTAAAAATAAACTATAAGAAAGATATAAAATATCCCATGTAAGACACATTTCGAAAAAATGAACAGGGATACTACTGATAACACGCATCTGTATTCTGCAGTTTGGTATTATTATAGACTTTGGGTGATATATCTCCAATATCTAAGAAAAACAACTATTAAACAAAATTCATGTGACCATGTATCCAAGGGTGCCCGCAGAGAGAACTGAAAGAAGTTATAGCTGGAAGTTTAATCATTTAAATAAAATTATGTTTTATTTTTACATCAGCAATAAGCATAACTTTATTTTTTCCCTTCTCCTCCCCTAGAGTTCGAATTGGAAAAATAAAAAGGGGGGACTATAGAACAACAAAATTTCAAAAAAAAAAATAAAAACAATAATGTTTTTTATTATATTTTTTTTTATTTCTGTAAACAACTTTTCTAACAGAAATTTTGTTTCAATTTTCAATTTTAGAACTTTTTCTGAAAGTAAATTTGACTGGGATGGTACTTTAAGGAGGTAATTTTTTTTGTTTCCTAGGGGTTTTTATAATAAATAAAAAATAACGTAGGAAAAACAGGAAAATGTACGACATTTATTATTTTTATATCGTAAATATTACAGCATTTCAAAACATGTGTAATCGAACTCCACTCAGAATTGTGTTTTGTTAGCAACGATTTATTTTTGTGTACACATATACATTAAAGTATCTTCTATATCTTACCTTCTCAAATTCTCACCTACAACAGTGACCTACTTATCGTGTGAAATATGAATAAGTCCGACCAGTGGCGTGGCGAAGTGAAATATTTTATCGGGCAATTCATTTTTTTTTAATGACCTACCACCACCCCTTGTTGTTTTTTACAGTATTCTGGGCTGATGGCTTTTCCTAGAATACTTATTATTAATTTTATTATTCTTATTTAGTATCATATGACATATTCTGATGAAGTTAATCTTATACTACAATTTCTCCACAGACTCCAGTACTCAACCACCAGGCACCCACCCACCCACCACTTAAAATTATCGGACAATTGCCCCTCAAAATCACGGCCAACACGCTACTGAGTCCGACGTCTGTATCTATTTTTATACAAATTTGATGGGTACTTTTATATGCTTCTATGCACCATAGCACGAGTCGCCGCTGAATTAATACTAACCTCGAGATCCTGGTGGTCCCATTGCACCTGGTAAACCAGAGTTGCCATCTTGTCCAGGTATTCCTAATAATGATAACGTAGATATTTAACAAATTTCTCTCAACTATAATAGGTATTAATTTTTAAAAAAATTACGACTAGTAATACCTTTTGATCCTGGTTCACCGGGTGGCCCAGGAGGTCCAGGATATCCAATGTCACCTAAATAAATAATAAATTAGTTATTTAATGTTATTTCTAATAACATACCATAAAACACCAGTTTTAATTTTCTAATCTTACCTTTATGACCATCTGCTCCTGGAGCTCCTGGAAGTCCTTGTAAGCCCATTAAGCCTCTATGCCCTATAAAAGTTGTCTATTTAGTATAACTATTTAATAGATTTTTAATTAAAAATGAAAATTATAATTTATAACTAACAAATTAATAGATAAATGGTACATGCAAATTGTATTTTTATATTTTATTAGTAATAAATGTTACATGACCTTTCATTCCTTCGGGGCCTACATTACCCCGATCTCCCTTTGGTCCTTGTATTCCTGGAGGTCCTAATTTACCTCTTTGCCCCTAAAATTGAAGCTTGTAAGAAATTAATTGAAGAAACCACAATAAATAACTTTATTAACTTACAGGAGGCCCTTCTACACCTTGTGGACCAGTTTCACCTCGTAGACCTCGTTCGCCTGATAGTCCTGTAGGACCAGGTAAACCTTGAGGGCCCTAAATTTAAATAAGTAAATAAGTATGTAATCAAAGTAATATATTATATATTTTTTAATTAAAGTGTAAAACTTACTATCATACCAGGCGGACCAGGATTACCCATATTGCCAGTTGAACCTGGTGGACCTATAATCGTATAGAACAAATAATATTGAGTGATTCAAATATTAAATTATAAATATTGAACTTGATATTAGTATTTTGATTATAAAAAAAACCTTTGTCTCCTGGCCGTCCACTAATTCCTGGAGGTCCAGGTAAACCAGTAGCCCCATCTTGACCTCGTTCACCTATGTTAAATATTTAAGAAAACGTTCATTACATTTTGCCTTACAATTTGAAATAGACTAGATATTATACATTTTATATTTTTACTAACCTTGAGGTCCTGGAGAACCCGGAGGACCGGATAAACCTTGAACTCCCTAAATTATGGAATAGTTAGTTATCGTGAGTTAAGTAATTATTTTTAATGACGTAAATTTCAATTTTTACCTGTGTACCATCTGAACCTGGCTTTCCTGACGATCCTTTTTCACCCTGAACATTTATTAAAATAAACATTTACTTAATTCATTTAGTAAATATAAATTACCATTTTAGTGAAAAGGGCATGGGTTATTTAACTTCTTAAAGTGTGTGTATTTGATACACACATTGTTTTTATTAAAAGTAAATCATACAATTCAAAACGTGAAATAATTAGGTATTTAAATAATTAGAGGGATATACATTGTTAATATTACTAAGTGGTTATATATTTATCGATTTGTTTATTTAACTTACTGGTAGTCCTTGAGCTCCTCTCATTCCCATTGGTCCTTGACTACCTGGAACACCTGTTAAGCCCCTAAAATAATATTTATTTTAAAATATTCCGAAATTCAAAGATTCCTTATTAAGTTCAAATCATATACATCGTAAATGATAAAAAATTAGTATATTTATCGTTATTTTCAATAATAAAAATTCATAAAAAATTATACATTATCTTTATACTCTTTTAGTTATCTTTGCATAATACTGCCACAACAATGTTGACAACGATATTTGTCATCATTGATGGGGTAAAATATAAATAAATACAATATCGGATCAAAATTTACATATATTTTGATACCTTTCTCCTACTGCTCCTTGAGGCCCAATCGGCCCTGCTGGCCCAGGTGCTCCGTCAGCTCCTGTTTCGCCTTTAGGACCTGGAATTTATGAATTTATAAACAGTAAACCAGAACACTCACTTTTAAAGTAAAAAGAATACTTAGGATACTATGCCTTTATTGTTGATAAACTTTTTAAGCCAATATTATACTCACCATCTAATCCGCGTAATCCCGGTGCTCCAACATTTCCTGGCATACCCTGTTTTCCTGGTTCGCCTTGCCATCCTTTAGATCCTACCAAACCTATTTCAAATATATATGTATATATTATTTGTACATATGAAGATTTAATCAATTTTATTAGTTTAACTTAGCTGGTATATATGTACCTGGTGGTCCGGGAGGTCCATTTGGTCCAGGATGCCCCTATAAAGTAATTATTACTATGATAGTATTCAATATTAGATAAATATATAACACAATTATTATATTTACCAAAGGTCCTTGCTCTCCAGACCTACCCGGTATTCCCATTAATCCCATATCACCTTTTATACCTTGATCTCCACGACTTCCTAAAATATTTTAACTATTTTGAGTGTTTGGTACTTTTAAAGTTATTTATTTATTTTTATACTTTGTTATGATAAATACACTTAAAAATATAATGTAAAAATAAATTGTTGCTATAAAATAGATCCCCAATATTTTAAAATTAAAAATACTCATAAAATAACCTTTTGGACCCATTATTCCTATGGCACCGGGAAGACCAGATTCACCCATTTTTCCAATTGGTCCAGGATTTCCTTGATCCCCTTTAATTCCTGAATACAACAATAATTCATTTCTGTTTAGTGTTTATTATGAAATTATAATATAATTTTGGAACTCTGATTTGAATTAGATTACTAACCTGCATCTCCTCTATCACCTTTAAGTCCTGGCATACCTAGTATATTAAAAGATTATTTATTTAGTGCATCAAAACTAAAAACAATAATTTTATTTATTGAACATTTATTTGTATATATCTTACCTACTGGGCCTATTGACCCAGGAAAACCTTGAACTCCTTGAGGTCCAAATGATCCTCGTTCACCAGGTGTGCCTGGAAAAAATCAACGGTATAAAAATATCGATATTTTCATATATAATTATGGCACTCAGATATATATTTTAACCAATCTTTTACTAACCTGGTGCACCAGGCTCTCCTGGAGGTCCTTTAGAACCTGGTTCCCCTCGTTCAGCTGGTTCTCCTGGTGGACCAATCGGACCCAAAAAACCTTGCGGACCTCGCTCTCCAGCAGGACCTTCAGTTATTAAATTGTATATTTTACTATATTTGAAATATTATAAAAATAATTATAAATGTATACATTAAGTATGCTATTTTTCCCAATTGAAGTTTTACTATCTATTAACTTATGTATACAATTATTAAATATATTTTATTAATCTAGTGTCATTCATTATAATTTTATAAAAGATGTGAGTTATCGTTAATATGAATTAATATAAATTACCTGGTGATCCTGAAGGACCTTGCGCTCCAGTAAAACCTAAAATAATAAAATGTTCACAATAGATAGTCAAGTTTATGATATTTGTGTATAGCGATTTATTTTTGAATAATAAATACTAATATAGTGTTATTTAATCTAGTTAAATAATTAATAGAATTTTAAAAAGGTTAAGTTGATCTAAGATGTAGTTAAAGGTTAAATCCTTTTTATTTAATCTAAAAATGTATCCAATATTTTAAACTACACAAATTGTTAATAATTGATATAGGTACCTCGTTCTCCTTTTAAACCTTGAAGGCCATGTTCACCTCTTGTACCCGGCAAACCCTAAATAGTTCTTTGTATTATTATTTTATTACATCTAAGTATAAAATGTATTAAAATTAATCAAAATGTACCATTAATCCTGGTGATCCTGAATGTCCTTTATCACCTTTAATTCCTTGAGGTCCCTAAAAACATGAAGATAGATATTTAAAAATTTAATTTATTTGACATGCTTGTACTTTAATTTTAATCTATACAAATCAAATTCTTACAATTGAGCCTTCGGGACCTGATACACCTGGTTCACCTTTAGCACCCTGTAGTCCTGGATGTCCAATAGGCCCTCTTTCACCTAAATATTTATATTACTCAATAAAATATTTAGTTATAACGATATAATAACTATTTCTATATTAATTTATAACACCTACTATAAATATTATGTATACTAACCGGGAAATCCACGTTCACCCCGAGCTCCTGGTTCGCCAGGTTTTCCTACGGGTCCTTGCTGACCTGAATTTATTTATTACATTATTAACTATTAAACTTTATTTAAAACTGTGTATTAAATTATGTACCTTGTTCACCATCTTTACCAGGTTGACCTGGATTTCCAGGCACTCCTGGTACACCCTAGATTGAATGGAATAGACAATTTTAATAATCAATGTTCTAGAAGAATATACATTTTTTTTGTTTTTAAGTACTTACTTGGGAACCAGTAGATCCTGGTTGACCGACGGCTCCTCGTTCACCATCTAATCCCGGTTTACCGGGTATACCTTCAATAATCAAATGTTGGTTTTGTCAAATAATTTGTCAAAGCAAATTCAATCATATATGTTACATCGAATTTATGATTAGTTGTCTTTTTATGAAATAAGCAACGTCGTTGCCGAATTAGTGAATCGGTAAGTTGTCTACCAATTTAAAGGAATCACCAGAAATTTTATCCGATTTCATGAATCAGGCATCTTTTTGTCTACCAAATACACGATTTCAGAAAAACATTCAACGATATTGTAATAGTTATATGCAGTCGCCTATGCCTAATAACTTATTATAACACATATAATAATAAATTAATACCCATTGATTGCACATACAACTAAATACAAATCATGTTAATGAGTACTAAATGACAAGAATTACTCAATCCACTAGTTGCACTGCTCCAATGAAAAAATGCATTTCCAATCACGATAGGTGTGCGGAGAAATAAAATAAAAAGCTGATATTGTTGATGATTGCGCCACTGTTGTAGGAGGAAAGTTTGGAATGTTGGATACATAAAATTATTTAATTTATATTTGTAAGCAGCGATAAACTGTTGCGAATGAAAATCGATTCTGAGCGAAGTTCGATTATATATGTTTTGAAGTACCATAATATTTACGATTTTCGTCAAAATTTGAACTCAAAACACTTATATAAAATAATTACACTCCATTTTTTGATTTTAATTTTTACCACTAGGTACAGCTTATAATGAACCTCCTGTTAAATAGTCAAACATTTCTGTTTGATAAAACAATTTTATTAGTGTCTCGCCTTCATATAATGGGATATTAACACCACCTACCACGAAGCTTTTAAGGTGACTCCGTATTAGGTGATTTTTTTTCTTTTATCAGATATAGAAATAGGATTGGTGAGGAAAGTACCTTAAGAAAATTCTTCGAAAAAATAAAAATTGGACCACTTGAAGAGAATATGCGTTTAAAGTTTCATTTCTAGTTGCCACAACACGGAAGATCTGACTTAACCTACAATAATTTCGAATTTTGTTCAACTTTTTTTATGTAATTCAATTTTTTCCCATTATATATTAGTAGTATATAGTCATTTTTTGTTACTTCACCGATTTCATATACTCAGCAACGGCGTTGTTTATTTCACAAAACTTACAATTTTTCTGTCGATCACACGGAATCAAAAAATTCACAGATTAGGCATAACAAATCCATTATTGAAAATACATTAACATTTAAAAGTCAATATAAAAAAAGAGCTGATATTGGGGATAGGAGTGACAAACGTTGTAGGTGAGAATTTGGGAAGGTAGGATACATAAGGTTATTTCATTTATACCTGTTAGCAACAATAAACCATTGGTTGACAAAAAACGATTCCGAGCACAATTCGGCTGTACATAATTTTTGAAATTTTCATTTAAATTTAATTTCAAAGCACTGATTAAAAAACAAATGTCGTTTGATGATTTTGGAAATTTTACCACGTTTAGCTAAGTCCAATATAAGTATTATTACCAAGTTTCAAGTCTCTACGTGTATTTATAACCGAATTACAGCAAAAAACTCCCAAAAATTAAAATTCCTCTTCAAGTGGCTCAAAAGTTTTGGTAATGATACCGTCAGAAAGTAAATAAAAAATGTGACAAAAAAAGGAATCTTGTGATTTTTCAATTGAATCATTTTTTCTGGTATTTTAATACCAGTCAGTTATACGTCGTCTGTGTTTTAATAAAATAATGAAATCGTGAAATTATATGTTTTCTTACGTTTTTTTCCCCACTTAAGTGCTTATATTTAAAAAATGACGTCGAAAATAAAAAAAATGACTTTCTAAAGACAATTTGTACTTTCAGAAATGTTTCTATATGTAAAAATAGGGGTAAGTCTACTTGGAAAAAATGTATCCACTGACTAGAACAAAGAGCAAAGAACAATGAAGAAGAAATAAACAGCATTGTAAAACTAATAGTTTCCTCGCTACGCTCGGAATCTAATGGAAATCATTCTGAACTTGAAAATAATACAAATTAAATTCATTCTGTCAAATTTTCATGAAATTCACATTTTAAATTATTAAATAATAGGTACAAACCGGCATTTCCAGGAGGGCCTTCTTTTCCTGGGTCACCTCTGGGACCTATAGAAAATAATCAAAATTATTAATTGTTAATTATTTAAGTATTGCTTTATTTAATCAATCATACTTAATAGATTGAAACTAAAAATAGCTTTTTTTATTAAAATAACGGGATATAATATCTTACATCCTAATTAATAAGTAATCCTAGGTAAAATTATATTTCAGAAAAATATAGAAATAAATAACAAATGAAAATGTACTTATTTCACTTAAATGACTAACCTGGTGCTCCTGGGGATCCGACTTCACCAGCTACGCCTGTTTCTCCCTATTTTAATAACAATAATCACATAAGTTATTTTTTTAAGTACCTAATTTAATATGACATCATAATGTATAGTACTGATAAATACATTGAAATATTGATAAATAGTTTAAAATAACTAATTAAAAATGTTTATTAAATTACTATTAAGGTACTTACAGTCAAACCTTTGTCACCAGGTGGGCCTATAGGTCCTGGTAAACCTTGAAAACCGGGTGGTCCTGGTTCACCGACCTATAACAATCATTTTTAAATTACAACTTAAACTGCGTATCATTTAAACTATTAGGGTAAATATGTTTCAGCACTACACATGTGATATTTGTTCCCAAATCTCCCCTTGGGTCCAGTCAAAAATCCTCTATAATATAAAACTTTTAGTTATATATTAAACGTTTTACCTTTCCATCTGCTCCGGGTATACCACGTTCACCTGGCGGACCAGACTTCCCTGGAGGTCCTGGTTTTCCTATAGGTCCACTCAAACCTTGAAGTCCTAAAAATACATAATTTAGATATTATTTATTTTTTTTTTCATATTATATGTTTAGGTAGGTATATAAAAATAGGTTTCAAAAATAAGTTTTATACCTGGCATTCCCGGTCTTCCAGTATCACCAACAGCACCTATATACAATTATTAGTAAATTATTACGTAATTCATTTACACAACTCTCAGCTCTAAGTTATACCTTTTGCACCGGGAGGTCCTTCTGACCCTCGATCGCCAGGTGATCCTAAAATCAATTACATATTTTAACCATTTAATATTAGCAGAATAAATATTCACTATATTATCCAAATTTATTATAATAATGATTATTGATACTGTATAATAATGATTAGTTTTTATGCAAATTACCTTTGGTACCCGGGACTCCATCTGGACCAGGTAATCCACGTTCTCCTGAAAAAAAAAAAATAAATATATTGAAATAGAGAATACATTAATAATTATATATATACTAGATGTTAATGTATTTTTTATTACCTGGAAGACCGCGTTCTCCTTGTATCCCAGCGAGTCCTCGAGGTCCTTCAGAACCTTAATAAAATCAAAAGATATTTTTTAAATTTATATGGTATATTTGTTTTAACACAAATTAATTTTTAACAATATAAGCAATTCAAAACATTTTCAGATGATATTACTATAAATAAGTTTGATAATTCAATATTCAATTTAAGTAGATGCCTAACTGGCAATATTATAATATTTTTATGATGGCGTGTATTTGTAATATATTCTTCAAGCCTATTACTCGGGGGTAATCCTCCCTCCCCCTGAAATTTTTAAAGTACTTATATATTTATAATATAACAGACTAACTACAAACTTTATGTATAATTGTAAAGCTACAGTTTATTTTAAGTATTTATACATTTACTAGTTACCCAATAGTCATAACACGTTACATCTTAAATTGTAGAAAATTACTAATGTATATTTTATCGAAATCTTGTGGGAATTAATTGGTTCATAAATAATTTAATTATTATTCGCCAGTTATGAGTTCAGTCAGTTTTCCAGAAGTATTGAGTAATAATGAGAAATTGTTACTTCATTACTTCATTCTTTTGAAAATCTTTTATAAGGTCAGAAATTCTTAAAAAGTTCATAAAATACAAGCACACGTCACTAAACACTTATAAGAAAGTGTGAAACCCACTTAGTTGAATCCCACGACAGCTGTTTATGGTTTAAAGAACTATATTTACCAATAAAAAAAGCATTGAGGGAACTCGAATATCATCATAATTTAAAAACATCGCAACTTGTACTTCAACTTTCAAAAACTATTACCTCATGGTCGTTTGTAAATTATTGAAAAAATGTTTGCTATATATATAATATAACGGTACTATATAACATAGCTTTTATGTAAATCTCTACAAACCATAAATTTACATTTATATAAATGTTGTGATATATCAATAACTGTGTACAAGTTCTTCATTCAATTCGTGACTATAGAATTTCACAAATTACTTTTAGAAATAGAAAACATATTAAGCTTAGTAGATGGAACGGTTAAAACGTCATGATTAATTAGGCTAGGTATCTATATTATATTCCAGGAAATTCACAAAAACAGTACAATAAGAGATAAATATTTTGTTATTTTTAGACTAGCTACTTCAAAAGTTAATTAATTGAAAGATTTATAAATGTAAAATATTTTAAAAACCTCCCCTCCCAAAATAATTGATCCTAAATACGTGCTTGGACTGCCACTGTACTGCGTGTGAAACTATAAAACGTACCTTTTCTGCCCCGTTTGCCTTCCGGCCCATCCATACCGGGTAATCCTCTTGGTCCAGGGGTTCCTAAAAATACATAACTGTTCTAATTACACTGTTGGTACTTGATTTTACTTAGTTACCGAACAATAACTATTAATTAAAAATATATTTTTTAAATAAAGAATATCATAGATACCTATAGGTTAATAATAATATTTTCCATACTTAAATCTTACCGATTTCACCCTTTATTCCAGCTTCTCCTTTATAACCTCTTTCGCCATTAAATCCCTGAAAATAAATCTTTTATAAATCATAGTACTTTTTAGGAAATTAAAGTTTAGATAAATTTAAAAATAAAATTGAATTATGATTATATAAAATAAAATTATTAAACTTACATCAGTTCCTTTTATACCAGGTGGTCCAATACTACCTGGCTCTCCTGGAGCACCTCGAGGTCCTGGAAAACCGGATGGACCAATAGGGCCACTTGCTCCTTAAACATTTAATTTCAATAACAAGGTTATGAATTATGTTTCAAAATTGATTTTTATTTTATTTGAAACAAATTGGTATCATACATTTTTAGTCTACAAACAAATAAGTATTGCATTGCGTTGCATTATAATATTGAAAAAACTACCTACCTAATAAAGTGTAGCATAAAAATAAAATTTCAACAAATTGTATGTAAAATTAAAATATTTGATTTAAAATATATTGAGTGGTATCTATATAATATGCACATTATACATAAATATTTATAAATTATTACCTATGCATACAATTCAATATTTATTATAATCATAACAACCATACCTGGACTGCCTTTTTCACCCGGAGTACCATCTTTTCCAGGAGTTCCTGGTATACCTAAATATTTAATTTAATATTATACAAAAGATAATATACTAATATAGTAATTTATTATTTATTGTAGCTAAACATACCTGCGTCACCTGGTTCACCGGACTTTCCAGATTCTCCTCGTGGTCCTTGTAAACCAAAACTGCCCTAAAGTTATTATTAGGAGCATTTTATTCAAGTAACATTTAACAAAAATCAAAAATAAATAATCTACTATTAATATAAATTGTACAAGTAGCATAATTTGTAATAAGTAGATAGTATAATCAATACTGGGTACATACTTTTGGTCCTGGTAATCCTTGATCACCTTTTGCTCCGACCTACGATTAGGTTATAAACATATTATAATGGGTACAATTAATAAAACGAAACTGTTACATAATTAAAATGAATACTGTTATGTAGCATTTTAATATTTAACAATTACCTACATATTTTTTAAATTAATTCAATTAATTCAATTACATACCGATCCCGGAAATCCCGGTGGGCCAGGTTTTCCAATACTTCCAGGAGCACCAATAGCACCAAGTAAACCATCAGCACCTAAATTGAATATGAAAAATTAAATTTTTTTATTATCGCACAGGTACCGTATTTACGAGTAGTATAAATATTACTACCTACATAATATAGTTAATACTGATTATGAATACTAAACAAAATATTGCCGTCGTTAAACTGGAAATGTGTGTTTTTGTTTTATTTGTTTACGAATACGTATAGGTTTTTTTTTTAAAGTATTATTTAAATAAAAATACCATAAATGATTAAAGCACTCCATATTATAATAAATTATTTAAAACAAACCTCTAATGCCTGGTGGCCCGGGTGGCCCTTCTCTACCTCTTTCTCCCCGTGGACCAATTGGACCCTATAACACATTAACAAAATACCTATATCAATATTCCTTTAAATGAACTTCAATCAATACTATCGATTATTATGGATAATTACTGCTGGTTATATTCGCAAAAATTCTACATTATTATGATCAAAACTAAAAAAAAGTTAATAAATTATTTCATAATATAATTACACATTTTTTTTAAATTCTGAACTGAACAACAAATGTTTATAATTGTTTTGTAGTGATGTGTATTTTTTCTACCATAAAAAATTAGGGAGCAAAAATTAAAGTTACATCCTACAACTTCAGAAATTAATGAAAAACAATTTTAAAAATTAATCAGGTATTAAAATTTCTCATTTCAATGACAAGTATTGTGAAAAATAAATAACCATATTGATGAAGAATTCAAGTACCTAAACGTCAATATTTTATTACTAACTAACTCTTTTAATCTTATGTTTAACTTTCATTTTAAAATTAATATTTTGGTTGTCATAATTTGTACGTACAGAGTGCGACAAAACAACTCCTCTAGTTTCATCATACAGTAACCAACATACAATATACAGTTATTTATAATAATAAAATGGTGGGAATTAAGTTTATTTATGACGGGAATTCTATGTTACGATCGGTTTCAGTTATACAAATATCGTGGACTAATCAGCAATGCGCATTTGTTGTGGAAATTTATATTCGTAAAAACGAGTGTGTAGCGTTCTGTACTCGGTTTAAAATTCTTCCTGGTCAAGCAATTCCAAACCGAAAACTAATTATTTTATGGTTGAAAAACTTTAGAGATAGATAACAGCATCTGATATAAGAAATGGAGGTGGATGACTTCGAACTGCTCGAACAGCTGATTATTGGATCTTACTTTTTCGATGAAAAAATCGAGGAATTACCGTCAATTCTGAGCGGTAGACAGTACGGTACAGATTTTGTTTGCACCAGCTCATAGAGAGCTTGAAAAAATCGATACACAAAATATTTGGTTTTAACAGGACGAGGGCCACAGCTCACACACCACGAGCATCAATTCAGGTTTTGTGGGAAATGTTTTTGGGACGCTTGATTTCCAATAGACGATACCTACTTCATGGCTCGCGCATTCTTCGAATTAACACCGACAGATTTTTTTTTCTGTGGGGTTATATTAAATCTCAGATTTATAAATATCGTCCAAGGAATCTAGAAGCTTTGAAAGAAGCAATTATTACAGAAATTCTTCGTATCCCTCAAGAAATACTTGAAAAAGTTATGCAAAACTTTTTATTTCGCTTGGTTATCAGTAATAAAGAGCACCACTTGGCTGAAATTTTATTTAAAATTACATAAATTAAAATTTTCAATATTGCACAATAAATATATATAAAACCAATAAAAAATGTATAACTAAAATTTTTCTTTTTTTTATTCGCCTTTAAAACTACGGAGGGTATTTTGCCGCTCTCTGTATATCTTGATAGAGTGACAAGTAAAAAATATAGTTTTCTACATACATGTATACATTTTAAAAAAGGTAATATATTTTTTAAAAAACATAATATAATATTAAATAACTAAATCAAAAATGATTAGTATAGATATTTACTACTGAACCAGTGATCCCGGGTTGACCAGGAGACCCTATAGATCCCTTTTCACCAACAGCTCCTATAAAAAAAAAAGAAAATTAAATTTTAAAAATGTATAATAGTTATAATAAATAATTTGCGGAATCCCAAATGTACACTACGAAAAATCCTGTCACCTACGTTTTTTATTCTAAATTAGCAACAAGGTTCCGCAGATGTAAGAAAAACTTCATTTTTTTAGATTCTCAGCGTACGAGGAATGATATATTGGTTTTCCTATGATATGTGCATCATATTTTTTGTATCTATAAATAACTTGTCTACTATCTGTCTATCTATCTTAACTATTTATTTTTTCTAGTTTTTCTATTTTCAAAAATTACAAGAGACCTTGCATTTTGAATATAGTTTGATTGTTTGGTGTTCCTACCAGTTTTAATTGAAATTGAGAAAAATTTAAAAGAAACGTAGGAAATACGTTTTTAGGAAACTGTACAGCATTAATTTTTGGTTATTTACGATTTTGGTTTTTTTGTAAATCGCTTAAAAATTTGATTTTCCAAACAGTTTTTTTGCTATTTTTATTTTTGGGGTTAAATCACTACCGACTTTTTATTTTTAAATAACAATAGACATTCAAAATTCTCTAAATAGATAATGTAATAAGTTTTAGTGTTGGAATTTTTTAGTTATCGTTACTTTCTATTTCAAACTCAAATACATGACATGTGACCGTTACGTAAAGTAAAAAAATAGCCACTATATAGACCTTCCTAGCACATTATTTTAATGTTAGACTTAGTAAGCTGAAGAAGTCACTTTTGAAAAACTGTAAGTTTTATTTTTTTATATGTGTATGATGAATATTATAATATATAAACAATAAAATAAGTACTCTTATTAAATATGTATATTTATTAGGTACATTATATAGATTGTTTCCTCAATTTATTTTTACGTGTAAACTAGTTTAAATGGAAAAATAAATAAATACTGCTGGAAAAATACACTTTCTCAAAAATAAATGTTATGGAAAAACAAAATATCTAATGTAATGCGTTTATAATTAGTTAATATATTATTACCTTGTTCACCTTTTGCTCCATCTACACCAGGGTATCCTAAATGACCCTGCAATATAAAAACAATAATTTATTTATTATTTATATTTATTTTTAATAATTATACGTTAAATGTATAAATATATCAAACTTATTACCTTCATTCCTGGCATACCAGGCATTCCTGGTAAGCCTCTAGGTCCAGCTGGACCAATAGTCCCAGGCTGTCCTGGTTCTGCATCATGACCTCGTTCACCCTAAATCAACATTTATATATATAATATGAAAACTACTGGAACAATATATTATTACTAGGTAAGTTCAAACCTTAAAATTAATATTTTACCTATTAGGTCATACCTACCTGTAACCTCTTATCAGGAAGGTTTTTGACCTTCCTGGGAACTCTCAATTTTAGTCCTTAAATCAATAGTCCACCACTGCCCCCCTCTATATTTTTAAATTCATTTTTACTTTTAACCCATATGTATACTATAATAAAATATTAAATGTTTTATTTATACTTACGTCCCTGCCTGGTAATCCAGGAATTCCTCTTGGGCCAATTGGACCAGGAGAACCCAGCGCACCACTATCTCCAGTTTCTCCACGAGGTCCCTTATAGTAAATTAATTCATCATTATCTTAACAACTTATTGAACATATATTTTAGATTTTTAGAGTGTACTGTATTATCGTTAATATATTTTGTAATTTTAATTATGAATAAACATTACTTGAAAACCTTGAGGACCAGGGGGCCCAGGAGGACCCGGAGGTCCTCTTAGTCCAACCGGACCAACTTGTGCTTGCATGGTGTGAAATGGCTCAGGCGGATAACCACTATTGATTGGACCTTTATCTTGACTTCCGTGAACTTGAGCTAATTGCTGGTAATAAGTACTGATGTCTGGAACAGGACCTGGAGATCCAGGCATTCCTGTAATGTTTTCACTTCTAATTAGTGTTTTCAATATAAATTATACTATTATAACATGAAATATAAATTGTAAAAATAGGTATTGCACATTTTTCATTTATTTATGATATTTATGTTATTGTAATACTTAATTACAAACCTGGGATACCCGGTGAACCTGGGACACCTCGTTCACCAAATAGTCCAGGCTTTCCTGGTTCACCTTGTGGACCTGGTTCGCCCTATAAGGTTATATAATATAAATAATACATATTTCTTCTCGGTTCTCTTGTTTAATAATATATAAAATATATATAAGCTAATATCTAGCTATAAAATCAATATCTAACGAAACTGCATAAAATAAGATACAGCATAGTGATCGGATAGTGTCCTGGGGTGGAGGAGTGAAGAATCGAGATTATACAGCAGTTAAAAGGCAGGTCAAACTTTAATCAGTATGGTTAGGATTGGGAATTCGTCGTATAAATTGTCTAGAGCAATGTTTCTCAACCTTTTTATTGTCGTTTATTAGCCCTCTAAATGAATATTTAATTTTTTAGTCATCCTTAAATTTATGTTTTATACACGACGACCCAATATTTTATATTTTTGGCGACCCTAAATAATTAGTTGGCAATTCCCAAAAGGGTCACGCCACCCGGGTTGAGAAACACTGGTCTAGACGTCAGGTTTTACGCACGTAAGATACCCTTTGATTTTCCACCAGTGGCGGAAGGGCAATGATATAGGAAGTGAGTATATTTCAAAGAAAGCTTTGACCCAAACTTGATGAAACTGGAACTTGTGTGATCAAATTTTTGATCGGAATTATTTCCGCTTTGTTCATAAGCTTGGATAATATATAAAAATACAAAATTATAGTTATGAAGAAATGCACAATTTTTAGAGGTCAGTTATTCGTTTTGCGTGCCCATAAAAAACTCTCAGCTTGTCATTTGGAGAACAAATGATGTGAGACAACTATAAAAAAATTTTATTTACCTGTGTTGTAAATACAGTCACGTTTACCTTTATAGGCCCTTGAAAGGTATTTACTTACAATTAATTAGGGAAGTTTGCAATACGTCATGTGAAATGTCTGAAGGTTATCTATCTGATTTTCTATGAGCGTAAAAACACTCTTCGGTTTTTCAAAGGTAGTGAGTAATTAAGTTCAGAGTAATTAAGTTAAAATTTAAAATTTTTTTAAAATAAAGCATAAACGATTTCATAATGAATAGAAAGAAAAGAAATAAAATTAACTTAAATAACTCAGAGATATTTGCTGGCTTATGATAAAAAAATCACCTTGTATAAAAATAAACACCTTTATTTATAACGAAAAGCAAAAGTGGACTACCTATCTTCGAGTTGCTATGCAACACAGAATTTTAGTTAATATATAGGTACTAATTCTTTAAGTAAAAAAAAAATTTTAAACCACTCAAAGAAACCTTTAAAATCAACATTTTGTCTTTTAAAAATAAGAAATTTCCGTTACATAAAAGATTGGTACACAAATGTATTATATTTATAATATTTTTAAAAATTGTTTGACTTAGTATTTACATTTATATTTTTCTGATTGCTTAAAAAAACGTACTCTATAATCTATATAATATTGTTTTAAAATTTTAAACACTTACCCGAATAGTTGGAACTGCATAAAATGGTGGTGGTATTTTTGTATCTAAATAAAATGTATTATATTTTAAACGTTATATCTTGAGTACGATTACAATAACTTACTTGATACATCCTGAAAACTGTTGTTTATGTAAACATCAGGTTCTTTTGTTTCTTCTTGTCTTTTATTTTCGAAAGTTTTATTTCGTAATGGTTTTAATCGAGATCTAATATGAATTGGTGGTATAGTTGTGAAATAAGGTGGTTCAGTTATAAATTCGTCTACGGGTCGTGGTAGAATATTAATTTTTGTTTTCTTGGATGAAACTTCATCAAACAAATTATTAGACTCTTTGAATCCTACTTTATAAGCTGGTAAATCTAGATTCGATCTATCAGTCATATCAATTCTTTGTGATTCTTCAGGTACTTCAGTGCGATCAACAGGATTTTCTGTTGGTTCTTCTAATTTTTCCGTGGGTTCTTCTGATCTTTCTTGGGGTTCTTCTGGTGTATTAGTGGACTCCTCTGGTATCAGTGTAGATTCTTCTGACCTTTCTTGGGTATCGTCTGTTCTTTCTTGATGATCTTCTGTTCTTTCTTGAGGTTCGTCTGTTCTTTCTTGAGGTTCGTCTGGTCTTTCTTGAGGATTGTCTGGTTTTTCTTGAGGTTCGTCTGGTTTTTCTTGAGCATCGTCTGTTCTTTCTTGAGGTTCGTCTGGTCTTTCTTGAGAATTGTCTGGCTTTTCTTGAGGGTCGTCTGGTCTTTCTTGAGGTTCATCTGGCTTTTGTGCATATTTTTCTTCTTTCAATATGCCTCTAGGTTCTTCTGGTCTTTCCTGGGGTTGCTCTGGTCTTTCCTGAGGTTGCTCAGGTCTTTCCTGAGGTTGTTCTGCGCTTTCTGTAAATTCTTCCGGTAATTCTGTAGTATGTTCTAATATCTTTGGAGGTCCTTCTTGAATTTCTTTAAACCTTACAAATTCTTTGTCGATTTGTCGAGTAATGTGTTCTCCTAAAGCATCTATATTATTCTTTGTTCGATATATTTCTGTGGGATAATCTTCGTTAGGTGGCGGTGTCAGGGGAGGTGGGGATGAATAGTCTCGCGGCGTAACCGTTGGTTCACCTATAAAACAATACAGTTTCCATTTTAAATGGTAAGTGCTTAATAACAATTTAATACTTATAGTGGGTACCCTAAACCAATGTTCAATGTTATTAATACAAAATAAAAATATTAATCTGGAAATAGGTTTTACAAAAAACCAGCTGATACTACGACGTTTTCAAAAACAAAACGATGCTCTGTTAAATATTTATTTCTGAATTAAATTTAAGTTTAGATTTTGAGAAGTGATTGAGTGATCAATGTATACAATATACAGAAGTTAACACTTGTATGCTAATGTATACACATAAATCGAAAAAAATGGCACCTTTTCAAAATGATGATAATTTTTAAGAGTTTCTTCATTTGCTTCGAATGCTTGAACAAAAAAAAACAACTATTGTGACAATAATATAGATTTTAGATTCTGAGCATAGCGAGTAATATATTGGTTTTACTATGATGTGTTTTTTTTATGCCTATAAACAACTTTTCAAACAGATAAGAAACTACATTCGAAAAATGACAAAACGTCTTTTTTGTTAAATTATGGAACTAGTTGGCACGTTTTAGATCTGATTAAAGAGGTATTTTTTGAATTTTTTTTTGAACTATTAAATAAATATGACTTATAATACATTTCATTAAAAATTTAATATGTCAAAAATGTAAACAACACCTATAAGAAATTCAAAAATACTTTTAAAATTGAACCACTTCTAAATAAGGTTAATAGGTTAAAGTATTCTGTGAAAATTTCAGGTCGCAATGAATAATCCTAACCGAATAAAAACTATACAATAAAACAAATGGACATAAGTCTCTGCACTATAAATAGGCCACTGTAGTAGATGAGAAGTTGAGAAGGTAGGATATAGTGGATAATTTAATGTACGCAATAATTATGTAACTAACGAAAATCTGAGCGGAATTCGGTTATATATGTTTTAAAAGTCCTTAGTATTTACGATTTTCGTAAAAATTCTTATGAAAAAATTCTACATTACACAAGATTTTTTTTTTTTTTGGACTATGAATTTATTATAAAACCTCGTGTTAAATTTTCAGGCATTTCTATTTGGTCTAACAATTTTATCCACAGAGTGGATTTTATTTACATAACGATTAAAAAATTCCATAAAAAACTCACAAAATTAAAATTTCTATATATAGCTCAAAAATGACGCAAATGTTTTTAAAATTGTACAACGTCTAGAAAAGGCAAATATGACTTTAAATTGTCTAAATTTCAAATCTCTACCAATATTTTTAACCGAATTACAACAAAAATATAAAATTCAAAAATAATAAAACCATTATTTTCCTAAATATTCCCGTTCTTTCTACGTTTTTTTGGTTTTGCTCAATTATTAAATAAAAATATACAGAAAAACGGAAAACGCTTATCTCACTCACCAACTAAATTAAAAATGCAAAAAAATTATCTATTTTCGTTGTTTTATTAGAGAAATATTTCTGGTAGAAAACATAAAGCGTAAAAATATTTGATATTGGGGATGGGTGCAGACGTTGTTTAAGTGAGAAGTTTGGATAGAAGGACACATAAAGTCATTTGATTTACACCTGCACGAACAAATAAACCATTGCTACAGAAAAACAAGCAATATTCTGTCAGACATATTTTGAAATGTCGTGGCCGTAATTTTTATGATTCTCGTCAAAATTTGATCATAAAACGTTCATGGAAAAAAAACTTATGTATTAAATTCAAATCTATTGTTTAGACCACGAATACTTTTTCTAGTTTTACTTTATTAGTTTTCTTTTCGGTTTTTGTCAATGACTTTGAAAACTTCTTGGAAAATCAAAAGATAGCATTTCTAATGTACCACAAACAGAGAAAATTTCCTTTTAGAAAAGGTACTACACTGTATACGAAGGATCAGGATTTCTGGTAAAAAGTTATTTAGAGACAGAAAAAAAAACATACATCACAGTAAAACCAATAGATCCCTCACTACGCTCCGATCTAATAATGAAATCGGTAACGTCGTGGCGTGCTGTAAATATTTCTCCGGTTTTTTTTTTTTAAATGAATATAAAAACCCAAAAAATGACTTCTCCTATGTAGAGCCAGATCTATAATATTATCAACAAGGTATTTTGGCATTATTCGATAGGAGACAATTTTCTGGTAGAAAAGTTGTTTAGATACGAAAAATAAAAAACATTCGAACATTAGCAGATAAATGAGGTCGTATTGTACGTTAAACTGTATCGGCATTTTGGATCTCTATGATTATTTCTCGTTTATCTTATTTTAAAACCGAGGTTTTGGTTGATAATCGACTACTCTTGATCGTTTATATCAGTAGTTTTTAACTTGTGCGTCGCGGCTGTCAGGGGCGTCGTGGTTTAGTATCAAAGGTATCACATCTATAGTAAATACAGTAAAGTTTGTAATATACGATAAAATATTTATTCACCTATTTTAATTTTTATTATTATCATTATTCATAAGGGAGTCACTAATTTGGATTTCAAAATCAGAAGAGCCGTGAACCCAAAAAAGTTTAAAACCACTGGTGTATATCATTTACTCTAACAATAATTTAACGTAAACGTCGTTGAGAATCTAATAGCTGTAATAGAAGCGCAGTTTTTAGGATTGTGTTAAGGAAAAGGCAAAGGGGGCAACTACCCTAAGCGCTGGTGTTGCCATAAATTTATGGTGTGTCAAATTTCAGATCGATGTTATGATTAGGGACTATAAACATAATGATTGTTCTATATCAGGATTGGGCAACTGGTGGCCCGCGGGTCGTATCCGGCTCGCGTATACCATTTTTCACTGGCCTATGCTACATTTTCAAATTAATTATTAAATACCACAGATATAAAAAATAAATGTTGATTGTAAATTTCAAATTTTATTGACATTTTTTTTTGCTTTCTATGTTCTCTGGCCCGCTATATTTTCAAATTCTGAAAATTGGCCCTCTAGTAACATTAAGTTGCCCATCCCTGTTCTATATGATGCGCCAATGATAGTTTTCACGGTATTAGTAATATTATACTATTATTTTGCCGATTAGTGAAGACTGTGTCAGTGAATATTATAGTGCTATTTCTCTGAAATAAACAATTATAATACGTCACGTATTTAGTAGTTATAACAAAATTTTGTTGAACACCTATAGGTATAAGATATATTATTTATAGTTCTTTAATTTTATCATAGCATTTCACGGTTATATGCGAACTTTGATTCTTTACCAAAATTCCATATACATTGTGGGTTCAATATAATCAATGATTTTATATAACTATTATAAATATCATAATATTATATTATATCGGTATTTTACAATATCTACCTATATTATATACAGTTTCCGGTAGGTACCTATAGCTATATTTTATGTTATAACAATAATTATGTAATATTCATAATTATTAAAGTTTAGATAACGTAATGCAAACACATTTTTTGAAAATATAAACCTAATAACTTAATCAGAGGCGTATATAGGATTTTTTTAGGAGGGAAATAATATTTTTAGAGCCTAAATTTTTCCTAAAACATCATAGACTTTCAAAATATTAAGTATTAAGCCGAAGAGTACCTGAAAACCTAATAATAGTCCCCCAAAAATATGTATATGCTCTGATCACATCCAAAAATAATCTTTCATCATAATTGAGTTTAGCTTTTGACTTCAGTTTCTCCCGTGTAGAGATTTAATAACAATGAACATAGTAATATTCATATTTTGATACTTTTTTTGTTTTATTAATTTAAAATAACAAATTTAAGTTTTTGTTTTTTATACACGACTAGGTAATTGAAAACCTCATCTGTTAAGATCTCAACTTCACTATGGAAAAACTGCAAAGCTAACCCATTTAATCTATAATTTATAATCACAAACAAAACACAATATTTATAAACAGTTAAATTTCATATTTTTATTGAAAATTTTATTTTTATTTTGTTATTATTATTGTGTAATATCACTAACAGGATAACAAAGTAAAAAGCATAAAAATGACTGGGACAAGGGTTTTGAATTTAAACTAATAAAAAATGCTTTCTTGCCACTAACGCAATACATATTCAAAATTACATCCCTCTTATAAGTTCACTGAACGGGCCTGTAGAGGTAATCAAAGCTTAAAAACACCCTCTTTCCATAAAAACTTGCTTAAATTTATATTGAAGTACAATCTAACTTTTTTCATTTTAATTCACCTGTAAAACGACTATAATTGCCGAGTTTAATCTTGGTCCAGAGAAAACTGTTAAACAGTAAATAATGTTTAATTTTGTAAATTATTTTTTCGCTGTTATAAAATTATAAAAATAGACTGGAATTAGCCAAATATCATTCAAACATTCGATTAGTAAATGGGTGATAAAACTTTACATTACATTATATCCCTAATATGATAATATGATTACGTATTTATAATATTTACAACACACTCCTCGTGGAAGAGGATCAGAATATTCCAACTGTACCTCTACCTGTAGTAAGAGGTGACAAATGTGGTTGAATCAGGTCAACAACCGATGTAAAATCCTGTCAAATAGTTTGAGGCGTTCTTGAAAAAATTATTGCAGATTGTCCCATCTTAGAAGTGCGTAGAGACAATGGGTGAAAAGAAATATCGTGATGCAGGATATTTTGCAGATGATTTAGCTTTGATAAAAGAAAATTTAGAATAAGTTAACAGTAGGCTTGAGTAGCACTTGAAAGAAAGGGACTAAGGATAAGTAGAAGTAAAACAAAGTATGAGTTTAGTGAAACAGGACAAGACAGCTAATGGCAATAAGCAGTTACATACGAGATTGAAAGTTTTAAGTACCTAGGATCTTTTGTACAAAGAACGGTGGCTTTCATAAGTATGAGAAATAAAGGATTACGAGTGCTTGGACAAAGTGGAGAGGAGTAATTAGTTTAATTCGAGTAAAGTGGAGTAATTTTTTTTAAGTTGACTTTAAAATAAAATACTTTTAAATTAATCCATTATACATTTGTATATAGACATATAAAATTGTCGAATAAATTGGACGGGAAGGTCTATGTTCTAAGAAGAAGTTCTTGTTTTTTATTAACCTAGGGGTGCCTTTTAGGTAAATCCGGCTCTGATCACTGATGATGTTGATGAAGGAAGAATTCTAATCTTTTTGTCAAAAACTGGTACAATAAAACATCAATTGATTTATTTCTAACATCACTTGACAGAGAAAAACATTGTCAATATGATATCCAACACTCGTAACAAGTAGGCACTTCCGGGTAGTCAAAAACGAGTTCAGACAGGAAAATATACATTATAGGCAAACGATAATGTACAATGTACCTTATTTACGAGTAAAAATTACATAATTATATACTATAAGTACTATGGTATATAGACTAAGTTTTGAAAATTCGAAGTTAAGTTTACTTATTCAAAAAATCATTAGTTAATTGTTTTAGTTTTAGGTAATTTTTTAGATTTTTTTGAAATCCATTGAGAAATTAATAATTATGTGTACCCATATATAAATCCGTCTTCTAAATATACATTTTAAATGTATATTTGCGCTAAAAAATAAACTTTACATCTTTACAAAATTTTAGTCCTTCGAGTTTGCGATGGCAGATGTAATCATGGATAGTGATGTCCCACGGGAAATGTTCTTCAAAACCACTTTCTCTACTTTCCCGTCTTTCTCCAAAATTAAATTATTATGTGACATTTCAAATTGTATCATTTTAGAAGACTATACGAGGGCTAATCAAAAAGTATCGAGACTGATAATATTACTCGGAAACCGAGCGTTGAAGAGCAAAGCGATTTGTAAACCTAACTTCTATGACTTATACTGAGCATATCTATTCGTATAAAATCTCTATAAACTTCTTCGTTTTGATTTGACGATATTTTTCTAAAATTTGTTATTCACGTTTGGCGATTTCGTAATGAATCCAAAAGAAGCGGAACTCGCTGCCACTCGAGGGCACATTTTCAGTTTTTCAATTGATATTTAATGGCAAAAAAAACCATGAAATGTTGCATCCTTCTGAAACTGGAAAAAAATGCAGACAAATTTTCTAAAATCTCCAAATCTGTCAAGTTACTCTTCTTTTGGGTTTATTACAAAACCGCCAAACTCGAAAAATATATTTTACAAAAATATCAGTGAAATCAAACCGAAGAATTTTATAGAGAAGCAATAAAAACCAATGTACTCAGAAAAAGTCATACAAGCAAGTGATACCAATCCTACTGCTCTTCGATGCTCCTTTTCCGAATGGTACTACCAGTCTTGATACTTTTTGATTAGCCCTCGTATATACTAAACATTTTGAAAAATTGTTTTCGGAAATTTGTCCGGTCCTTCAATCATCTAGTTAATCACCACACAATTATTCGTCGGATAAATTTATTTGATTTTAGTTTTTAGATAAGATAATAAGTTAATGTTAGACATTATTAGGTACATACATTTTACGTAGAAAAAGTAAATATATATATATTTCAAGTTGTTGCTATTTTAAAGCGCCGGGCCATTATGTGTAGTCAAAAAGTCGAATAATGTTTATAAAATATACTTTCGCAATTTGAAGAATGTTCCCCGGAGTTTTTCCCAAAAAAGTCTCAGTCACTAGGCAATATAGTCGTGGCCGGCGACAGTGGCGCGATGAACGCCGTTTCCTTGTACATGCTGAGCGATCGAACTCTGGAATTATAAGCGAACGGGGACGAAGTGGGGGTTGTCGTTTTTTAATAACTCGCCGAGGGTTTGAAATACGCTCGCGACGCCACTGACCGGCCATCGAATTTACAATCAATTAGCATAATAATAATAATAATAATATTGTCGTAATACTAAAGTGTTCGGAGTCGACCGACTGCGGCGTAGTCTTCGGGCTCTTGTTATAGTCGCCGTTGTTCTCGTACTCGTCGTCGTAGTTAACGTCGTCGTAAGCCACCTCCGCCGCAATCCTGAGATCGGGATCGTCGGCCGCCGGACGCGCGGGCCGGATCCTTCTGCTGTTGTCGTGACGGCGGGCCGGCGAAACGGCCGCTTCGGCGACCGGAACGGTCCACTGCGCCGTCAGCAGCACTACGGCGATCATCAAGAACGCGGACGCCATAGCGACGAACGCGGGTGGTGCAGGCGAACGCCGTTCCGCGGTGGTTCCCGCGTGCCGGACACCCGGTACGTGTTAACTTTCAGAACGGTCCGGCGGGCAATACAACCGCGGAACGGTACCGGGGTATTGGCGGGAATTAATATCGATATTGTAAAAACGGCAGCACTACGACCGATCGGTACCGCGGTCCGCACCAGTTTAAAATAGAGCGACTAGATAAGGGCACTCTAGTGTTTGAAAATGAAGAAACCGGCGGCGGCAGCGGCGTCTGAAAAAAACCGCGCGCGCGCTTGTCCGGGCGCACAACGCACGTACGCACCACCGCGCTTCGCCCAATCAATTAGCGCGGTTAATCGTATTGTTTAATAATAATTGTAACGATAAATACTTCGTACGTTACTGCACGCGTATATGCATAAATTGGTTGTGAATAAATATTATTAAAACCGATTAAACGTGACTGTGCGTAATATGTTTTGTTACATTGAACGAACGTAAAACGTCTAACCGGGATATCCAATAATACGGTCCGCCGATACCACACAAGTAGTCGGCCACTCGGGCCGCGGGTACCATTGACCCTGCCGCGCGTCCCGCGTCTCGCGTCCCAACACAGACGACGACGGCGATTGCAGCCGGCCCGCGGCTTCCCGCTAGATTTCCGTCCAATCGTCCGCTCCGCGCGCGCATAACAATATATCCCGTGTACATACACAATAATCATAATAAACTAATAACAATGTAGACGATTGCGGATGCATCGCTACGATCGTTGCGATTCTAATTAATTGTTATTAGTTTTACGTGATTTGTAAATGCAATTGAGTACGGCGCGGCGGCGGCGGTGTCGTATTCTCTGATTTTTCGCGGAACCAATCCGCCGGATCGTCAACGGCCACAATCCGGCGGCGCCCGGTCGTCTTATATTAAATTTTAATCGGTACGACAGAACCTTTAACGACTTGCGCAGCTCTGCACACCAATGCCTTGCACCGGTACATTTGCAGTGTATAATAATACGAAAAGTGGCTGCGGGGCCCATGAAGACAGTGACATGCCCGTTGTCGTTGGTGCGGGGAAGGGGTAAGAGTTATATCCCCCGGATCAGCTTAAAAATACGGGCAAACAATATTTTTGTACATTTTATTACACGGGTATTGGGCCACAAATAAAAGGTATATTTTTAAAGGGTACCTGGAGATTGGGCCACAAATATATAACACAAAAATATATAATTTTAAATATATTAAAATGCATAAAATAAAATACAATACCTGTAAAATTAGTCAAATAATCATACATTTTTTTAAAAATAATGCAATACAGATTGCTTTGCACAGTATTCAAAAGTGCCGTCAACATAAATCGATTATAACGAACACATAAGAAATTTAAATTTGTAATCGTGAAAAAATAATAATATGGTTCAAAATAATGGTGTTAAATAAAGGTTTGCATTTTGTCAAATCTAAAATGTATTAAAATATAATGGCCCAATTTACGGGATTCAATAGTGAAAAATCGTTTAAAATAGTAGCCCAATCACCGGGTCTACCTGCTGTTAATGTAAAATTTGAGTGGCCCAATTACCGTATACTTTTTTGAAAAAAGGTTCATTGTGGCTTAATTCCCGGACGCCCAAAAATACAACTACCTGTACGATTATAGTGATGCTAATTAAATCTAGAAACGTACTACAGGTACACATAACAGCCGAGTTACAAGGAAATGTCCGGTGATTGATTCCGGTTTTTAAATTCACATTATATAGTCAAGTTGGGTAGAGAAGAAAATTCTACGAATTTATTCGCGATTATTATTGGCTACATGCCATCCCATTGAAAATTAGAAATCAATAGTACTTCAAAAAATAACAATGGATTTCGTGGTGACTTGTATAGTTATATATATACACATTAAATTTATTTAGGTACATGCTAAATTCACAAAAGTAATATTTTGCGACATTTCAGTTTTTTTTAATTTATGTAGGTACCTAATATTTTAATACGACAAAAATTTTAGCGTAATTTTTCAAAAAAATGGAAGTAACCCAGATAGAAAGATCATTATTACTATAATACTTTATATCAATGGTACTATAGCATTTTATTTTATATTCGATGTGTGATGAGGAATGTCCCTATTGGTTTTACAATGAGGTTTATTATTTTTTGTGAACTACTTTTCTACCAGAAATCTTGCTCCGATGTATAAAGTGTGGCAATTTTCCGAAGAGTAAATTTTATTTTCTTGGTACCTATTTTAGAGAGGTCATTTTTTGATTTTCCGATTAGTTTTCATAGTAGGCAATTAGGAAAACAGTAGAAAAAACGGGAAAATGTACGTAAATATATGAAAGAAACTTCGCTCTGAATCGTTTTTCGATTGGATTATCGAATGGATTATCGTTGCATACAGATAAATTCAAATTCTCCTCTATATCCTACCTTCTAAATTTCTCAACTACAACAGTAGCCCACCCATCAAAGTATGTCCGTATTTCTAATGACTATTATTTTTATTATTTAAAGACTATTCATATAAAATTTTAATAATATAGAAATATTTTTTTCACTACAATGCAATTATTATTATAATTATAAATTATTTAATCTGTCAATTTTTACTTTGGTAATAATAAACAAATTCAACACATCGATATTTTGTCTGTCGGCGTTTCGACCGGCTCTCTAAATTTACTCTCACAATTATTAATAATAAACGTTTATATTTTATTATTTTACTGCAATCTACAACAGTTTTAATTTTACAACAATTAAAGTCTAAAATTTACTATGTGTATGTGTAATCTCTGCACAAAAAACGTTCAGTGTAGTTGACTGTCGATATTTTATAAATCTTGGAGTTTGAGGAGCCCCCAGACACAAATACGACCGGCCCAGCCGTGTTCGCGGACTATAACGGTCCTGACCAGGTCGAAATTGGGAACGGAGAGAACGGGGTCCCCTCCCTTCTTATTTAAGGTAAATAAGAACACAAGTACATAAGTATACAAGTATACAATTATATAAATTTATCAGTTCCTCTTAGTTCGTCTTTGAAATCCGTAGGAATACTCTAATTATTGTCACTGCGGAATTTTTAGTGAAATTTTAACATTCAAATTATTTTCACTGAGCAAACATTTTATGTGAGAGTAGGATAATATTTGATGGAGGGGTGACTTATTTTTAAACCCTATTAGTATAACATTTTTGTGAACAAGTGTGCGTGAGAGAAAATAATTTTGTTAGTCTTGAGATTTAAGATTTAGCAATCTACGTTTACTTGAAAAAAGTAAATTTTTTATAAACTACTAAGACGACAGACAAATTTCATAATAGATACATAATGTTTTAACGGTTCAGTAAACTGCATTCAATTAGGTTTTTAATTCAATCTAACAATTAAAAATATGAATTTTTTCATCATTTCAAAAGATATTTCGGAAGCAGTCATAATTCTCCCCCCTACTATAGTAGTATAGCTCCGTGGCTCCATCTTGAGTCACAGAATTGTCTTGCATTCTCCACGGATAAGCTCCGTCATCTTGTATTATAAGAGAAAATTAGTGCGTAATTTTTTTTGTATAAAAATAATGTCATACAATCTTTTTTATTATCAAACATGTATAATTTAACATAAAATAGCTTAAATGGTAACAATCAAGACCACTAACTATTTTTTCTAAGATCATTTAGTTATATCTACATAGGTTTTATTTTTTTAATAGTTGCCACCTTTTATATTATATGTTATATTATATTATATACATATACATATGCATATAATATTATATGATTATGTTAAAATTGCATACACACTATACCTTACAAATATTGGGGTGCCAGACATATTGAATAGATAGGTACATAAATTGCCTCACTTGATATTTGAATATAATTCCCCGTTCACAAAATTGGGTTATCAGTCAAGTACGGAGTCAAAACTCAAGTCATAAAGAAAACATGTAGGTTAGTACTCCCAAGACAGTATATAACAGAAAAAAAACGTGGAAGGGGAATTCAAATCTCTAAACCCCTATTCCTGCTAAGGACAGTTCTTCCAATAAAATTTACTAAAAGTAAATTTCAGTTATGGTAATAATAGTTGTTTATTTAGCTGAGAAACAAAAAAAAAAAAAAGATTATAAATTGGCACCACACGTTTAAAGTCCAAATGTGCATTACAAATCAGATATTGTATTTTGTAGAACTAATTTTTTATATTTCATAATTATTATCTCAAAACATCGATTTGTTTTATTTTATTTCATTAGTGTGCCAGATCTTACATATTATGGATAGGTATATGAAATTATTTAATTAAAGTTGATTTATCAAATTAGATCTTTGGAGATGTATACAGGACTGTGATTTTTTTGATTTCTTGTACTTTTGTGGAAATCAAAATTTCTTAAATTAATATTTTGAGATTGCATTAAAAATTTTAAACAAATTTAGAGTGAAGATTAGCACAGAATGAACTAGAAATATATTTTTTTAGTGTTTACAGGTCATAAGGTGCATTTGGTTCTGTGACCCAATACCAATCAGAAGTTTGAATTTAAATAATCACTATTTGATTGTAATTATTCATAATAATAAACTATTATCATATTATAAAGGTACCTAAATTTTATTTTATAAGTTTCAACTCAAATTTATACTTTCAATAATTTATTCAATGTTATAATAATTTGAGTTTACTTTGTACATCAATTTAACTTAATTAAGCAATAAATAATTTAATTAGATACAGATTTTTAAAATAATTAATTTTAAAACGTAATATTACAAAAGTAATTGATATTTAAAATAAAAATGAAACAATGTTGGATTGTTAAAAAATTTGATGTCAATCCGTATGCTATTTATATGGCAATGGTTACTTATGACAGATTTTAATAAGACAACAAACATAAATACAGGCTATATTGAAAATATATAACTTAAAAATCTCATGGTTTTTTTTTTTTTAGTTTATGAATAATAAACTCAACTAAAATCATAATTGCTGCAACTTTATAGTTTAATTTTTAAAAACAGAAATCTATAACTTTTCACTCCAGTTATCTAAAACATGAATAGAACAAAAATATATTAATCTAAATAGCAGTTCCCTTTTGACCTATTGAGCAATACTGTTTGTTAATGAATGGGCATACGGTTAAAGCATATTTAAAAAATACACAAAGTTCAGACATCTTTGTGATTATTTCATTGTAATGTCCTCTTGTTATCGCACATTTGGATTTGATTTACCATTACCTACTATATCTATAAATACATGTACAAAATAATTATGTATATATATTTATAAGGGATCAATGAACAAAACTTAGTTTTAAAAATTGAATAAATCTAAAATATATTATATAAATGTAATTCAGTACGGAATATATAATAAAGCTTTGATTAGATGAGTAAAAATAATAAAAATACTATTAATTTAACAATTAAAATGATAAATAAATAAAACTCACAAACAATAGCTAATAATAAAATAAATAAAATTTATAATATGTACTTAAGTGTTTTTTAGAAACTTTTGCACACATTATTTATTATGTCAGAAATAATGGTGATTTAACATATAGGTAGTCTGAAACATTAATTACATTATCAAGTAACAAAAAAATGAATGTACAACAATATACGTTCAAATTGAATTTTGGAAAGAGTAGAAGAAGACAAAGCACCACGGCTGAAGATATGTAAAATATTCAAACATTATTTCTGACCATAACTAATAATAATATTGTTAATTAATGTTATATAAATAATTAAATAATAAAGTAATCAATTAGAACGACAGTCAACGGTTTCGTTGTTAAAAATAACATGGCTTTATTGGAACCTCAAAGATTTGTTTTTTCATCATAGCATCAATGACCCTTGGCAGCTTGTTTAGCAGCCATTATCAACGGAGTCAAACTAGCTAAAGGCCTTGAAAGCTTCAAAAATGGGTGCTGTAAAAATTATTAAAACATATTTGTTTACAAATTATTATTGAATATGTTTAGAGTTCAATTTAACAGCAAAAATTAAATTTCCACAATAAATACACCCACGCATATTAAATAATAGATGTTAAATAAGGTATACTTAACATATTTTATAATTTATTTAGAATTGTATACTATTTAATTTGCATACACTAATATACCAAAGTACTTAGTTGTAATATAAATATTGGTATAATTGAACACATTTCTTAAGTTTGGATATAATTTTATCAATTGCTGAAATATCTTCAAGAATATGAAAAAGGTTAAATGTTATCTAGAATTGGTAAAAATTAATCTAAAAAATATATGTATTTTTTTTTATTATCAAATATGTTGTTTGCCATTTGTTAAATATTATATAACATATGAAAAATGATTTTAATTGATAATAATCCCAGTAAAAATTATTGTAATTAACTTAGTTCTGATTAAATGATAATTTGGTCATTATAATATGATTTAGAGAGAAATAAAAAAAAGTATTTTAATATAATTATTTTTAAAAAATATTAATATTTTATAAAAATAAAATATTCAAATTCTACTTAAATATGATAAATTTAAAATTTAATTTAAAAAAAAAAAAAACTACACCATAATATTGAATAATGACATTATAACTATTATTGCTTTTATTATTATTAGATCAGAATTTTTATTAAAGAAAATTAAACATAATAGGTATTTTTTGATCACTATAGAACTACTATTTATGCTCAAATCAAAATTAGAATGAAAAAAAATATTTTTTTTTGCGTGCATTCATCTAATATCACAATAATTGTTTATTAAAAACAATTAATTGTTGATCTAAAGCCAGACCAAAGCAATATTATGGTCTGTAAGAAACATGTAGTTTCCACATTGTTGATAACAATATGTATGAAAAGTTAATATTTATGTTTTTAATCAAGTTAGTAACAATATTTTATTTTTATTTCCATATTAGAGAAAAATGATGGTAAAGATAAAAAGATGCAAGGAAATATTATTGGTAACAATATATATTTCTCTCCTGCAATTTTGTTGACATCTTAAGAGTGTTATCAAATGGTATTCTTACTATCCCAGTAGCCCATTGTGACTCATAAAAGTATTATTATGTAATTACGTCTACTCACATGCTTCTTTTTCCTAAAAGGTAGAAATTTATTTAAAATTTAGTTGTTCAGTTACAAATTTTCCACTTAATTTAGTACCAATTGATTAGCTTAAAGAAAAGAATGCATGGTTAATAAACTTATACTATAACAAACCATTATTATAGAATCCTAAACATTATAAGGTATACAACTTAAAATTACTGTGCAAATTGCTACAATATCTATAACTGTCTTACTCGTTAAACATCTTACCAAACAATAAAAAGTGGACAATAATGTTTCTATAGTCTGGTCACACATATTTTTCAAAATTATTGAATTATATTAAGATTAGTTAAAAACATTCACCAAAAATTGACAACAAAGTTGTCCATAATGCTGCTTTGGTCTAAATATGGTTTTAGGGAAAAAGGAAAAGGTTTATATCTTATCTATTTTCTGATCTCCAGTCTTAACTTAAGAAGTTATAAGAAGTTATAAGAAGTTATTTATTATATATGTATCCAATTCTAATAAATCTTTTTTTGATGATTGAATTCACAAAATCTCCCCGTGTACACCCACAAGAACACAATAAACATTGTCAACACTTAAAAATACACTGTTCATTAGCAGGAATACACTTGTATTAGTGTATTAAAAGCAAAATAGACTCAAGGTACAAATATGATATTATATAATACTATAGTAGTATAACCACTAGTAGTTATATAAAATATAATTACAAAGCTCAACTTTCTTTTAATTAAGTAAATATTCCAATGACTCACTTTTAAAAGTTCAGAAGCTGAAGCACGATCTTCAACCTCTACTTCAAGGCACTGGTCCAAAAAGTCTTGAAAAATTGGAGACAATTTTTCTTTCTCTTTAATTTCTGGTTTTCCATTGGTTGCAATTAAATATAAAGCCTAAACAAATATGTTTTATTATAGTCTGAGTTATGGACTAGAACAAAATGGTATACAATATAAATTTCATACTCTTAATGGATTTTCATTTAAATATGGTGGTTCACCTTCGATCATTTCAATAGCCATTATACCTAATGACCATATATCTACTTTAGGACCATATTGTTTACGTGTGACTACTTCTGGAGCCATCCAATATGGTGTTCCAACCATCGTAGTACGTTTGGATTGCTCAGGTGAAATTTGGGCACAAAAACCAAAATCAGCTGATTAAAAAAAACAAAAAAACAAAAACAAAGAAATTATTAAAATTGCATTAGTTTTTATTTATTGTTTTTTAGTATACTAGTTACTTAAAAATAATTTACATAAGTTTAGCAATAAATTTTTTTTCATTTATAACAGTAAAAAAGAAAAAATGGCCACCCATCAACACTATACACAACATATTGATATCCTGTTCTTACACTGAAGTGAAATTGAAATTTGTAGAATAATAAATTTACAAAACTAATTAAGTTAATATGAATAACATCTAAAATCAGTTGAGACAGAACCTAGATATGCAAACTTGTACCTAAAATGGATAATTACCTAAAGCGATTAAAATCTTTTTTCGAAATATTATAGTATGACATGTAAGTAATTGTGTACATCAATGGTGTAATTAAATCAAGAATAAATGTTTAAACAAAAATTGTTTTCACGGCCTACATTTTCATTAGTTATATGTATATGCATGAAATAATTTAGTCTGTTTACATTTTCCTATTTAATCATCCTTGTTAACATTAACTCATATATTATCTCCATATTTAAAGAAGATTACTTCACTGTACTTAAATTAATAATTAAATACAAAAAAGACATTTCATTTAATTTAATTTAAAGGTCATTTTTAAAGAATTTTATGGATATGCTCTTAAAACCACAAAACAAATTATTAATATTAACATTTAAATTTTCAATTTAAATTTAACATAGTCTTTAAATGCAACTAGGAATAAAGCTTTTAAAGTAATAATAAAAAAAAAAACCTAAAATTTGAGCAGTTTAATCTTCATTTAGATTTTTTATGTATGATTCAATACATTCCAATAATTGAATAGTATACTTTTAAAATCATACATATTTTTAATACTTACTCAGCTTAACACTGCCATCTAAACCAAGTAAAATATTGTCAGACTTGATGTCTCTATGTATAACTTGGTTAAAATGTAAAAATTGAAGGGCCTGAAGTACTTCTCGACATACAGAAGCTATCTGACCTTCATCCATACAAGTTTCTGTGACAACATCTGTTAAACTACCACCTGGTAAATACTCCATAACAACCTAAAGAATAATAAAAAATTTAAAAAAATTAATATTTTAGATGCCATAAATTATTCTAAATAAATACCCAGAGTTCATCTTGTACTAAATAACTATCTAGATAGTTAACAACATTTGCATGTTTATTTTCTCGCATAACTAATATTTCATTAATAATAAGCTCCTTCTTTGGTTGTTGGCCTAAATTCATTTGTTTTATAGCAACTTCAATTCCAGTGGATGTTTCAATAGCCGTAAAAACTGTACCTGATGCTCTGTAATAATTTTATTTACATAAATATTAAATTATTAATTCCTATAAAATACAGATTTAAACACTTACCCTTGTCCTATTTTTTCCATTTTAGTATATTTTCTATTAGGATCACCAACTGTTACTATAGTTTTAAGTTGTTCTAGTATTTCATTATCTGCTATTTTTTTACGGCTAGGAGCAGTAGTGTTATTTTTATTTTTATCCAATACTGGTATAGTTCCATTAGTTTGACTAGGTCGATGAAGTGGAACTGGGGAAACTACTTTAGGTTCTTCTTGGGTAATAGGCCTAGGTTCATCTTCTTCTATTGGTTTAGTATACACAGATTTTGTACGCTCTGGACGTACAGATATAGGTGGTGGAGGAGATGTTTGTTCATCTGTTGTGGGAGTGGTGGTTAGCGAAGGACTAGTGCTACCTGTTGATGATGATGGTTGACTGCTACTGACACCCGAGTATGATGAACTACCTCCACTATGTGCACCACGAACTAATACTTCAGTAGAAGGGGTACTGTTTTGTACTAAACAAATAAAGTAAAACTGTTAATTCTGAAATAACTTTAAATTGAATTATATTAATTAATAATTACTAATATTGGTGGCTGTGGTCATATATTTGGAAGTCTTTGATTGTTTACTAGAATTATCAAACCAATTAAGCACATCAAGAACAGCTTGGGGATTCTTTTTTTGTTCTTGTTTACTTATATTAGATGTTATTAAAAGTCGAGTCCATGCTTCTGGCATACCCTATATTAACAAAATAATTTAATGGTTTATAAAAAAATTTAAAAAATTAAATAATAATGATATTACTTATATGACACAATTAACATTTTCATGAAAAACAAAATTAAAAATATCTCAAATAATTGATTTAATACTAGAATATAGATAAAAATATTTTTATAATGAATTTAAGAAAAAAATGTATAGAAATGATTTTTTTTTTTTAAATTAAATAATAAATAACCAATTAATATAACCACTTAACATATATTATTATGAATATTTTATAAATTAGTAACTATTAATACAATAAGAACATTATAAATTATTTAAATTTATTTCAAACAATAATTATATTACAATTTTTTTTTTTAAAGCTATGTGATTATAATATGCTGTAACTACTACACTAGACATATGTATATGACATGTTTATCTAGACTACTATAAAGCTTTTGATGTTACTCACTTTATATGGCAGCTTGAAACAAGAAAACACAAACAAAAAATTCTAGAGACAATTGTCTATCGAACAATATTAATGTAGTGATTCAATTTAACACATGCAGCAAATTGTATTAATTATTCCAAATATAATATATTATATAAACAGACTTAGTTAAATATATTATTATATAAACAACTAGGTATGTTTTGAATTAAATATATTATATTAACTATACAATTTATTTGTTTCAATAGTTATGAAAACAAATTCAAATGTCTTTGTACAATACAATTTCTTATACAATATTTAATTTATAATTAATATATTTTTTAAAGTTATAAATTATTTGTGAGTCAAAATATTTAGCTGAATATTATTTAAAAAAATATATACTAATACAATTTGCTTATTAGATACATTATGAATAAATTAATGGAATTTAAAGTCACCATAGTAATGTTTTGTAAAAAAATAGTCATATTGTATGCAATATCATAACTAGATCTAATTTTATAGATAGATTTCAGGGCCAGATAATGCATTATGTAAACATGAATTTATTTATTTTTATTCTTAGCAATAAAATAATAGAAATAAATTGGTATGTCCAATTAGTTCAACCCTGAACATGCAATTGACTAAACGGTGTATAATATTGGGATAGAATTTTTCATTGTTTGTTTCATTCTGTTCCAAATTTTAAAATTATTTGTTGGTTACATGTGTATAACTAGGTAGAATAAACTAAAATATCAGTACACATTTGAAAACTGATAATTATTAGGTAAACATTTTTTTTTTTCTAAACTCATTTTAAATACTTTAATAAATATCCACTATACTTTCTGCATGATGCATAAGTATCTATATAATATATAGATAGGTATGCATCAGAATGTTTATTATAAATACCTATTATGAGATAAAACCCAATAAAAATTTAAAATTGTAATACTTTGATTTATTTATATTATTATTTTTTTTAATTTGACTACATAGCAAAGCATGTTTCAGCAAAATTAAAAATGTGCAAATTAAACTAATTATGTTGGCTCATTTCTGTTTTTGTATAATCAAATATTAATAAGTGGGTACAACTAAAAATATAAATACTTACAGTAAACTCGCCAGTATGAGCATCAAATCCTACATGCATGGTATGCTCAAAATTAGTTGGATAAGATATTTCTGGCTTGTCTTCACACCCAGTGCCCCTTGTTTTCAGTTTACCAGTTACACGACTTTTAGACGTTTTCTTTTTATGATCCGAATCTGGTTCTTTAGGTAAAGGCCGCATAATGTCCAAATTTGGTACTGAATCCCCACGAGCAACTCTAAAACTGATTTACATTATAACATACCTGTATATTTAAAAACATATAGTTTTATATATGTGATTACCTATTACTTGTGAGGCGGACCGGAGGAGCTGGTGGTTTGTCATCATCATCAGACATTTTTATGAAAAATATATTTTTTTAAACTACTAACTGATTGGCATTTGACTATTCTAAAACAATAGATAGATGGATTTAAAAAATATTTGGGTGGAACTCATAGGTAATTAGTGTCTACTAAAGTTTATTATTTAAATATATTGTTTCTGACTCCACCTTAATAGTAAACAACAACAATTCACTATTTTTAGATTACCTTAAAAATGAAAATTCTTGGGCCCATAGGTGTGTAAAAGTGTAAAATAACCAGTTAATAAAAACTAATGTTTTACGAAGTGTAATAATCATACATTTAAAACTAATTGAATTAAACATAAATCAAAACTAAAATAGGTAAATTATTACCTAATAAAAATTAATAAAAAACAATATAAAAATGAATTAAATATCACATCCTGTAAAGATAATACAGATATTTCTGACGAGTGATCTTATGCCCATCCAAGATTCATTATCGCAAAAAAACCATATCATAATTTTCGTGTTTAGTTGGTTACACTGTATTTATGGTTTATCCAAAGACATTCTCAAACCGGGCGGCAAATTTGTTTTTATATAATTATTATCATATGTAGTACCATCCCAGAATAAGAATATAGTACCTATATTAGTATTATATTTTTATATGTCATATTATAGTCTATGGTACCATCCGATACTTATAGTAAATAAATAGAAATATAGATAAATTCTTTCATACATTATATATTAACTTTACTATCTAGGTAAATTAGAAAATTAATTTACTTATCTGTTTTCTGAAATTATAAGTATTGAATTTAAAACCATTTCCATTATATTACTGGTTGAAAGGTCACTTACATTAGGTAAGTAATAATTTTTTTTATTACGATAATTATTACAGTAGTTTGTTTGAAATTATTTGCTTCTTAATAGTACCTAAATATTAATAAGGTTATTAAGTTATGTATAGATAAGTAAATGTTACTGTTTTTATGGTTGAACAATGCCTACATATTAAAATGTTGCTATATAAGTAAATAATATATTATTTGAAATTATTAACACTTTTTTATTTTAATAAACCGAAATAAACCTGAATATCAACCATAAGCGTCATTTGAAGTAAAATCATGTGGTAGCAATATAACATATTGAATAATATTTCTAATTCAGTTGTGGTCTAGTAGGTGGATCATCAATTAGATCCTAGTCAATTGTTTATTAGAATTAGATGGTAAAAATATCAAGTACATTTAGAAATATATGTAATCTGTATCATGCAATTTTGACTGATCTTTATATATCTACGTTTAAATTCAATCCGGGCGATAGTATAATTAATAATTATTATGTATTACATTTCTGTTATCATAATATTATGAAAAAAGTAAAGAAATTATAATTTTTTTCAAATTACCCATTGGGTAGCGTAACTATTAATCTGTAACCCCAATGAAAATAGTTGGGTATACTTAGCTAGCAATTGCTCTCACTACCCCGTAATGACGCCTATTTATGTAATACCTAACAAAGTAGATTAAGCTCACGGTTTTCACTGATCGAACTGATAATCAATGGAAACATTTAGAACCTAATCTAATCATTTAATTGGTATCTATTATCAAATCGTTTAATGAATATCGCATTAAAAACTGTAGGTATAAGCGAGGTGTATATCAATACACCTAACCTACATTGGGTATTAAATAGAGCGCATACAAACCGTAGACTTTGTACTACGAACACAGACGTTAGATTCAGCTATATTCAGCAAGAATATTGCTCCAATAAAAAACTGACTAGAGACCTTTTTTGTTGAATTCTTAATTTAGTTGGTAAGTTAAAGAGTAATTTTTTTGATTTACCGTGCACATAGTTTTTTTTAATAATTAAGAAAAACCATAAAAAAAAAACGTAAAAAGAACGGGGAAATTTACGAAAATAATGTTTTTATTGTGTTCAATTTTGTTTTTTTGTTACTATTCAATTAAAAATATTCGTAGAGGCTTGAAATTTAGAGAGGACTTATGTTAACATTTTCTAGAAGAAGTCAAATTTTCAAAAAAATTTGAGCTATTTTTGAGCTATGTATAAACATAATTTTGGACGTTTTTTACGCAAGTTTTATTCGGTATAACATTTAATAAAATTGTTAGACCAAACAGAAATGCTTGAAAATTTGACAGGAGGTCTATTATAAGTCATACTTAGTAGTTAAAAAATAAATTGAGTTTAATATATTTTTTTTTTTTTGTATAGCAATTTTAAAATCATAGATACGGCCTTTAAAAACACTTATAATCCAACTCGACTCAGAATCGTTTTTTGTTAGCAATGATTAATCGCTATGTACAAATATATATTAAATTCCTTTTTTACTCTACCCTCCCAACTTCTCATATATAACTACAGTGGTCCACCCATTTTATATCCGTATTTATCAATATAAATACCTATATGTTCATTGTTTTTCGTTCGATTACCAGTTTACCATAATATTTTTTATACCTACTACAAAAATGTATAATCTCGGATACAAAACAACAAAAATAGTTAAATAATAATACTATTGTAGTATCGTGTAAAATAAAATAGCTAGTCTTCATGACTATAACTATTTAATCAATAAAGTTGTATAATAAATAACCAATAGTGCCTAATAAATTTATAATCTACTACAGCGGCTAAAGCTAGTTCACGGTGTTATACGTAGGCTATACAGAATGAAAACATATTATGCTGTGGTAGATTTAGAAATTTATTAGGCACTATTGGTTATTTATAGTTCAACTATATTGATTAAATAGTTATAGTCATGAAGACCAGCTATTTTAGTTTTCATGGTTATAGAATAGTTATTTACCTTTACTAATAGACACAGTAGACGTTATGGCAGTCAAAAATAATATGTAGCTAGGTAAGTACCTGCATACATAAATAATGTTTGTTGATTTTACATTATAAGAATTATAATAAAAATTAACATAAAATGAAAAAAGGGGAGAGAAAGACCGAAAAAGATTGTTGGATGCGATTGAAAATGATAAAATTGTATATGTGGATAAAGTGGGTACATGCGTGGACGATGTAGAAGATCGGGTTAAAGGTCAAGTAAAAGTTTGGACGAGAGTGGCAGACCCCCATTAGTTGAGTATTGGAATGAAAGTGAAGGAGAAGATAGGTAGGTATAAGTACATTTTGTTAAGTATAAAAATAAAAAGCAGTAAGGCAAACAAATTAAGAAAACACATTCAATGAAGAATTTTTTTGTAGCTTGTTAAAATACAATTATTTATAAAGCACAATATATTTTAAATTTTATTGTTAATAAGATGACTCATTATCGGCCCATAACTCATTTCATACATTATAATATTGTATTGTATCATATTTACGTATTAGGTACCTAATGCCTGATGGTATAGGTACATTTTCAGGGGGTGGTATTCATTTTTATACGTGTTAGGAGGGGATAATAACCCCATTGCACACTGAAATAAACACTGGACAGTAGGTAAACTACCAACTATTGTAGAAAACATAAGCCATACAAATTTAAAATAATGAAATCGTTGCGCTATAATTTGAAAAAATTCGTCTTTTTTTGGTTTTTCCCAATTATTATGAAAAATAATGTAGGTTTCAAAAAACGATTTTCTTTAATAGTGGCTATGCGTTAAAAGTAATAAAATCAATCTCTTGTTATTTTTCGATTGGAGCAATATTTATAGTAGAAAATATAAGTTCCAAAAATTAAAAACAATGAAAACGATAATGGTGCGGTGCCACGCTCTGAATCTATAACAGAAAAGAAACAGTTTCTGTTTTTCACAATTATTAAGATTTCCGTCCGAGGAAAAACAAAAAAATACCTTGAAATGCACTAACTAAACTCATTTGCTATCAGAAAACACCCCTGAAGTTGGTGAAAGTAAGATTTCTGGTAAAAAATTTGTTTACATACAGAAAAAATAAATATATAATCTAAAAAAATATGAATCATTTAGAAGGCACACATTTTATTCCATCATTTTATATTTAACATTTTTCGTCTTCAAAATTATTATTTTTTAATTTATTAACATATTGTGTAAACATTAAATACAATTCTTCGACTTGTCTTTGATTTTCTTTCCTATTAAATAAAAATGAAAGGTTAATTTTTTACTTGATAAATTATAGATATTAACAATAGAATTATAAGTTAAAAAAAAAAAGTTCAAGTGACATCAATAAAACTAATATAATGTTCTATAATATATTAAATTTGTAAATATGTTAAATTTGGTTTATATTAACATTGGATTTTTAATATTTCTTAATTGAATTTGAAATAATTTAACCTGTTCTGTGGTTTAACCAACAAATTAAGATATATCTAAATTACTCTAATCATGTGATCAAACCACATATAATTTAACTAGAACAAAAATATATTTTTAATAATCATAATTACTTTATTTCTTTAAATTTATCTTTCTCACACTGTAACTGTGACTGAAGTCTAGATACTTCAGTTGTGTATTTGATATTAAGTTTATGATTTTCTTCTTCAGAAAGTTTTAACAGACTATCTTTTTCATTTAGATTCGTTTTTAAAGTTTCTACTTCTTTAACAAAAGTATTGTTATGCAATTGTTCGTTCAACTTTTGAGCAACTTTGTTAACTAGTTGTTTTTCATTGAACTTTTTCAATTCTTCATTTGCCAACATTAAACTATTTTCAAGTGCTTGAACTGTCTGAACGTCAACTGTAGATTGTGTTTCTAATTTTGCTAGTTTAATTTCTAAGTCGGATTTATCTTTAAATAAAGCTTTTATTTTTTCATCTAATAAAACCAATATTTTTGTCTATAGTATAAGAATATAAAATAAATAAATTTATTAAATAAATCAAATATGTACATATATAGGTATATATATACAGCCAACTCACGATATAACGAATTTCAAGGGACCAAGAAAAAAGGTCTGTACATTTAAAGTATATATAGCGAATATTGAAATTCATAATATCAAGTTCCGAAATTATAAAAATTTGTTACATAGCGAGAGCTTTGGCCAAAAAAACTTCAGTTATATCAAGAAGACTAAAATACATTTAATTATTTGTTACATCTCGAGATTTTCAATGGAACAATTATTGATTTAATATATCACGAGTCGATTGCATTTATATATATATTATTATATAAAACCTGATCAGCCGTATTTATTTCGTCCTGTTGATGTAAATTCTTCATAAACAAATCATTGTTAATTTTTTGTGTTATTTTAAGATGATACATATTATTAAGAAGTAACTTTTTGTAGGCTTTCAACTTATCTGAAATTAAAAGCAAATAAAATATTATTTAGTGTATTTAACAATAGTTTAAGCAAGTTATTCAAATTAATAGGTAATGGTTGTAACCAAAATAATTCTGTATTTCAATTTCTGTTGAAGCTTTTGTGTTATTAAGTTCTGCTTTAATTTCATTTAGTTCATCTTTTAACTTCGGTAAAGCATCTAATAACCGTTTATGTACTTTGGTTTCTTTTAACATTTTATCGGTATATTTTTTTTTAATTTTTGCAATAATAAAATCGATTTTTTCAAAATCCTAGATTAGGAAAAAAAAATGTGTATTAATGAATTCCTTATATAATTTGAAAACATTAAACAAAACCTCTAGAGAATTCATTGTTTCATCATCAGAATTAGATAGTTCATCATTGCTTATTTTTTTTACTATTGAATTTAAACTTTGTGTTTTTAATAATAGTTCAGATTTCATCTTCTCAACTTTTTTACAAATCATTGTTTTACATTTGTTTTCTTGTAAACAACTAATTTTTAATTCTTCAAGTTCTTGTTTTTGCTGTTCATTTTTCACTTGAAAAATATGTAATCTTGTTTGCAGCTCACTATACAATTTAACATGCTAGAGTAATACCTTTAATTATATATAAATACAAATAATTTTTACTCAATATGGTTTTGATATTCATTTTTTAAACAATTTATTTGTGTTTGATAATTTGTATCTACTGAAATTACATGTTTTAAAATACTTGAGTTTCTGTTTTGAAAATCTTGTTGATTGATTTCATTAGACTTATTTTGTTGTAATTGTTCAACTAAAAATAATATTATTTATAACAAACTCAAAACAATATTTATTAAGTGCATGTTCATCTAACTAATTAATGTGATTTTATAATATATAAATTAATTATTTAATTTTTTGTTGGCCATTATAAAAAGAAACAAAAATTTCTAACTAATTGGTAAAAATAAATGCACACAAAGTTTAGGTACCTTCTTATATACCTAACTTTTTTTTTTAGCATACCTATCATAGCACACGTGTCCGCAGATATAGAATTACCTTGAATATTTAATTCTAAAAGAACATAATTTTCCTTTAATGATTTAAATAATGATGTTGCCCCTGCTTCACCTATACTATTCCAACTTAAATCTGAAAAATAATGTTTATTTCATTATAATTTCAAATAATATAACCTAGTTTAAATTGTTCAAATAATTAGATAATATTTACCAATATTCTTTAAATATTTATTAATGCTTAACAGTTTAGCTAAATGAAAACCACATGTTTCACATAAGTTATTATTCGCTAAATTTAGTGTGTTTAATATAATATTTGACATTAAACAATTACATAGTTGGGCAAATGCTTCAACTGAATTACCAATGTTGTTCCAATCCAACTGTAGGCTAAACATGTTTATAAATAATAAGTACCATGTCTGTGTTTTTTAATTGGATAAATAAAAAATTAAGAATTTATCATACTCTGTGATATTAGAGTTATTCAATAATATTTTAGAGATATAAATTGTTGAATTATTCCCAATTTGGTTTCCTTTTAAATTTAAATATGATAAATGTTTTAATTGATTCACCACATCTAAAAAGTTCTTCAGACCATCAAATGAAAGAAAACAATCAGATAAATTCAAAACATTAATAGTAGGCACGAGTTTTAAAGTTTTCGCTATTAATAAGCAATTAGTATCTGTCATTGTAGTAAATCTCAAATTTAATTCTCCATTTTCACTAAAATAAAAATGGATAAAATTAAAACTATTAACTACTATGGAAAATTATTAAATTTTATATCAATTCAAGTTAGGTACCTTGCACTTTTTAAACAGGATACAATACATTCATCAGCCTGTATTTTATTTTTTGAACATAATTTTTGATAAATGTAACAAATATCTGTATTCATTATTAATATTAATGTATCAATTAAACAGATTAAAATTTGATAAATATTTTAATATCTTTGTGGTCTATCTACTAACTTTCACTATAATGTTAAGGACTAAAGAGTATATTTTCTGGCAACACAACTCACATTTAATACATGATAATTATGAAAAAAATATATCTATAATACTTAATACATATATAAAATCATTATTTCTAAACCTGTTATAATGCTATAAGGCTTAGATTTTATCTAACCATGTTGGTTGTTCATGAGACGTATCGAAACTATAGAGTATTACTCTCTGATCAAGACTTGAGAAACAATGTAATGTGAGAATGTGAGAATATGTATGTAATTTTCGAGGAACATCGAAATACATTGGATTTTTAAATCGATTGATCATAGATTCTAATGAGAAATCACAGATATACATGAAAAAAAAATGTATACATGTGCGAGGAATCCATAGACCATATCCTTATAAATTCCTATAGATGGTCTATGGAGGAATCCACCGATTTATGTAAGGTGGACGCACATTACATACGCTTGCACAGATATATAATTATAATATGACAGGTGTATACCAATTACCAGTTGAACTGTCATAGTGTCATACACCCAGGGAACTGTTCCCCTTCCCGGCTAAATGGATTTTTGTTTTTTATTGCTATCAGTGTTATCACAAATATAAACAGAAATTAACTGAAAATGCAATAATTATAATATTATGTTTTTTATGCACTATATTTTAGTGTATTATTATTTATTATGTTTATGATCTATGATCACACATGAATAGTGAATACACTATTATTATAAAATAATAATGCCTACAATAGCTGAAGGTGGTCCTGAACATGACAAATATATATTTAATTATACTCGCAGTTGGACAGATGATTTACCAGTTTGTAAAGTATCAGGTATGTGTAAAATTAATTAACTTTTTAATGACTTAAATATTCAAATTGGATAAATATATTTTAGGTATTGGATATTTAACTCGACAAAGGTATGATGAATTAGGTCAACGCCGAGAAGAACTTGAATCAGAAGATGTAAGTCTTCGTTGTTATTATGATGATGCAGGTGTTGTATGTTTATATGGAATTTTTAATGGCCATAATGGGGCAGAAATCGCTAGATTTGCACGTGATCGTATTGCTGCAGAAATATTATTAGGTAGATTACCTGCTACGGAAATGGATCAGATTGTTAACGAAATAATTCAGTGAGTATTATATAATATAAGTATTAACATGGACATTGAATAGGTATACATAAAAAAATTAATTAATTTTAGACAAAGCTTTCTTTCTGTTGAGGCAACCTATAATGAAACAATTGATAATAAAATACTTGAAAGAGAGAGTCTTCAAATACAACTTCCTGAAGGAATATCTAACTATGATGCTTACCAACAATATCCACAAATTGTATATTTTATCTTTATAAATTCAATTTTAATTATTACTTAGTTTTATTTATCATTTTTTTTTTTCAGATAGAAAAACTGAAAGAACTTAATGAAGAATTATCATCTGGCACTGGAGCAGCTATAGCAATTCTAAAAAACAATCGTTTATATGTTGCTAATGTTGGGGAAAGTCGTGTATTATTATGCAAAACTGACAAAGATGACGTGTTGAAAGTAATACAACCAACAGTTGACCACAATTTAACAAATCCAAATGAAGTTATTAGGTTGACTAATCTTGGACTCAAAATTGCTGATGGAAAAATTAATGGTTAATATTAAATTATGATTATATTAATACATATTATATAGTAAAAAATACATACAAATTAATACAAATTTTTAGGTAGTAGGACTATTGGAAATCAATCTTCTACTCGATGTTTGTGCAATTATATGATTAAAGTAGCCTATAAAGATTTTGAGGAACTTAATGAAGCTTCAGCAGAACCAGTTATTGCTGAACCTCATATTGTAGGAGGTATTTCTATAGATTCATCATATAGGTAAAACAATATATAATATTTAATTTGTTGATAAAATTATTCTTTTGTTTAAAATTTATGTTAAAATATTATATTGTAATTAATTCATATATTATATATTAATCAAATAAATCACTCTGTAGAATTTGGTCATAAGTAATTATGTTCACACTATAGGATAGATATATTATAGTTATACATTTACACAGGAGTACAAAAAATGCTGACAGCAGCTCCATTCCTTGATTATATTTGTTCATTAATTTAACTAAACATTGTCTGGATTACTTTTAAACTTTTCCAATCAACTATTTATTATAGATTTATGATGATTGCTTCTCCGGGTCTTTTAAAAACACTGGAAGAAGCTACAGGTACAAGCCAAGTGAACAAAGAATTAGCATTATTAGTAGTTAACCAAGTAAATAATTTACCATTGTTTTATATAAATATTGAGATTTCATATACTATATATTTAATTAAATTTTCCATTAATTTCTTAAGTTAAGATTACAATCAACATTAACTGGTGTTGCACAAGCTGTTGTGGATCATATAGCTCGAATATATCATGATACTTATGAAGCACAAGATAATGCTACTGGAGCTACTCGTCCAAATATTATGTTGATGGTACGTAATTTCAATTTTGCAATGCCCAATGCAATCACAGAACAACAACATAGCTGGAATAGTTCAACTGATCAAGGTTAATATTAATATATTAAATGTATATGTTGTAGACTATATAGAAAATTAGTCTTTGCAAAAATACCAGGCTATTAGCAATAGTGTAGCCCGTTATTTTTCAGACCCATTACAAACCCAGTAACAAAATTTAGACCCTAAGAATTACAATAATTATTATATATTCATTTTATTTTAATTTATTACTTGTAAAAAAAAAAAAACAGTTAACTATATAGATTGATTAAAAAATATGATATTATGGAAGTGGATGACTCAAAATATTTGATAAAGAAAAATTCATGATGAAGCAATTATCCAATTAGTGACACACAAGAATTATTTTTAAATTGTAAGTACAATTCACAGACATTTTGGACATAGAGGTGGCTGTGATAAAACAATGTATGCTCTTAAAAATAAATTTTACAGATTGTACTGTATTTTGAAACCTGTTGTTAAGTATAGCTGAACAGTGTAATATTTACATAATTTATTTTTTGTCAGTTATTTATTAACATTAGTAATATGCTTTTAAAAAAATCTGTTCAATAATATACATCTTCACTAAATAAATAATGTGTACTTGTACAGTTTACATATTATAATTCTTTTATTCTTTTTTTTTTGTGCAAGTAATAAATTACAATAAAATTACTATTTAATAATTATAGTTCTTAAAAGGCCTAACTGCTGTTAGTCTGTCTGCAAAAAGCCGGCTATTTGGACAAATTAAAAGTAATTTGCCAACAGGCTACTCCATTGCAAAGATTAATTTTCCATATGGTCTAAGACTTTAATTGCATAAAATATTTTTTTTTTTTTAGATACAGCAATAAACTTGACTCAAACTACAACATCAACAAACACAGATTTATCTACTGCTTCAGCTAAAAATATATTACCTTATGTTGATTTTAGTGAATTTAATACAAAATTTGAGAAAGCTAAAGCAGAAGGTAAAATTCCTTCAAATATCAAGTATTTTAATGATAATTATAATTAGATAGTACAGAAGTATTTAAATTTGGTATATAGAAGGGACTAATACTCGTAGTAGTAATATATGTTAAAATTTATTTAGAACATTATTATTTAAGAAACAAATATACTGAATTATACAATACATAAAATATTAAATAATATTTAATCTACTTATATAATTTAAATTGAGTTTTTGATTCGAAGCTTAGTGAAGAATGTATTGTTTTATTGTTTTTACAATGATGTTTATTATTATTTTTTATAAAAATAGTATAGCCTTTTAAAAATATCTATAATAAAACTTTGCTACAAATTGTTTTTCATTAGCAATGGTTTACAACGATAGTTGTTTATGGATTTAAATTAAATAACATAATTATTCTATCTTTCCCATCTACAACAGTGGTACACCCGTCCCCAGTATCTGCACTTTTTTTTAAATTTAATCATTACTAGTTATATGATATTTAGTACAAAGAAACTTTAATAATTATAAATAAAGAAACTCAATGATAATTTAAAATAAATGTTAGTTAATAATTAATTATAATATGTACAATATGTTAACAAATTAAAATAATTATACTGTTCATATCTACAATTCACACTTGCATTTGAATTATTTATCATCCTCATTGTCTTCTTCTGGTTTTTTTGAAGTTTTATACTCTAATATTGTAATTGCTTTTTCTAATGTATCAAAGGTTATTGAAAACTTTAACATAAGCTGTTCATATCTATATATTTATAAAGAAAAAAACATTTATATATATCTTAGTGTTAGGTGAATACATTATTATTTTTAATTTACCTGAACAATAATTTATGAATATGTTCAGTTTGCTGACGGATTATATCACATTGTTTTCTTTCATTCTGAACTAATTTTTCAACCTCTTCTGTATGTTTGTCTAATTCACCATAATACTTGTCATTAAGAGCAGGCCATTTTTCACTCAGTTGCTTGAGCTGTTGGGCATACTTGGTTATTTCAGCATCTGCAGAGAGTATGACTTCACGTTTAGATATTTCAGGTTGATAGTCTTCATAGAAAGGGTCCATTAATTTGTCCAGAAGTTTTACATGACTAAGTAAAGTAGTAGCATATGGATGACCAATACATGCATTTCCAATATTATTGTCAATTTGTTTTACTTCTTCGAGAAGGTTGCCATTTGATAATGGTTGAGGATTTTTATTTAGACCATATACTTTCAACTCTAAAGCAGTAACGCATTTATCTAAAATTGCTATTTTTTCAGAATCCATAGTTTAATCGAAAATTTAAAATAATCTAAGTAGGCAAATCAAGATTAAAAAATAAATATCGTAGTTGCGAAAGTTGTGATTTTATAATATTGTAAAAAATATTCTTATCAAAAATGCCAAAACCACGATAACTGATAATACTGATACCAGTGGCTTATCATTTATGGTTAACCACGAGTGTGACCACAGCTTACTCTACCGGCGAACGGTTTCCGGCGTACGCACTGTGCCGCGCGGTGTATGTAATAAATATTGTGTAATGTGTATACAACTTTGCGCGAACGCCTGCGACTCTGTTCTGTGTGTACGCGCGTCGTGCACTCGTGCATGTATTTGTGTTAATGTGTGTGACAACTGACAAGTGAACGTCGTGTATCGTGTTCTACACAGTGTTTTCCGCGACCGTCGACCGTGTACTCCTGCGTTTTCATCGACTTGGTCCGTTTTACACCGTGTCTCTTAAATTTTTTTCGTCGTTTGAACGCACGTTGACACGGCTTCCGTAACAACAATCGTCCAACACAAACGCTTTCTACTGTCAAAAGCAGAACTGTCGCTGACGCCGAACTTTCTTCCCGAATTGACGTGCTCGTGTATTCGGTGTGCATATTCCGAACGCACATCGTTCCCATCACAGTCGACGTATCCCTCTAACGCGCGCCGAGAACCCTGTGCGTGAATTCCGCGCGCTGCTTCCTGTACGACCCACCGCCAAAACGGACGCCGAAATTGACATGGAGAAGAGAATCGAATTGGAGAAACGGGGTCGGAAACCCGAGGAGGCAAGTATACGACGACTGGAAACGAAATTTTTCGTCGATAAAAAATTGTCCTTTCCGTTCCGCGTACGGTTTTTCGAAATCCGGAGTAGCGCGCGCGCGCGCGCACGATTACCGCTAACCGGCGTGTCGTTCCGCACACGTCGGATGTTCACTATTTTTTTATTTTTATTTTTTCTGACGTATCTCGCACGTTTTTTGGTTTTGTATTTTTTCGGAAACTCCGTAAAATTGTCTACTATAATTATGTAGATATGATAATCGTTGCGCAGTGGCCACCCACACGAATGCGAAACGTACAAAAATGTACACATTTGTCTTTTAATACCTATTTTAATTTTCTTTTTTTTTTCCCTCCCGAAGAATATATAGTCTTCGTCAGGTGCCCCTGGGTAGTTGGTTTGTAGGTTTTAAGCCTTTCCGGCCAATTTCGCGCCGGAACAAACGATGTCGTCGGTCTAATCGCGGTTCGTCAATATACAAACGCCGTGTCCGTGTGTCTGTCATTAAACATAATGAACATCGTTCTTGTAGTCTCGTGTATAATAATATTATCTGCCGCTGCGACGGTTTTAATTAAGCTATCGATAAAACAACGAGAGCTATTGGATGGACAGGTGTGTGTGTGTGTGTGTGTGTGCGTGCGTTTCGCGCGTGTGTGCGTGCGTTTCGCGCGTGTGTGCGTGCGCGCGCGTGTGCGGTGTATGTTTATGTATAATATATGTATTATAACATTATGTTTAATGTTATATTTGTGTGTACGTGCGCGCGCACTTGCTCATGTATAGAATATATTATGCCGCCGGGCGTGTGCGCGTGTGTGTAGGGTTCGACGGGTGGGCGGTTTGGGGGTAATTTGGCCGACGGCCATGTTTAAATTTTAAATGCGTCGTCTGGTCTCGACGACGTGTGCGTCTCCTTCAATAATGAACTCATGTCAAAATCTAGGGATAATATTTTCGCTTAATTTTAAAAAAAAAAAATAATAATAATAATTAAACCATAGTTTGGTATTTATTTGCTCCCGAAAATAATAATATCATAAAAACGGTTTTTCGTGACGGACTTGTACGTAAAATAAACGGTGCTGTACTTTTTATCAGCTATCGCTGATCGTCCTAAATATAGGTACACTACCATTAGCTCCCGAATTTCAATAAGTATACAATTTTTTTTTTCAATGATCCATGTATGCTTGAGTTATCTACTATCCTATGATATGTAAGATTATGTTTAGTGTGCGTTCGAGTCTTGTACTTTTTCAAACCATATTTAACATTTTTAGTATTCATATGTTATAACATAAAATGTGCTTGTTTGAATCTGATGGATTTGGTCTCTGTGAGTTTAATAGAAGTAACAGTTAGGTACCTTAGTAGTCTTCAGTATTAAGTTAATTTTTGGCTTATTTCTTTGATAAAAATTCCTTGCAACATCTGTATAATTAAAGTAAGTCCTCTGTTATTGGTTGGTAATTAGTGTAGATATAATAATATATTGCAAATTAGAGAGCGAATAATAATTATACAAGCATGGATGCTATTATTTTTTTAGGTTAGGATAGCCTTTGCCATTGCATATTTTTTGTAAAGCTGTTCATTATCCTGTATCAAATTCTGATAAATCAGCATACACAGTTCTTTGAACTTGTGCTAATAGTTACCAAAATGCATGTTTCGGTTTCATACTAAATTGCAGTCTATGGAATCTTAATAATGATGTTCCCTTGCAAAAACCTCAGTTACTCCAAAGAATAACTATAGATACTTCGAAAATTCCGTGTTCTGAATATAGAAAGAATTATTAAATTATTGTTTATTTTTTTTAATAATAATTTAAAAATAATATGTTATATATGTATTTGTAATGATTGTTTTATTTTATTATTGAAATTTTAACATTTTTACAATTATCTTTAAATAAAATAATAAAAATATGTAAAACACGGAATATGTGTATAAAGCCCACAATTGTTAAATTTTGAAACTTGTTTGTGTAATATAATTAATTATATCTTTAATTATGATTCTTTAAGAAAGTATACCATAGCATTAGTATTTAAAAAATTAGCGTGAAAAGAAGTTGGGACATTTTTTCTTTTCTTTAATCAGTTACATAGGAAAGCTGGACAAATCATTAATTAGTGACTGAAATTCACCATCGCAGTTAGTACAGAGGTTACAAAAATAACATGATAATGGATATGTAATTATAAAAAATAATAATAAATCATTTTTTTTTTTCTAAAACCTTTGAAAAAATTACATTTTCCTTGAATTTTGACTTATAAAGATTCTACTGAAACCAGTGATGTTCTATTTAATATACTTAAGTTGTTTGTACAGGTATATATTTTATATATTTCAAACTCAACAATTTTTTTTTATACTATGTATTTTTGACAATTTATCAACCATTGGCATTACTTCTCTATATATAGTTAAAATAAAGAATCCATTTTTCATGTTTAGTCCAAGATACTCAGTTTATGTTTGATTGATTCTGGTAGATTTTACTATACTATATTTAACTATTATTTTAGCTAATTCAATTTTTTTGATTATATTAATTAAATATTTATTATCTTATATTTATTTAGATAGACCAGTTGATTTTGGATGATTGTCGTAGCACCGCGATAGTTGGTCTTACAGATGAATATACCGGCTTACGCAGTCTCAGTTTAATAAATGTTGGTTTAACAAGTTTAAAAGGTTTTCCAAAGTTGCCTTTACTGTCATATGTAAGTATTAATACTCCATAAAATGTAATATTGTGTATCAATATTATTAATTTAATATTTATTTATTTCTAGTTGGATGTCAGTGAAAATCGAATTTCTAATAGTCTTCAGAATCTTAGTGGATGTATTCAAATTAAAACATTGAATCTCGGTCAAAATAAATTAAAAGATTTTGAAGCCATCGAACCATTAGTAATATCATTGATACTTGAAAAAACATTTATACTAGATTTTAATGTACCATTTTATTATTTTTGGGTTATAGAAATCATTAGAAAACCTGAAGTCCTTGGATTTATCTAATAATGAGGTAACAAAACAACAAGGGTACAAAGAATTTGTATTACAGAAATTCACTAAGACTCTTAAATACTTAGATGGGTATGATTTATCAAAAGTAATAATAATGATTTGTATTAACATAAATATTTATAATTGTAGGGAAACTATTGCCAATGGAAAAACTGAATCTGACTCTGACAGTGATGACGATGATGGTTCAGAATGTGAAGGTAAACTTAATGCATATTTTTAAAAATAATAAAATAAAGTATAAAAATAAATTATTGTAGCTGAAGAAGAATGTGATGGTGAAGAAGACGATGATGATGATAATGATAATGAAAATGATAGTGAAGAATATGATTCAGACAATGAAGTATATGATACAAGTGGTGATGTAGGTTTAGAAGAAATGTTAAAAGACAATATTGATGAAGAAAGCGAAGGAAATGATTATGTAGTTGACGAAGAAGAAATAGATCAAGATACTTCTGATGAAAGTGATGATGGTGATGACAATGATGATGCTGGTGAAGCCGATGGGAGTACTGCTAATGGTAAGTTTGCATGTTGATTGTTTAGTTAACATTCACTTGTCTTACAAAATATTTGCATAGGAATGAACAAACATTTTCAAACAGATGATTGATGAACAGAAATTGAATCAGTATTTTTTAAAAAAAATTTTATTTGAATATGGTGATATTTGTTTCTTTTTCATATTGATTTCACTGTATTGCACAAAATTCTATTCTATTGATTTCTTTTAAATTAACCTGATTTAGAGTATACCAGTTAATCAAATTTGATTAGTATTAAATTTCCAAATAAACATTTTGACTTGTATGTTTTGTTTGAAATATAATAGTCTGATATATAATTGTATTTTTTTTTTCTAGATATTTGCTGCTAAATATTTATTAGGGCTCCCTTTGTTTGTTCTAAATGAGGTCAACTTAGTTTTATTAGTATATTGGAGTGATAAAAGTATAGGTTTATTACAATTTAAATTACAATATGTTTAGTGTAGATGAAGTGTTTTTATTAATTTTGCACACTCCTACAAATGAAGCTAAGAAGATCAAATTTTTGAATGAATTTAGTTGTTTAGGATTTCAAATTTTAATTCTCTTATTCAAATTTTTTTTTTTTTTACCAATTGTTATTTAAATAATACAAATAAACAAAAATCCTCTTTCAAAACAAAATTTAAAACAACTTATCATTTGACTAGTTACAGTTGATACCCATAATAAAACCCCTGAAACTTTGGTATTATTGATAAAGATTTATCGATTTACTAATAAATATAATGCCATATCAACTTCCTCAGTGTCCAAATAATGTATAGCTGTAACTCATTAAATATAAGCAACAGATATCAATTTTAAATTGTTTGTCATTTAAAATATTTAATATACTAACTACAAGTCAAGATGTTCTTTGAGATCTATTCCATTAAGAGATTGTATTAGTATAAACATTAAAAAAAAACATCAATAATTAGGTACTAGCATTGATTATTAGTGCTAGTTCCTATAAAACATTTAAATGTCACATTTATTATTGCTTTTGTAAGCTTTTCACAGTATGTTTTAAGAAATAATCTATCTGCACCTAAAAAATATGTATTTCTAATGAATTTAGTGTTTGAAATATAATTACAGTTTCAAAAATATATAAATAATACTGTTTAATTATGAACACTTAGTTATTGTGTTAACTAATTATTCATCATTCATCATTTTATATATTAATATTTATTGTGAATCTATTTAGTTTATAATATATATAATCTAACATTTTACAGAATCACAAGATACGAGAGGGAAGAAAAGAAAACTTAATGACGAATAATTTATTAAGTAAGAATGTAATTACTGTTATGTTAAGTGGAACAAATTGTATTTATGTGTCCCACACATTTTTTTAATTATCAACTTAAAATCTTTTTATTATTATTTTTTTTTTGTAAATTGATTGTTCTAATAAACATTTTCATGTTGTACCACACAAATTATTTATTTTGAATTTAATGTTATGCCATTATATTTTTTAAATACACTATTGACTTGGACTTATCAAGCAACACATTTTAAATTTTACTGGGTTAACATTTTTACATTTTAATAATAAGTGTTTTAACTGTATATTTTTTAAATATGTTTGTGAAAATTGTTAACCTAATTGTAATTTAATTTGTGTATAAACCAAATGATTGGGTATCAATGTGCTTTATAATGCACATTAAATTATATATATATATATATATATATATATATATATATATTTATCAAAGCTGGACTTATTAGAATTAAAAAGTTATTTTTGTTAATACTTTAAAACCTAATCAGTTAGGTAGTTTAAATTCTGAATAATTTTCTAACTTCAGGCATTAGATACTTAAAATATTCTTATCTATCATATTAAAAAGTTTGAAGAGATCAGTTTTATATGTTTTCAGTTTAATTTAATTTAATATTTTATAATTTCCAACATAATTGTTGTAAAAACACAAAACAAATAGCCGCTATAATTTTATTGGTTTTATTTTTCAATAACTAACTTAAATTTCTTAAACTGAATATCTTTAGTGATTTCCCAGCTTTGATATTTATATTGATTTTATATAAAATTAAAAAAATGTATTTAATCATTGTTTTATTTTGTCACAATTAAATTAAATTAATGTGACTGATTATTTTTGTTGTCAGTATGAATTTAAGAAAATACAATTTTTCAAGTTATAAACTAGTAGTTTGTACAGGGTATAAGAATTTTTGAGTATTTAAAAAAAAAATTGTTTTCTGGGGTGGAATAATATGGTACACTTGTCTTATAACTTAACTAAATATTTGAACTTAAAATTACCCAATTTTGTTTTATTAATATATATTATACATAATAATAAATAATATTTTATTTTAAAATGATTTAATACTAATATTTAAACAATTTACAACCTGTTGGTTTTTTTTCTCATGTTGTGTCAAAATACAAATGTTTATTAGGTACTCAATATTTTTATAATATTATTACCTTTTATTGAAGCATTATTCAGGAACATCATTTCTAGTATTTTTTTTAATGTTGCTCCAAATTGTCTAATAAATATATTTTAACTTTAAAATATTGTGTTTCATCATAACCATCAAATAAATGTTGACCACTTACCCAATAATAGATATATATATTTTTTGCTTGTTAATTGTTAATATTTTAAAAATTTATGGTAAAAAAAAATTATTTCATTTCTATTCTATTATTTTGACAATGTTTGTTAATTAAAATAACCATGGTTGTTTAACAAGGGTAAGAAATAATCAAATACTTTAATACTAAATACCTAGTATTCCACCATTTAATTTGTAAACTGATATAGTTTTTTATGCTCTATTTCTTACACCCTGTGTATGAATTATTTATATTGTATATTAAATTTAAATATAAAATTATATTTATTATAAAGAAAGAATAATATCTTGTGAGTGTCTTGAATGTAAATAATTATTTTTATAACGTTAGATGAAAAATTATTTATGATCTTATCAAAATTATAATCACCTATTCAACTTTTATTTTAATATATATATTTACATAATATATAAAAGGCTCAATGAAATGATTATATTTTAGTAAATAGACCTTTTGTAAAATTTAAAAATTAATCAACAAAGGACCATTTCTTATATATTGATTGAATAATTTCTATTAGTATGTAATGTATCTAGAATATTTAATATGATATTTATGATACAAAACAATATTCCTTAATGATTTGAATATTGTAATATAACTGTTATTTAATATAAATAATATATCAACACAACTATGATTTTAATTATAGTTCAATATTTTTTTTAAATTGAAACAGTAGTTCAAATGTTTAAAGAATCATAAAATTCTGATTTTAGTTATCTTTTAGTATGGTGTTTGTGAATGTATAGTATAATAAATTATACAAGTATAATTTTCATCATACTTAATTCATTATTAAGTAGTAGTTTTGTTTACTTTTAAATTAAACTAATTTGTATGTATTTATTATTTTGATTCATTAATTTTTATTAAAAAATAATATTACAAAATTCAATTCTTAAGAAATATAAAGTGTCATTAGCCTTAATAGCACATCATGTTATTCGTTTATTTTTAATTATTTTCACTAACTACTTGATTATTGAACCATTTTGTTATTGTTGTAAAGGTTTTAGTTTTTATTTTGGTAGAAAAAATAACTAAATATTTGTATTAGATTAAAATATATATTTTTAAATGTATTCAGTTGCAATCTTCAGTTGTGCATATGTCACTTATATATTATAATATATTTATTTACTGTTTGTACAAATATAATTTCATTATTATTAAAATTAATGTTTCTGTATACATACATGATACAATTTTATTGTATTTACACATTATTGTTAAGCTCATTATTTGTGTTACTTCTGTTTAACTTTGCTTTAAAAAAAAAAAAAAATGAAGAGAATAACTATATTATGCTTGTTTCACAGCATAAAAAAATTGTTTTTATTCAAAAATTTTCAATATAATTTGTAAAAATATATTATTATAAAATATATTATGTTTAAGAATAATTAAAATTTGTATTGTGTTTCTTTATTAAATATTCTCATAACTTCATAATCCATATCATTTAGATTATATCTAGAAAAATAGCAGTGATTTCTTAAGGAAATATAACAGCTAAGTACATAAATAATAAAACGTTTTTAAAGATGAAGTTATGACTGTTATCAATAATTAAGATATTAAAATTTCATGAAACTTAAATAGTGACTAGGTATCTATGTCATATATCTGTTGGTATATGTTGATAGTGTATATTATAAAGTAAAAAATTCAATTGATTACATTTATGCTACCACCGACGTCTTTATCATATTACGATTAGTTATCGATTGTTATTTTATTATGATTTTTTTATGGCTTCGTAAATTATTTCTAGGACTGATTAAATGGTCGTTTACCTCTCAAGACTCCAGTTTATTATAATGTATCTAAAAATGATTTATGAGTGGCTTGGATTTACAAAAATAGATTGTATTTATCATAACGACATTAATGTTTAATCGACCCGACTAAATTTTTATTATTTTCGTTTTTTGATACTCGTTTACTCGAATACTTAGAGAGCCTACATATATATATATAATTATATAGGCTCTCTACTTATACCTATTCGACTTTTGAACCCTACTCGATTTCAGAAAAAGAAAAAACCAAAACTCCCAACTCTAAATACGATCAACTATAACAGTCGTAACAATATGCGCATAATATAAATAACATTAGGCATTGGCATATATTATTATATTCCATTATCCACTTCTTACAGTCGTTTTATTATTATTATTCTTATATTTACGATAAACGCGTAATAATACAGCGGGCAATACGTTTTTATTTAGGTATCCCCAGTCCAGTGAGCGGGTTGCTCGTGAACGGTCGACGTCGTTGCAAGTGGCTGTCCTTATCGCGATCGCCGTTTATATATTAGCAAGAACGGAAAAAAATATTTCGCCGTTTAAACGAAACGCATTAGAATAAAGTTCGAGTTGCCGATATTTTCACGTTTTAATTTGATTTCTCGGCTATTTATTGTCTTTTTTTTTTACACGCACGCTTTGCGCATACAGTTTTTCAGGAACGTGACTTTTACACTATACTTAAACATGATTGTTATTATATAAACCGAATATTAGTTTTTTGACAACGGTCCCGTTTTTTTTTTTTCTATGCAAGAGCGTTTCGTTTCTCGTTAGTATCAATAGAATTATTGTTTAACGTTATTCATTCCAATTATTTTTATTTTATAACTTTTTCTAGTGTTTTTTTTTTTTCAAATTCGAGTTTAACAGGTAGGTACGTACCTATAATACATATAATACGTATATATATACGTTTATATAAGTCACGTACATATCATATTACTGCATGCTTCTACGTTTGTAAGGTATTCCGTTGATTCGACAATACTATTTGAAGTCTTTCTAAAAACTACGAAAACATTATTTGATAGATAGGTATTATTTTATTATAATTATTTGTACAGGTGATAACTTACGACCAACCCCGGACAAAAAATCACATTGATCATGGGAGGCCAACCGTCCAAAACGCCGTAAGTGTTTTATTGTGCCTCGTTAATTTTAAATTATCATGCAATTTTGAACGTTACTCGTTGACAGAGTTTGATTTGCACTGTAATGGTTGATATTATACTTATATGTGTGTTATATTTTGTTATTATTATATAACGCACGTACAGGGTAGGTATTTACTATTGTCGTTCTATACGAGCACGAACGTTTAAATTAACATTATTATCGTATCCGATTCAGAACAGAGACGATCACAATAATAATAACACAATACACGGTTTTTCTGAAATGGGTATTTCAAATTTAATTTTAGTTTTAAAAATATTATAATTTGATCCATTTGATTAAAATTATAGATAGATAGGTAGGTATTATACCTTCTTATTTACATTAATTATTTTAATGAGGTTTTTAATTTAACGTTTTTGTTGTTTTATAAGCGAGTTCGAAAATAAAATGATCGTCGTTTATTTATTTTATACCATTGTTTCCACTAGTAAAAAAGTTAAAAATAAATTTTAATCGAGGAACAAAAACAAAATGGTGTCATTAGGGTATCCCAGAGATACGAGAGAACTTATTGTAACAATATTTTCACTAAAACCGTTCTTCTTCTTGTGTCGGCATCATATTCCCTTCTTTCCCAATAAGCAGCAATTTGCACTGCCTTGTTTGAAGTACTGGTTATCGTCATTAAATCTGTCTGCACTTAATTGGTATTAGTGGACACACAAACAGATAGTTTGCATCCTCCCCCCACCGTGTTCGCATTTTCTATCCTCTTTTATTTCCCATTTTTTTTCATATTATCCGTTATCCTTTCAGTTCCAGTTTGCAATCTATTCAATGTTTTATGTCTACTATGGTAGATGATTTTCAGGTGGTAAACTTTTATTCGGGTTCTTCCATATCGCCCGTTATGCCCGTTGAAAATGTCTTTTTGATCGGTAAAGGTCAGGATTGTATGTATTACATCGTATAGCTCCTAAATCGAAGATTCTATTGATAATATACCTATTTTAAATATATTTGACCTGAGGCAGGCAAATGGGGGTATGAGGGTGAGTCATCTTCCCTGTGATCTTTTTCTCTTCAATATTTACATAGCAAAGTATGTTTGTTATAATAATAAACAATTCAAAAATTATAAATTATGAATGACTTTTAATAGGTATCTAGGTATAATAGGTATTATATTTTACATTCTGAGTGAATCGTGGAATGTATTTGTTTTACAGTGATTTTTATTATTATTTTTTTTTACTACTTTTATACTGTGTACAACATTTCTACCAGGAATCATGTTTCGATTTTCAAGTGTAGCATCTGAGAGGAAATTGTACCTAGTTGGTACTTTAGAGAGATCATTTTTTGATTTTCCGTGCAGTTTTAAAAATAAATGTGAAGAATCGGGGAACAAACGTAGGAAAACCGTTAACAAAACAATGCTTTTATTATTTTAAAATTAGTTTTTTTTATAGTAATTTAGTAAAAAATGTCCGTAGAGACTTGAAATTTCGACAGAAAACTTATATTTGCCTTCTTTAGAAGTGGTAAAATTTTCAAAATTGTTGAGCCCTTTTAAAGCTATTAATAGACATATTTTAATTTTACGAGTATTCTCATGTTATTTTTAGTCGTTAGGTTGGTACTTTGTGAATACAATTATTAAACCAAATAGAAATGCCTGAAAATTTAACACATGGTTCTATATTGAATTTGTGGTACAAAAAAAAGATTTTTTACGGCCTTATAAACCATGTATAACGAATTCCGCTCAGAATTCTTTTTCGTTAGCAATGATTAATCGTTGCATACAGATTTACATTAACTTCCCCTCTATATCCTACCTTTCCAACTTCTCATCCACAACAGTGGCCCACGCATCGAGAAGTATGTACGTTTTTATTTTTTATTAAATGTCTTTGTTTTATTACTTATTTTTAAAATGCATTATCACAAAAAAACAATTATTATGAAACGAACTTTACCACTACCTATATAATATGTTTGTTATCACTGTCCGCCCGTCAGCAATCATTAAACACAGTTTATAAATAGTATTTCTAGGCCAAATTGTACGTGTTGGTTTCGTCTAAAGGTTATCAATAGTGTAAGTGTAATAATATTAAACACAAAAGAAAAATCATTAGTGTTTGTTTAGGTGATTGGATGAGACATGCATAATATCATATTTTTCTTGTCTTGACTATTGATAATTGTTTGTTGAATTGTAGTATTATATACTTTTATTTTGATTTTTGTAGGATTTACTGGTAGGTAATTAAACTATTTAACTATAGTAATAGTTTTCATTTGTTTGTACCTACACATTTACTGCAGTGAAGGTTTAAGATAATTTTTTTTTCTTACAATTTGTTTTGTTGATTTAGTCTCCAAATTATTAAATAATTCATAAACTAATGATTGAAATTATCTATTGTAATATGCATATATTTTATTTATATTATTAAATTTTCAGTTAGGTAGGTATACCAATATCATAAGTATCATAACTGGTGTGTATATTTGTGTTAATATAAGTACTTACCTACTGATTATTTATTTCACTGTAATTGTGTTTGAGATCACAAATGGTGTTTTAAAATAAGAATTTATTTTGACTGTTGTCAATTCTTAACTTAATTTCATTAATCTTTATCCATATTTTTACATTAACTTTTATTTTAATAATATTTATGTGTATAGTACCTACTAAGTATGATGTTTTAAGAATCTTAATTTAATATTTTAATTTATTTAAGTCTAATATTTGTTATAAAAATAAAATAATATTTTCTTTTATATGCACTTTGGCCAGAAAATATATATTTAGTTGAATAATGGGTATAACGACTAAAGGTCAATCTAAATTCTTCAGATTAGATTATAATTCAAATTTGTATGCTATAATAAAAATAAAATTAATGACATTCATATTTTATAATTTCTAGTGTAACCATGTTTATTTTTATGTTAGTCTTTGTTTTTGTTATAATGATTGCAATTTCTATCTTAGTAATTCCATCTATATACAAAATAATAATGGTTGGATTTAATAAACTATTTTCCAGGGTTAAGACTATGAATATTAAGTCGCCTAGTAATGAACAAATACGAGTTCTTACATTGGAAGATGGTCAATTTCAGGATGAAACATTATATCGACTAAAAAAAGGTGAAGGACCTAGTTATATACTTAATATTTATGTAACTATATTTTTATTTGGTTTTTTTTATTTTGTAGGATGGCATTTAGAAATTCGGTTGGGTCCCTCACTGTTTGGATACGATATTGTTGTTTACACTAATTTACCTTTAGAAGGATATGAGTTTGATAGAAAGATTTATCGGCGTCTTGATTGGGTTAGAGAGTGGTCTAATGATGATATTACTAATGACGATTCATCATTATCATGTATTATTCAGATGAATAAAGCTGGTTCTTTTCATTACTACTATGAACATCAGGGACAAAAGTAAATTAATTTTATTTATAATTATTTAATTTTTAAAATCCACTATTACTCTTGTTTAATTTTAAGGAAAGGAAGTGGTTATATTGGTGTTGATCCAAATTTGGTGGCCGGAAAAAAAGATATTCCTTTAGAGTCTTTACAAGTTGTTTCTGTTTTGGCAAAATGTTTAGGTCCATTTGATTCATGGAAATCTAAGTTACATGTTGCAAAAGAGTCTGGTTATAACATGGTGCATTTTACTCCAATTCAAGTATGCCATTGAAAATATTTATATCAATTTTATAACTTTTTACATGCTATAACTATATAGGCTGTACATAAATAAATAATTTTGTTTTAACCATTTATTCAGGATTTTATTTATATTAGTTTATAAATTAATTCTTTAAATTATATATCTGAACATAATACCTACTTTAAAAAATTAATTAGTTTAATTTATATAAATTTAAATTTAAAAATGTGGAATAAATTGATACAATATTTTTTATGTTTTTTCCTATAATATGCAACAGATTAATATTAGATTGATATTTGGGTATTTGTAAATAGTCAATTAAATTTAAAAACAAAATGTATATTGAATTTGAAATATGATTTTATACCTATATTATTAAATTTTATTGTAATATGTTTTAAATTTACATTTATAGGAACTTGGAGGTTCAAAATCATCATATAGTTTGAAAAATCAATTAAAGGTTAATCCATCATTTAGTTATTGTAACACTGAAGTTAAATTTGATGATATTAAATCTTTAACCAAACAAATGAAAAATGAATGGAATGTAATACTTTTAAATTTTGATTGACTTAACTATTTAATATGTTCAAAATATTTGTTACCTGTCTACCTAGGTATTAAGCATTTGTGATCTAGTGTTGAATCATACTGCCAATGAAAGTTGTTGGTTATTGGAACATCCAGAATGTACTTACAATATGGTTAATTGTCCTTACTTAAGACCAGCATACTTGTTAGATTATACTTTATATCATTTTACTGTAGAAGTTTCAAAAGGTATATGGGAATTTTCTGGTGTACCTGCAGTTATTGATAGAGAAGAACATCTTGGAGTAAGTGTTTTGATTAATACTTTATAGATTTTTATAACATGTTTCTTAATTATACATATATTTGTATATTGTATATGCAACAGAAAAATAAAATACAAACACATAATTTTGTATAGATGGATATCTATTTTATTAGATTGTATTGTATTTGCTTTATTTTATTTGTTTGATTAACATTTATCAAAAATGTTTGACTATTAAATTCTTTTTTCTTATCATAATATTATATTTTATGTTCAACCAGGTAAAAAAAGATCTACCTTCAAATTTTTAGATCTTTAAAATGATATATAAAGGTCACATGAATCAAATTTATCAAAAAATAGTCGTCTTATTGGTTTTTATTTTTTTATAAACTAAATGCTTATTTCTTAAAAATATATATATATATATTAGTAATGAGTACATAAAAATAAATACATTGATATTAAAAGAAATAATCGACTAAATAAATAGTTAACTAAAATTAATTAAATAGTTCAATAGTTTAATTTTTTACAAACTTCAATGTTTTTGTTTGTTAAATATCAGTTTTTTTTTTACTTATTATTGAGTGGAGTGAGAAATGTATTGGTCTTATAATGTTTATTATTATTATTTTTTTTTGTGAACAACTTTTCTACTAAAAATGTTGCTCCAATTTTCAAGTGTAGCTTCTTTTCTGAAAGGAAATGTATGTGGTGTTATTTATTACTGCTCACTTTCAAAACATGTGTAACCGAATTCCACTCATAATCGTTTTTTGGTTAGCAATAATTAATTGTTGCATACATATATACATTAAATTTTCCCTCAACCTTCCCAACTCCCACTTACAACAGTGAGTTACACATAGTCCAAATTGTGTCTGTGTTTTTTTTTTGAGAAAGAAAAATGATTATTTAGACTGTAAAAATAATAAAAACTAATAAAACAACTATTGTTTGACACATTTGATTATTGCTACTTCTAGAAATTATTTTAAAGATATGAACATTTGAGAGAAACCTTTTTTTTTTTGCTAAGGTGAACTTAATATCAAGAGAAGAGCAAAAAAAAAAGTTTTAAATAAAATGAAAACTCTGGTTGACTCTAATACATATTATATACAATAGGTAGATAAATAAAATATAATTTTTAAGGTGTTTCTGAATTTATGTAGTTTAAAATTAAAGCATTATTGATTTTTATAACTTTATACTATTTTACAGTCCATAAGACATGCATTATTAACAAAGGTATTACCCAAAGTGAAAATTCATGAACTTTTTCAACTAAATGTTGATCAAATTGTGACTCATTTTCAAGATAAAGTTCGTGCTGGTCCACCTCCATTAGTTCATAAATCAGAATGTAATGAAGAATTAAAACTTATACCTGATCCAGAATTTCGACGGTTATCAGCTACAATTGATATTGATAAAGCATTGAAATTATATAACGTATATAGGTATTCTTAATTTACCTACCAATTAAGTATGTATTAACTAATTTTATTTTTGTAATAATATTTTAGAAGTGATTGTTTTGATGAAGATACTAGACTTCAACGTTGTAGTTTTGAATTAAAATTAAAATTGGAAGCTTTAAATGATTCAATGTTTGATGAAGTTCAAAGGCATTTAATTTCTGCTGTAGACAATTGTATTGCTGGTATAAGATACTTTAGAGTTCAATCAGATGGACCCAAATTAACCAAAGTTTCTATAAGTAATCCATTAGTTCCGAGGTAAATAAACAAAAAAAAAAAAAACAATTTAAACCTGAGTGATTTGTTTTGCAAAAAATGTGTTTTATGTTAAGGTATTTTACGGATTACGAAGGTTATAATGCTGAAGAAGTATTGTATTCTCCAAATGGGAGATTTGTAATGGCACATAATGGATGGGTGATGGGTGGTGATCCATTTAAAAATTTTGCTGGCCCTGATTCTAACATTTATTTAAGAAGAGAATTGATTGCTTGGGGAGATAGTGTTAAGTTGAGGTTTGTTTTTGTGTTATAGTAGTTATTATTAACCATTAGACAGACAAATTGGTTTAACGATTCTTATATAGATAACCTCACAAAGAAGTAATTAAGGTTATAATATTAGTACCTATAGATATTATGTATTATTATTTATTTACTATTTCTGTAGGGAACTATTAGAACTGTTTTAATTTTGTTAATAAATGATATAAATCATACTGAACTATTTTTAGTAGATACTCCATTGGCCTACTTAATCTTTACAGTTAATTATTATAATTCTAATTTCTGTTGTTTGTAATTATTGACTAATATCAGATATGGTGATGGACCTAAAGACTGCCCTTTTCTTTGGAATCATATGTTGCGCTATGTAGAACAAACAGTGACAATTTTTGATGGTATTAGATTAGATAATTGTCATTCAACTCCATTGAATGTAGCCGAAGTAAATTTATTATTTATTATTACTAAATAATTTATACATATAATTATATAAAAAATAAGTCTTATATCTTGTTATATTATTTACTTATTAGTATTTGCTGGATGCTGCTCGAAAGATTAAACCAGATTTATATGTTGTGGCAGAGTTATTTACAAATTCAGATGCTACTGATAATATATTTGTTAATAGACTGGGAATTACATCACTTATTCGAGGTCAGATGAATATTGTTTTATAATATTTATTTATAATTTATGTAAAATTTAATCTAAAAATATTAATTTTTATGATAACATATTTTTTTTTAAATATAAGTTTATAGAATATTAATTCAATTTGTGAACATCAAAAATGGCTTAAGTTGGATTACTAGTTTAGTAATAGTGATTGGAATATTTGGTTTAAAAATTAACTAGTTCAAGTTTATCAAATTAAAATAAAAGTCAATTAACTCAATTATATATAAATAATTTGTCTATAATATTTGTATTTATTTTAATACATTTATAAACATTTTGTTTATAATATAAATATTAAACACTGATTGGTAAATAACTTTAAGTGTTGTAAAAATAATTTCTGAGAAATACTCTGGTTCTATACGAGACACAATATATTATTATTATTTATAATTATAAATTTGAAATCCTGATAATTATCAAGATTATCTTTTATGTATTCATTGTATGAACTACGAATTGGTGAAAATCCATAAGTAGCATTTGTCATTTAATTTTTTTTAAATATTTGTTAACTTTTCAATGAACTAAAACAAACTGAAAACAATTCATGTTCATAAAAGATAAGAACCTGATTCAAGTTTATCTCTTGAAAACATGTTCATATCCCGTTCATACAAAACATACTGTTTTTTTTTTCACCATTAGTTAATATTGTTATTTATGTAATATATTCAATATTGCATCTATAGCATAATAGATGTATTATATTTTCTTTTTTTTGTCAATTATAGAAGCAATGTCTGCATGGGATTCTCATGAACTAGGACGTTTAGTTTATCGTTTTGGTGGTGAACCTGTGGGTGGGTTTATTAAGTTGTCAGAACAACCTCTGTATCCTACTGTTGCTCCTGCTCTTTTTATGGATCAAACTCATGATAATCCATCTCCAATAGAAAAGCATACAGTTTATGATTTATTGCCAAGTGCTGCTTTAGTATCTATGGCTTGTTGTGCGACCGGAAGTAATATGGGTTACGATCAACTTGTACCACATCATGTATGTTAAATTATATGGTAAAAATTAAAACTAAACATAAAACAGTTTTTTGTTATTATTTTTAGATTCATGTTGTAGAAGAGGACAGACAATACATGAGTTGGTCATACAATGAAATTAATATTAATACAGGAATAGTAGCAGGGAAAAAAGTATTAAATGAACTTCACTATGATCTTGGAAGACGGGGATTCGATCAAGTGTATGTGGATCAAATTGATAATGATATTGTTTGTGTTACACGTAACAACAGTAAAACACATGAAAAAGTTGTACTAATGTCATATACCTCATTTTCAACGCCATTTAATCAAAATGGTTTGGGAAAACGAATTACTGTGGATGGAAAAATTGAAAGTATACTTATAGAAGCTTCGTTAGATTACAAGTAATATACATACTTACATACTTATACTAGTATATATATTTATTTTAAACTTCAATTATTTTATAATGATTTAAATATTATTTTCCTTTAGCCTAACTTGTACTGAAAAGGAATTTAAAAAAGATGCAAATAAGATCAATGGCCTTGACAACTATATACTAAGTTTAAAACAAAATATTAGGCCTAAGGAATGTGCCATGTTAGAAATATCTTCAGATGATAAATCTGTTGGTCTGAATTTTACTGCAAATTTTAAACCCGGTTGTATAGTGGTTGTCAGTATTTTGCCACTAGAAAAAACAAAATTAGCCATTACCCATTTGCTAGCTGATTTTGATTTTGAGCAAGCAACAAGTCGTTTAACTCTTACTGACATTAATTATATTTTATTCAGATGTGCTGAAGAAGACGAAGGAAATATATATGATGTTCCAGAATTTGGTAAACTTGTTTATTGTGGGATTCAAGGGTTTATATCTGTTTTAGATACCGTAGCTCTAAATAATGATCTTGGGCATCCGTTGTGTGCAAATCTTCGAAATGGTTTTTGGATACTTGATTATATATGTGAACGTTTGAAACGTAAAGAATTTGAAAATAGTGCAGTTTATCAATTTGGAGATTTTTTAGAACAATATTTCCGACCAATCAGAAAATTACCATCATACTTAGTTCCTTCTTATTTTGAATTTTCACTAAGGAAAGTGTATAATGCATTATTGAACCATACTTGGTCATTGATGCCAGAAGACATCAAGAATGGTTCTACATTTTGTAAGAGTTTAGCTCTTGCTTCAATTCAGTTTGCTGGAATAGTGAAATCTAGTCCTCTTCCATCTCTTTCCCCGAATCTTTTAGCACCTTTACTCAAAACACAAATTGGATCTGATGGAAAATGTCGACCAGAGTGTGTCTCACTTGCAGCTGGATTACCGCATTTTTCCCATGGATATATGAGAAACTGGGGGCGAGATACTTTCATTTCATTAAAAGGATTATTATTACTTACTGGACGATATGAAGAAGCAAAGTATAATATTACAGTATTTGTGTAAATAAAATCATACATTGTACATTTCTAATTCATTTTTAGATACATTATTTTAGCTTTTGGCAGTTGTTTGAGACATGGTCTTATACCTAATTTATTAGACGGAGGAACCAACCCTCGATATAATTGCCGTGATGCTGTTTGGTGGTGGTTGTATGTAATTCAGCAGTATGTTTCGATGGTACCTGGGGGTATAAGTATTTTGAGTGATCCTGTTAATAGAATATTTCCAAGTGATGATTCTGAGCCAACATCAGTAGTGAGTTAAAAGTTTAAATGAGTTCTACATGTTATTATTTTAAAATTATATTATTAGGATCAACCGTTATACCAACTAATTCAAGAAGTTATGACAGTCCATTTTCAAGGCTTGTGTTTCCGAGAGCGTAATGCTGGAAGTTCTATCGATGCTCACATGAAAAGTCCTGGTTTTGATAATCAAATTGGAGTTCAACCTACAACTGGATTTGTATTTGGTGGTAATGAATGGAATTGTGGTACATGGATGGATAAAATGGGCTCCTCAGATAAAGCTGGTAATCGAGGAAAACCTGCTACTCCTCGTGATGGATCAGCTATAGAATTGGTTGCGCTATCAAAATCAGTTATTGGATGGTTGGCTAAATTAAATAAAACTGAAAAATTTAAGTTTTCAGGAGTAACTCGTACAAATAAAGATGGTAAGTTACCCACAAGAGTTATACATTTATTATTTAAAAATGGATATGAAGATAATTATGTTCTCTCTTCCTCGAGCTAAAAAACATTAAACTGTTATAACTCATAAACAGTACTAGTATTAGTATTAGTACTCAGCATTCTATATTAAATCTGTTTTTGAAAAAGGGAGGGAGTCCTTTTTGAAAATAAAAAGGTCAATACTTATTTAAGGTAATATGAATTAGGGGTAATAAATTGAAAATAGTATTAAAATAAAGCTTAAACGATTTAATAATAACTGAAAAAAAAAGAAACAGGAACCAAATACACTTAAAATCTACCTAGAAAATTGCTATATTGTTTATGATAAATGGATCATTTGTATGTTTGTCGATTTTCAATGAATGTAAATGTGCTCTAAAGTTATCTAAATCATAGGTTAATTATATTTACATTTGATTTATGCAAATATATTTTTAATTTAGGATCAATAACTTCTTGGACATATGAAGAATGGAATGAAAAGATTCAAAATAATTTTGAAGCATATTTCTGGATACCACAGGATAAAAAAAGTCTTAATAAATTTGAATCACTTCCTGAACTTATAAATCGTAGAGGTATTTATAAAGATACAGTTGGTGCCTCAAATAAATGGGGAGACTATCAATTGCGATGCAACTATCCTGTAGCAATGGTTGTGGTAAGTTTAATTATAAAATGTAATTAGTATATTTTTTGAAATTTATTTCTTAAATATTTTATGTATATATTAGGCTCCAGAGTTATTTACTCCTAGTCATGCAAGAGTAGCTTTACAAACAATATCGGATGTACTTCTTGGACCACTTGGTATGAAAACTTTAGATCCGTTAGATTGGGCATATGATGGTTTTTATAATAATGATAATAATACTACTGATTACAAATTGGCCAATGGCTTTAATTATCACCAAGGACCAGTAAGAACAATGAATTTAATATTTCATTAGAAATAAAATGTTATTGAAATTTTTAAACTTTTATTAGGAATGGTTATGGCCTGTTGGTTTTTTCTTAAGAGCGAAGTTGATATTTTCTACTAAAAAACAGGAAACTAATTCTGAAATCCAACATATTTTATCCAAACATTATGAGCACTTAAAAACATCTGTTTGGAGAGGACTGCCTGAATTGACTAATAAAGATGGAGCTTTTTGTGCTGGGTCATGTCCTACTCAAGCTTGGAGTGTTGCTACAATTCTTGAAGTAAGTAGAAAACGAGCATTTATTAAAGTAAAATGTATAATTTATTTATGACATATTATCTTTGGACACATATGTTATTAAATTAGTTGTTTCTATTTTTTTTTCTAACTATATTGCTTTACTGATATGCCTGGAATTTAATTTAGTTTAATATTAATAACAGTTATATCCAAAATTATAAATATTCTTACCTATTATTAACACACTTCATTTGTTTATTCAAACAATAAATAATTTTATTAATAATGACAAATTCAGGTAAGAAATGCATGCGGTTTCTACTTCTAATTGACATTTTAAATTTATCATGAGTTATCTTATTCTATAACACATATTTCTCCTGATTTCATTAATTTAAATCTATACGGCTTATGGTTTTTAGATATTAAATAAATATTGTTCTAATAGAAAAATGATATGTCCTTTTTGTTGAATTTTAAATATAGTTGGTGAGTAAGAAAGTCGTTTTTTAATTTTCTCTGTAGTTTTATTAATAATAAGGAAAAACTGAAAAAAAAATGTAAAATGAAAACTGATAAATTTATGGTGTTTTCATTATTTTACATTTTTATACTTTCGATTTTCTACTAAAAAATATTACTTTGATGAAACAACAAGTGATCTTTTTTGTTAGATTTTTAATCAAGTTGTTGGTTGAGAAATTGGTTTTTTGATTTTCTTTGTAATTTTTTAAATAATTGAAGAAAACCTAAAAGTACTATAAAAAGAATGAGACAATTTATAAAAATAATTTATTTTATTTTATTATTTTTTTAATATAATTTAGTTAAAACTATTTATAGAGACTTGAAATTTTGACAGAAAACTAATATTTACTTTTTCTAGACCGATTTTTCTAAAAATAATTTTCAATTTTATTTGTATATACATGTATCCTACCTTCCCAACTTCCTACTTACAACTGTGACGTATCTGTGTCTTGTGTCAGCTTTTTTTATTCAATGTCCTCAAAAATGAGAAAACTCTTAACAATGTCTTAATTTTTTTACTTACATACAATTTATCTAATATAATATGCATTTATAAATGTCACCTAATTTACCTTTTGGTTCTTGTAAAAAAATAAAGATATATACATTTGAAAAATGATACATTCCAATAAAAATATTGGAATAATTAAAAATAATTAGCATTTAAAAGTCATCATACTTGATTTGTTTTATTAATTTACATATATTGCCGGTAATATTTTATATGTTATAGGATATGAATTCATGATACTATGTAATAAGGAAAGAATAACTAACCCAGTATTAAATTAATTCATATTGATTATCGTTAATCCAAAAAAAAATGTCATGTGTAGGTAACAAATGTAAACAACCTAAAGTTTAATATCTATATACACACAGAAATAGGTTATATTGGTACATTGAGTGATTTGATAATCGCCGCAACAATCTATTATAGTTTTGTATGCTTTACTTTTATTTTTTATAGTTATATCATGAGAAATATACTATTCAAGAACACAAGTATGGATCTACAATGTTGGCCTTAATTCATAAAATATTTTAACACTATTATGCTATTATATTCACTAATAAGTAATTTGCATTTGCTTGTTTAACGTAAGCGACTAATATTAATTTTTAGTTTGTTTTCATGATTAATCAAGTATTTGTTTATTTTTTTTCAGACATTGATGGTTAATACAAACTCAAATAGCTAAATTAAATGTATAAATAATGTAATAATAATATGTATGCCATTATTTGTGTGTTATTATCATTGTATGGATTAATCGACTGAAAATAGGGACTGATAATATTTTTTTGCCATTTCTTTGATGAAAAATTTCAAACTGTTCATTTTACAGAATAGTCTAATATTATTTGTATCATTTTTTGAATTTGTGTAAAACTAATTTTTTTTTATTGTATCTTACTATTTTATCCATTACTGTTATGTTAACCATTATGCAAATACTATGTTACCTCTATTTGAAAATATAAATTAGTTGTTTTTAAAAATTGAATTAGGTACTTTCTTTTTTTTTTTTTTTTTTACATTAATTTAATCAAGTGTTTAATCAAGGTATTTATATTAATAAATTATTAGCTTGTACCAAAAATTTTTACTAATTATTAATTTATTATATTTTTAGACAGACCAATTTGTATACCCAATAGATTTATAAAATAAGTATCTATTAATTTTATTTATTTATCTTATTTTATAAATTTATTTGATGAATGTATAAATTTAAAATGATTTTATTGTAATGATTAAGAGTTATTAGGTGTGTAATAAAAATAGAAAAATATATTGTTATTTATGAAATCAGTAAAATATAAAGCTCGATTCAGACAGCTTATTATTACATTATACAGTTTTGTTACAAAAAATAGTTTCATGATGTGTAATAATTAGCTGTATGAATCTAGCTTTAAATTAGTGTTCATATTATGTATGCCATACATTTCTCTAGTTAAATACATCATCTATGATATCATAACAAGTAATTTTACAAATGTTTAGATAGTATTGTTGAAAATACAAAAATTATATTTTGCATGTATTGTGCTTTTTATTATAAACTATGTATTTTTTTTTCTTTTCTATAGAAAATATTCATGATGACTATATTTTTTATGAAATTTTAAATTATAAATTACATCTTCATTTAAAAACTAACTAGCTACTCTCGTAAATGTATAATAAAATATTATTAATCATTTTGTATATTTATTGATGTTTTATCTGTGCTGTAGTCGCAATTATATTTCCAAAGCTCTTTTTTTTTTTTTTACCTGTACTCTAAACATTGCTTAAATTGATAAAAAAAATCTGATAGATGCTGGGTTTTAAACCAAATACCAATGATTTTTTTTTATAAATAAATTATGAATTAAAAAAGTTACAGCTTTTAATAAAAATCAAAAACAAACAACTTTAATTTTTTAGTTCAACAATAATATTGTTATACTATATAACTAGAGAAAAAACTGACTTATTTCCCTCTAATATATTACCCTTTGAATTTTTTTATGTGTCTAAACTCATAAATTCAATCTAAAAGTTTTATAAAATAAATTTATTTATACGAGAATTATATTTATTAGGTAATTGCGATCATACCAAAACATGGTGAATATATTATAAGTTGCAAATATCTGAAAATATATTTTTTGAAAGTTAAAATGATCTTTCTTGTGTGAGCTGGATAAATTATATAAATTATACTGTAGGATACGCGACCGATTTGAACCAACAAACAAGTCGGCTTAAAACAATTTTCAACTTCCTCAATTTTCTAGTAGACCTCAAGTATTATTTATTTTCAGTTGATTTTTCTTTGTGTCTCATACTTTCATTACATGTGTAATGTTTAAATTTAAATTTATGACAAACAAATAGTTATATTATTTTAATATTTTTAGTTTGCTTATTTTATACTTAAGGTTAGTCAAAACACTAAACATATAAGTCAATAAATTAGAAAAATTGTTATATACTAAACCCCCCCCCCTCTTCCCTAACCTTTCAAAAGAGGTGAAATATTGAAATATTAAAATTAATATCAAATTTTGATTATGTATTATATTATGATATAGTATTGACTATATTGAATAGTTAGGTAGTTTACTCAATTGTTTTTTCCACTACCGAATATTTTAGAATATCAAAATGTTAATACAAATTTTTATTCAATTATTATTTTATTTTAAAATTGATTGCAGTTTCATTTTAAAATGCATTTGTTCAGTTTTTGGATGAGTCAGTGTATCAAAACCAATGGTTAAGTCACTCTTTAGGCTTGAAAAAGTACTGTGTGATAAAACAATGTAATAAGAATTTGCAGTGCGTAGAGTACATAATAAACATTAATAAATTGAAAACTTAAAGTAATTTGTTCAAAATAGATCTAATTACAAAATAGTACCTAAAATTATAAACTTTTATGTTTATAGATATAGAAGGGCAAATGTTAAATATAGTTCATCTTATATTGTAAGGTCAGATTGCTTGACAAGTTATTGAGAAAATTTCTGTTGGTTTGGGCTAGTGGGAAATGAGAATATTACTTTATTATCATATTTAGAAATAGAAATTTCAGTAAGTTAATTTATACCAATTCCGGCCCTGTATTATAATAAGTAAGTACCAATATAATATGAATAATAATTTTTCATTAAATAATATTTTAAACAACTTTGAAATTCAGACTAAGTTTGGTAAACTTATAATGTATTTATGGTTGTTTTGTATATTTTTTTTTTTAAACTTAATAAATCAAATCAAGTTGTAATGGGAAAAAAACTATTTAAGATGACCATAAGTGGTGACTCCTACAATACTTCGAGGATACATTTTAAAAGAGAACATTGCTATATCCAATATTAGCATACAAATATTTTTAATTATGGATAACAAAGATATTGTTTGTAAAATATTATTTTTAAATTAAGTATATACAAATTTGTATATTTATTATATGAATATAAGTAGTAATCAAGACATGATCAATTAAAACATGTAGAATTATATTAAAATATTATATTTTGTAATGTAAGTAACTAAATAAGGAATATTTATAATTTTCTTTACAGATATAAAGAACCATCTGCTGGACCAAGGTATCTAATAGAGATCAATAATACATCAATAAGTGTCCAAACTCCTAGACCTCCAAAACTGAAGAGTTTGCCTATACCTTCTTGCCAGTGTCCTAAATAAAATCTATAATAAAAACATACAATTTTTTTTATTTTATAATATAATTTTCTATAATAATATCATACCTATCTATACCGAATCCTCCAAGAGTAATACTTAAAATTAAAGCAGTAGACCAGCGATGGCCACCTGTCCAATTGCAACGTAATCTTTTATAAAATTTTCTTTTTCCCAAACATAAAACATCTCTATTTACTGTACAATTAGTCCTAAAATAAATTAAATAGTAATTACTAATTACTTTACAACATTATAAGAATCAATACAATATTATAACTCAATATTGTTTTTGTATGCATTTATATTTTTCTCACATTTAGTTATTTATCTATGTATGTGTATAAATAAATGTGAGACATATTTTATGTTACACAAATACAGTATTGGGTTAAAATTATAATATTGATTTGAAAATTGTAATAATTTACATTTAACACATGAAAAAATAATATGTAAATACTGAATAAATAATATAATTTAAAAAACTAACACTAACCGGTAATGTATTGGTGGAGAAGCTGCAGAATTACAGATTTTTTTAATACACTTGTATTCCCAGAATTCAATCTGATAGCAATAACGACAAGTCAAATTTTTAGCAAACGTGTTGTTTCCCTATAAAACAGAATTTTATTTATTCTCATATTGTAACATATGTTATATCACATAATGCATACCACACATTCTACATTTGCTTTGCATACAGCTATTGTTTGATTTCCATATACACAAGAGTCGTTCATATGACAAGTGATACACGGATATGGTAAACTTGAACAAGGTTTCTTATCCGAATCTATACATTCTAAATCTTCATGATGTATCTTTGAAAAAATAATTAGTAATGACTGATTAGATATTATATTATTAAATAAGCTTAATTCTGATTAGGTTTTTTCCAATTTTTAATGAGTATATGCAAAGTATACCTCAATGTAGTGAGCATAGGTTGAAATGGTATTTTGTATATTATCGTTTTAGTATATTGATAGAGAATCCTGGAATAAATCTAAGAAAGAAAATCTCTAATACTATTATAAAATTTAAGTATTACAGATCAAAATATACAATTAACGAACAATTTATTAGACAATTTTTGTACTAATAAGATATAGACATATAAAATAATAAGAATTATTTTGATATATTTTTGTTGTGTATAATAGATTTAAGTGGCTAGAGAAATATTTCAAACAATAGATATAATAACAGCAGATATGATTTCTTGACTATATTCAATTCACTATTGTCATAGATTGGTTTATGGAATTTGAGAGAACACCAAACTAATTTCATTTTAAACAGTTTTAGAGTTTTATGAATAATATATAGTATATATTATAAAAGACAGCTTCAGATATATAGGTTTATTGAAATTGAATAAATAGATTATTTTCAATATGATAAATATCAACAATTGGTTGAGCAATTCTTGTGTATCATCCTCGGGGGATTTATATTCCGAACACCATTGATAGATGATACGTCACTGTAAACTGCAGTATTGATTGTTCTATCACATAGTACCTATCTAATTTTACTTTTGTAGTTAAATAAAAGAAAAAACCAAAATAAGTAAATATTATCAATTATATGATAATTAAAATATGAATAGCTACAAGGTTGAAGAACAGGAAGGTTAAAGTCTTTTATTTATAAGCATAACAATATACTTATTACTGTGGTGTATATACCATACTTATTGTTATAATTATAATGTAAAATTAATAAAAAATAATAGATAATATAATTAATGTAATAGGAATATTAATTATATTTATTTGTATAATGTTTGAGGTTTTTATTACATTAATGAACAACACCAATAGATTAAACTCCTAATACAGTTTATGGAACAATTAACGTATATAGATAGTGCATATCTGGTGAACATTTTTTAATTTTACTTATATTTGAGGCTTATTTAAAATGCAGTATAATAGAGCTTCCAATGGATCATTAAACTCTCCTTGTAAATCAAAGAAGTCATTTGACTACTGTTCATATGTTTAACGGCTAATTAAAATTAAACATACCTACCGTTCTAGTAGGATGTGTTGTACTATTAACAGGTTGATTTGATTTTTTCTTTTGCTTGGAAAGTGATAAATCAACATGTTCATCATCTGTACATTGAATGGTAAAATTAAATACAATTTTTTATTGCAGACAACCTAAATCAATCAATTTACCATTTTGAGACGTCTTGATATTTGCTATAAAAAGAAATGAAAATATAACTGAACAGTAATACAGTAACTTCATAACAGCTCATTTCATAATACTATTTTACAAAAAATATCACTTGATTAATTTAATTTAATTTTTAAAACAAAACAGTAAGAATCTAATAAAATACTACAATAACTATGTACAATAGTAAATGGTAAAATCTTTTTTGTCAGTGCAAAGCATTTATCACAAATTAAGATATTATTGTTTATACTTTATGATAATATATTATCGCAGTCCGTGTCATCAAGATAATCAATGTGAAATAACTTAAGGTTTCAAACTTCTTTGAATTCATCGACCTCTGAAAATACCTGTGTATGAAAAATACACTAGTACCATATGATTTTACTATGGTTTAAGATAGTCCATGAATTCCACTGTTTACTATACATTAGAAATTTTTTATCAGTGTAAAGTGATAAAACCAATTTGAAGTTTCAACATTTAATATTTAAAGTACATAGGTTTTCTATGCAGGTATCACTATAATAATAGTTTTAAAATTAGTATGTTATTTAAATATATATATTTTGGTGATTGGTAATCTTAATATAATATTATAGTGGAATTTATCTCAATTTTTTCGGTTATATTTAAACAAGTAAAACATTTCAATAAGATAAAGCTCGGTACTTAAAGAAAATGGTGTAATCATGATGGACCACAGAGAATATGATGGGGATGTTATTCCAAGTACTGCAGAAGACGATGAAGATGTATTTAAAGATTTGATGTTAAACGTACCTGCTGATTGGTCAGCAAATGATTGTATGCAAACAGGTCTTTTCAATTCATTTGATCCTGATGAAGTTGTATATCGGGCTCAAAAAAAACCATGTAAGATTGTCGGTAAATATGTAATGGGTGACTTATTGGGTGAAGGCAGTTATGGAAAAGTTAAAGAAGTTCTGGATTCTGAAACACTTGTTCGGCGTGCAGCTAAAATATTAAAAAAGAAAAAACTCAAACGAATACCAAACGGAGAAAAAAATGTCCTCAAGTAATATAATAATTTCCTATTGTATTTAGTATAGGTACTTAGTATTACATATATTTTGTATTGTAATGCCTAAATACTTTATTATTTTATGTAAAATTCCTACCTACCTACTTACTTATTAAATCAAATATGTATAACAAACATTTCTTTTACGGTTCTTTTCGTAAATTAAATAGTGTTGAATAGTGCTTTATGAGTAAACAATAAATATTAATACATTTTGGGACTATAAACACAAACTTATATATTTCATTACATCTTAGAAATCTAAAGTTATATTTATAATAATAAAAAATCAAATCTTATAATATGTCACCTAAAACTTGTAAATTTAATCATAAAAAAATTATTTTACCTAAAATAATACTAAATTAAAGGAAATAACAATTATTAAAGTATAATAAAACACCAATATCCTTAACATTTTTTGTAAAAATAAAAATCAATCAATCTAACTCAATTCTCAGTGCCTAAGATAAATTTTATCTCATCATTTATAGAGCTTATTACTTTTGTCATAAATAAATCCAACATTGAAAGCTACAGCATGTATGCCATTAAATCAAATTGTTTTTAAAGGTATAGTTAAACAAATAAAAATTGAAATAAATTTATGTACCTTGTTTTAATTTTAGTTTCAATTGATTCAAATTGTTAATTTTACTTTATGACAGTAGCAGCATATTCGTTATTATACATAGAATTTTTTATTGGTTTTACAATGATGTTTATTTAATTTTTTTTTATTGTCTGTGAATAACTGATATTGTGATCTGATTTTCAAGTTCAACACTTTTTCTGTAAAGAAATCTGACTAGGGTGGTACTTTAGAGAAGTCATTTTTCTATTTTCTGCGGGTTTCCTAAAAAAAGTGGAAAATTTATGAAATTTATTATTTCAAGTCATAAATATTATGGTCTTTTAAAAAATATATAACCAAAGCAATGATTAATCTTTGCATACAGATATATTAAATTAACGTTCCACCTTCCCAACTTCTAACCTAAAACAGTGTCCCACTTATCCTGCAAAGTATATCAATTTATTTTTAATATTCATTTTACTGAAAACAAAATATTATTTTATATTATGCCTAGGTTATTATAATTTAATATTATAAGTTATAAAAATAAGTATTTTAAACAAAAATTTGCCATTTCAAGATATATTTATTTTTTCCGCTTATAATTTAGTAAATCTAAGTATTTATAGGTTAAGGGTTCAATAATTATGAACATTTTTGATTAATTAGACTATTTGATATTAAATTGTATACTAGTCATATACAAAATAAAATATTATTTCCCTGCATATTTTTTGGTTGGTGACATTTACTTGAACATTAAATTAAATTTAAGTGTGTCATTTTCACTTTTCTACTTCATAGACCACAGTGATACATAACCTTGACTAGTAAACTTGGTTAGCGTTTTTATGGTGTTTACAATATTTAACAAGTGTAGTGTGTACACATTTGAATAATATAATTTTCAATTATTTTTAATCAGAATTGATAAAATGTTTATTAAAATAGGTACATAATAGTTAACATATAATATAAGTAGCATGTTTTTCTAGTTATTGTTAATTTGCAAGCTCTATCAGTTAACATATTTTGTAAACACTGTAAAAAAGTGATTATGATTATGAATATATTTTAATTTATTCAATGAAATATTTATTCAAAAATATTGTAGTATTATTTATTATACAATACTTAAGAAATTTTGTGGTAAATTAGTAAAATATATTTTGAAAATCTATTAAATGTAATAGTTTATTTATATTTTATTTATTATAATTTAATCAGTTGTTGGAATATTTAATGGAAAACAAATAATATTTGTAATATTTTAAATTTATCTTACTTATAACAGAACTTAGTTAAGTTGTGTTAAATAAAACTGATTTTTAAACTATCATTAGAAATTAGAAATTTGATAAAATAAATATCTAATAATAATTTGAAAATTATTAGTATTCTATGATTATTTGCCTTTTGCAATTAAATCTGATTTATTTAATTTGTTTTTATAGTGAAATCCAGCTTTTGAAAACTTTAAGGCATTTGAATGTCATTGAGTTAGTAGATGTGATTGTGAATAATGAAAAAGAAAAGATGTATCTTCTTATGGAATATTGTGTAGGTGGTCTTCAAGATATGCTTGAGCACTCTCCAGGCAGTAAATTCCCATGCTGGCAAGCCCACAAGTAAATAATATTTGGTTACTAAACCAATGACAATATTTAACTTATAAAGAATTTTTAATTGCATTTATTATATTCCATGGTATTAGCTATTTTAGTCAATTAATAAATGGGCTAGAATATTTACACAGTCGTGGAATAATTCATAAAGACATCAAACCAGGTAATTTATTGCTCACGCTTGATGAAACGCTTAAAATATCGGATTTTGGAACTGCTGAGGTATGTTAAAACTACCTTTACAAAAATGTATACAATTTAAAATTTGTAATTCAATTTAATAGGCACTGTCACCCTTTGATCCTGAAGGTATTTGCGCATCTAGTCAAGGTTCACCGGCATTTCAACCCCCTGAAATAGCTAATGGGGATGACGAGTACTCTGGATTTAAAATAGATATTTGGAGCAGTGGTGTTACATTGTATAAATATTAAGCAATTATTAATTTCTTGTATTTTACAAATAAACAATTTTTACAGGTATAATTTAGTCACAGGAAATTATCCATTTGAAGGTGATAATGTGTACAGATTATTTGAAGCAATTGGAAAGTGTAATATTCAAATTCCAGGATATGTGACCGAACCCTTAAGATCTTTGTTAGTTGGAATGCTAAAAAAGGACCCAAAGAAAAGGTTTTCCTTACGAACAATACAAACACATCCGTAAGTTACTAAAATATATAGATAAGTAATAGATCTGTATTTAAATAAGTATTCTATATTTTATTGTACATTGTAGTATGTTAATTACATTTCATTGAAGAACTTGTTTATGTTATTGACCGAGTCAACAACTATCACATAATTAATTTAATAGAAATACAAAGAGAATTAGATTTATTACAACAATTTTATGTTATATTACAAATACTATTATTTAAATTGTTTAGTTGCACGTTTATTTGTTCATTAAAGAATCCAAAACAATAAAACTATAGAATAATAATTAAGCATGATCAGTTTCCCAAATTTTGTTGGTATAATCATTGATTTAATATACAATACATCATCTATGTTTAATCAATGGTATAATGTAGTATACTATATTACATTGGTAAACTGGCCATGATCATATAAATACTTTTATGAAATTAAAATTATGATGAAACCTAAATGACAAATTTTATATGATCTAAAAATTCTTTTTGGAAATTCGATGTGTATGGTTTTTCCTGATACAAATATAAGACAGTTAAACGCAATTATATTTTGTTTTATATTCGAAGTTTCGTGCATACAATTTTTGTAATATATTGCTCGGCCTTAAAAAATTGCTCTGGACTCTGCTCAAGCTGCACAGAATTTTTTTTTTGTTAGCAATGATTTATTGTTGGTTACTTTATACTAATATAAATTAAATAATTCTACATATCCTGATTTCCCACTTCCTTACCTACACATTTTTTTTTGTTTGTACAACTTTTCTATCAAAATATTTCTCCAATCAATAAATTATAAGAGAACTTTTTTTTTATCTAGCATTTTGGATCTAGTTAGTACATTAGTGAGGTTATTTTTTTGATTTTCTTTGTAGTTTTTTAAAATAATTGTGAAAAATTTAAAAAAAAATAACATTTAGAAAAACCGTGTAAGTTTACGATTATAAAATTTTCATTATTTTTATTGTGTTTTATTACTATAAATATTGCTTAGAGTTTCAAAAGCGGCATATATTTTGAAAAATTTTTTTGTCTATTTGGTGCTCAAGAAAGTCTTATTTTGGTTTTTAATATGATTAATGTTGTAAATTATGTCTTATATTAAGTTTTAATAACATAACATAAATTCTATAATTTATACATCAAATTATATAATATATTGAATTATAATTATAAATTAATTTTAAATAACGTATACAAGACATTTGACCTGATTTGTTTCTATTAGTTTTTTATTTATTTATTTATTTATATATATTATTACATAAAATAATTGTATAATAATATATATTTAATTGCTATATTATTATTTTATTAATCAACAAATCTGTAAATTATTTGTTTATTTATAATCATGTAATGTTTTATTTATTTATTTTTATTTAGGTGGTTTGTTTGTAGACATCCAAAAACTTCTGAAAAGGTACCTATTCCTCCATTGCGGGGTGATCATATGCATAATATGACCGTATTACCATACTTGTTCAATTATCATGAATGTGATACGCCTTCAGACAACGAAGAAGAATATATAACCGAAAATCTAATTAAAGGTAATTAATTATTAAAATTATGATTGTATTAATTTAAAAAGTCGAATTAATTGTTTAATAAATAATTTAGATAGACAGATTGGAAGTACATCAGCTCCTATTGATGATGTTAATGATCCATCTAAACGGCCTTGGCATAAGCCAATCATGTGCAATGTTAAAAAAATGACAACATGTCGACTTTCATGACATTTGTCGCTTACCCTTATACTGCATCTTTCATATTTTTTTATATTATACCCATAATTGGTCCAAAAGATTTAATTATATTTTGAGAATACAAGTGGAGTGTTTATTCAAATATTTTTTTTTGGAATTGAATTGAGTCAAGTAATTTTGTAATTAATATTTTTTCACTACGACAATGGAATTATGTTATTTTAACTACTTATTATGAAATTACCAACCTAAATATGTTATTAACTGTATTGATTGTTTAAAATTATATATTATTATTTATCTTAAAGTTTTAAAAAATCAAAATAATTGTGAAATGACAAAATTGACAACCAGACTTGATGTACAGAGGAAAAAAAAATTAATATTACCTCAAATGTTTTTAAGTTTTGTTTATTCATTATTTTGTACATAAATATATTTATATATATATATATATATATTCATAAAAAGAAAATCATTTCATACCAAATACTATATACGTTTGCTCCTTTATAGGTTTATTTATATACAATAATATTTGTTTTTATAAAAGTATAAGTACATTAATAAATTAGAATGTTATATTTAAAAACATGTTTGATTATATTTAAATATTAAAGTACCAAGAAGGTGATTGAATAATAGATTCTGAGCATAGTAAAAGATTTTTTTTTTTTGTAGCACTTTCTACCAACAATCTTGCTACAATCGAAAAATAACAAGAGACATTTTTTGTTGTATTTGGATCTAGTTGGTGTATTGCGAAGGTTATTTTTTGATGTTCTTATGGGTGTTACTGGTTTCATTATTTTTAATTTTTATGTACACATTTTTTTACTAGAAATATTACTTTAATCAAAAAATGACAGTTAAATTGGGAAAAAAAAGTAGAAAGAACAGAAAAAATTTACAGAAATAACGTTTTTCACTTTTTTTTTTGTAGTAATTAAGTTACAAGAGATTTCATATAGACTTTGAGAGAAAACTTATATTTGCCATTTCTAGACGTGTTAAAATGTTCAAAACGTTTGAGTTATTTATAGACATTTTAATTTTGAGTGTTTTTTAATGTAATTTTATTTGGTAGGTACTCTCACGTATAAATTGTTAGACTAAACAAAAATGTAGCACGTTTTCTGAAAGGAAATCAATTTTTTGATTTTCTCAGGAGGTTTCATAACAAATAAGAAAAAACTGGAAAATTTACGAAATTTATTATTTTCAAATCGTAAATATTAAGGCTGTTAAAAATATGTATAACCAACTCAAAATCGTTTTTCCTTAGTAATGATTAATCTATTAATCAGATATATATGTCATTACATTTCCCTTCTACCTTCCCAAATTCTCACCTATAATAGTGGCCCACCCCTTGTGTGAAGTATGCCCGTATCTTTTTTATAAGAGTTAAAATCAAATTTTGATGAAAATTTTAACTATTTTAACCTTTCATAACATATGTAATTGAACTTTTTTCCGAATCGTTTTTTGATTGCAACGGTTTATTGATGCTTACTGGTATAAATTAAATAACTTTATATCCTTTATAGAAGGAATAACGGGAGGTTGGTCAATTCGGATTGAAATAATAAATATACCTCTGCATAAAAAAGGAGATAAAACAGTCTGTGATAACTACAGAGGTATTTCATTATTAAATGCAGCTTACACAACTTTTTAGAAAATATTGGCCAACCGACTAGATCCATTCATGGAATAAAACTTAGGGAAGTATCAGTGTGATTTTAGAAAAAGGAGGTCAACAGTAAAACAGGTGTTAATTATTGGATAAATAATAGAGAAAAAGTAGGAATATAGACCAAATGTTTCAATATTTGGCAACTATTTGTTGACTTCAAAAAAGTTTATGACAGTGTTCATCGAGAGAGCCTCTATAATATCATGAATACATTTAGTATGTTTTCTATTGAATTAATTAACTTAACTAAAGTATGTATAGAAAATACACTGTCTGAATCATTTGAGGTACAAACAAGCATTAAGCAAGGGGTTAAGGGGATGCGCTGTCCCCAATGTTATTTAACTTAGCGCTAAATAATTTTAACAGGAAAATACAGAAGGGTAACTGGAAAATTCAGGTTTTTGGGTTTGCTGATGACTTAAACTGTTTGAGTAGCTCATTCAATACCAAAAGAACAACAAAAGCCCTAGAGTAGGATTAAAAATCAACAGGGAAAAACCGAAGGCGATGACTGGTGAAATTGTTAAAAAATGAAGATGATGTGGATGACGACGATGATAAAGAAATGACGTTTGAAAAGATAAATTAATTTCAAAATCTAGGAGTTATGTTGAGTGTTAAAAATGATTGTTCCAAAGAAATCGGGATAAGGATAACGAAGGCTTAAAGAGCATGATTCACTCTAAACCCATTCATGAAATTAAAATAGCTTTCAAAAAAGACTAAAATAAGATTATACACTGCGATAAAAAGACCCACACTCACTTACAATTTCGAAGGATGGATGACTACTAGCAACACAAAGAGGATGTTAAGACCCTTTAAAAATAGAATATGGAGAGTTCTGTGGTCACGCATTTAATAGCGAAATGGCACATTGAGAATTGGAAGAAGAAATGGGTTCGGCACCTATCACCGGTTTTATAAATAGCCAACGAATTCAATGGCATGGGTATATTATGTGCAGAAATTAGAAGGAGATACTTAGATCAGCACTGGAATGTGAGAGATATTGTGGGATACCTTGAAAAAGATGGATGGATAAGATAGGATAGGATCTCAATAAATTAAAAGTGCAAGAATGGAAGGCATTAGCGCCAGACAGAGTAAAGTGGAGGGAAATTGTGATGGCGATGAAAATTTTCAGAGAGTATTAAATGCCAGCAGGAGGAGAAGAAGAAAATAAATCCTACATTCCTGACTTCCCACTTACAACAGTGGTCCCTAGTATCAGCTCTTTTTTTCTTGTATACTGTGTACAAAATTTCTTCTAGAAATCTTGTTCCAATCAAAATATGACAAGACCTTTTTTGTTGCATTTGAGCTTTAGTTGGTACTTTAGAAAGGTTGTTTTTTTAAATTCTCATAAATATTCGAGATAATGAGAGAAAACTGATTCTTTAATTCAAAAAAGATTAAAAGATCAAACATAAGATTATGATTGGCAATCGTATTTATTTATTTTGTATTATTAAACTTTAAACTTTTAGTCATTTTAAACAATGGTTGTCGTGAAAACTCATATTGTTGAAAAAGCAATACTATGACCGAGATTGGCTCAATGATTAATCGTTGCGGACGTATATAAATTAAATTTCCCTCTATATCCTACCATCCCAACTTCTTACAACTTACCTACAACTGTAGTCCACCCGTGGTGCGATTTATGTCCGTTCGTTTTTTTTTTAAATTGTAGTTTGAATCATTAACTGCAGCAAAATTTCAGTAAGACGGAAAATTAATATTGTTTCTTTACTTGTATTATTATAACTTTAACTTACATATGTTATAAGGTAATAAAATTGTTGTTTCGTTTATTCTTTTAAATTCTTATTAGAATATAGAATTTTTTTAATCACTATAATGTATATAATTGCAATGTAGGTAAGAGTCATATTAGTCATATAAGTCATATTCACACGGAGCTACGTAAAAGAAACTAATTTTTGAAACAATTAGCTAACCAGTTCACATTAAGTCACTAATTAAGTAGATCGTTGCTACAGGTTATTAACCAGTTTATATCATATTGTTATTTTTTTTGTAGTAATAATATTTATTACAATAATTATTATGTTTCAACTTTCTAAGTAATTTGATTGTCAGGTCACTTTCGAGTTGCCTCAGCAAGTAGCAGTTCAGTTTATCACCACTGTAACCAGTAACCACCCACCATTCACATGATAGATATATCATATGACAAGAGAAACCAATTGCATTAATTGTTTGTCATATTAGACATATTATAAAAACATAATAACTCGGCATTTGAAAGATTGCGTTCTTAGAGTACAATGAATAATGTTGTTTGATTTATTTGGTTAAAATGTTTTTTGGTCTACAAAAAGAATTTGAAAATTGTATTCAAAGTTTTTCACAAGGGGTTCTTACAAATAAAAGAAATTAGTATAACATTAAATTTTTTTCCTAATTGGAACCTTTTTTTAAAATGTTGACAAAATGTGTATAATTTTTTTTAGTTAAAAATGAAAACAATTTTGAATTTAAATATAGCAACAAATTTAAATGAGTTCATAATAAAATACTATTTTGTACTAGGACTGAATAAGAAACAAACATTTAAAATCTGTAGGTATTATTGATTGAGGAATAAGTATATTAAATATTTTTTTTTAAAGTTATTACAGTATTGGCCTTATTGTTACAAAAAAATACCTATAGAGGGGGTTTGAGGGTTTGATTGTTATGGTTACAGTTTTATTTATCTAACAAACATTATTTTGAGTTGGTATCTAATGTTCAATAAGAATTTCATTTTATACATTATTTTGAGTTGGTATCTAATGTTCAATAAGAATTTCATTTTATACATTATTTTAATTTAGTAATTATTTATTTTATTGAAATGATTTGTGGTAGTGCACCTTTAAAACCCGTTCGTCCAAAACAATTATGTGTTAGTCAAACTACAGGATATAATTGACCTCATGTACATACTTTTAGCTTAGTGAGTATAAAACAACTTTATTTTATCATGCCAATATTAATTTTATTATGAGCAGTGACGAATCTCCTATAATTTTGATTTGAGTGGGGAGGCAAATTCTTTAAAAAATAGTTATCTATCTACATACTTATCCTATTATCATATGTTTAAGTGTATCACATACCTAGGTATTGATCAAAACTGATATCATCAAGACCTACATAAAATATACATATTTTTTAATTTCGTCAATTATAAAACTCATGTCAAAACTTTTAAAAGTATAAACAGTATAACCTACACTCTAGGCCATTAGGTGCGTCTGGTCCCTCTGCCACTACTTCAATCCCTCACTGATTTTTAAAGTTTATAGTCGAATTTGACTTTTCCGGTAGCCCAGTCGACTTTAAATTTAACATGTACTCGTACCTAGTTTGGTTGGTAATACTTAGAATAATCAATTTGTTCAATGTTTATTTTAGGGAAGTGACCAGGGTGGGTAGACTCACGCAGAAAAATGTATACCATACCCTGAAAATGTATGACTTGACTATGTAAACTACATGTGATGTGATACCTATGTGAAATGAGTTGTGGGTAAATTATGATCCATTTTGTTATTAATAAAATAAAAAAAAATATTTAATTGTCTAAAATTCTAAATAACTGTGTTTTAATGAGCTACAAAAAAAAAAGTTATTATTGAGCGTATTTTCGTGATTTTTTCCCCCAAGTGTAAAAATTCCTAGATCCGGCTTTCTCTTTGGTATACCCCCTCAAAAATGTATGTTTACTCATGTATTTTATGTAAAAATATTCAATTGCAGAATTTCACATATTTTCATTGGCATCCCTGTGATCATAGTATTTGGTGGCATATACGAGTAAGCATAATACATATTGCTAGAGATCAATAGTAAATAGTGAGTCCTGATTGGTTGTATTTCAATTGATAACATGCCAACAGTTGTATGATGATGATGATGGCTTAAAATGATAAAATAAAATACAACTGTAATTATAAGAACGATTGCACAGAAGCCACAGAAATACAGTCAAAACAGAAAAGCCAATAAAAATATATACATTTATTATACTTAATATAGTTTAGAAAAATATTAAATTAACATAGCTGGACACCAGGTACATTCTCTTGAGAAAAGGAGATGGTGTTAAGATAATGAGATTAAAGTACAGCCAACAGCAATTTATTGTAAGAAGACCAGTAGGTGTAACAAAAGGGTAGTAAATGCTTATTACCTGGGAGACCTCTTCTCGGAGAAAATAATAAAACATTTTTTTCAACTGTAAGTGTAATAAATACTTGCTATTTTGGCTTTTATATTTTGACTGTATTTCAGTCTACTATGAAAATGTTTTCATAATTACAGTTGCATTTTATTTTATGATTTTATGCCATTATCATCACCATACAATTGTAGGTATGTTATCAATTTAAATATAACCAATCGGGGCTCACTATTTACTATGGGCTTCTACTCTGTAGTAATGTGTACCTAATATGCTAATATGTCACCCGGTCTGTGGTCACTTCTTGCACCTCCCCTCCCAATAAAAAAAGTAAAGCTAATGCGTACATTCTTCGGTTCATTTAAAATCTAAAAATTCGTATTGTATAGCATAATCTCTAGCTTTTGAGTCTGGGAAAAAACAATAAAAAAATAGGAAAATTGACAATCTAATGACAGATTCATTATGATGGCATATGGACATAAGTTACCTATATGAAACTTTTTTTAATGTATTAATATATTTTTCCCAAGATCCGAAAGCCAGAGATTAACTAAATTTAAATTTTGGTTGGGTAGCAATAATAATTAACAGTTATTCTGTACAAATAAATACAGTCATTTCCAATCAAAGCGGTCTTAACGTTTTTTGATTAATTAAGTGGTGCGTTCACATTTATGAACAAATAAAAAATAGTTGTCCGTCTGTCTGATTATCCCGTCACCAATTTGAGCACCACCGACATTAACAATAATGGCATAATATTTTACCTATGTAATTTCGATATTTTCCCGGGAATACAAGATAATATTTTTATTTTTCAAAATTTTTTTTTTAGTTCCCATATGTTTAAAATTATTTTTAGATTCCGAGCGTAGCGAGGGAGCTATTGTTTTACTAAGATGTTTATTTTTTTTTCTCTCTTTCTTTTAGTCTGTGGACATGTTTTTTTCTAGTTAACTTGCTCCGGTAAATAAGTGTAGCACCTTTTCTGAAAGCTCAAGTTATCTAATTGGTACTTTGTAGAGGTTATTTTTTGAATAAAAGTACTTGAGTGGGAAAAAACGTAGAAAAACATATAATTTCACAATTTCATCATTTTATAAAAACATGGACTACGATTTCTACCAGGAAAAATAATTTAATCGAAAAATAACAAGATACATTTTTTGTTGGCTTTTTGATTTACTTTCATACGGTATTATTGCTAAAACTTTTGAGCCACTTTTGAGCATTTAAAAAATTTTAATTCTTGGAAGTTTTTTTTTGTAACTAGGTTATAAATACACGTAGGGACTTGAAACTTGCTAAAAATACTTATATTGGACTTACGTGGTAAAACTTTCAAAATCATCGGATTCCTTTTTTTAATTTTTTTACAATGGTACTTTTTTTTTTATACTGTAGACCACCTTTTTTTCAGAAAACTTGCTCCGATGTATAAGTGTAGCACTTTTTCTTAAAGTTTCAATTTTATCTACTTGGTAAATATATAGGTCATTTTTTGATTTTTGAAACGGTATTTAAAATAAAAACGATTAACCGGGGGAAAAAATACGATTTTTTCACGATTTCATTATTTTAATTAAGTACCTACCACGTTTTCTAACACAAATATGGCTCCAATTGAAAAACGACAAGAGAAATTTTTGTTTGAATTATTAATCTTGATTTTAATGATGTAGGTCGTTGTTTGATTTTCGAATTAGTTTTCATAATAATCAGGAAGAAACGTAGAAATGTGAGGTTAGAAAAAATTACGGCACTTTAAATTATGTATTACCGAACTGCGTTCGGAATTGTCTTTCGTCAGCAAAGGTATATTGTTGCATGCTGATATAAATGAAACAACAGTGATTATCATACGAAGTATGTCCGTCTTTATTTTATAAGATTTAAAATTAAATTTTGATGAAAATGGTTAATATTATGGCTTTTCAAAACATAAATAACTGAAATTCGCTCCGAATCGTTTTTCGTTAGCAATGGTTTATCGTTGTTTACAGGTATAAACTAATCAACTTTCTGTATCCTACATTCTTAACTTTTCACCTACAACAGTGGCCGCACCCGTCCCCAGTATCATTATTTATTAATTCCAATGAAATTTGTATGTATTTACTAGTTAGTTAAACAGCCCGAAAGTATTTACGAAATTCGACTTCGTGATATGGAACGGGTGCATATAAGAAAACAGAGAATGAAAGATGAGGATGATTTGAAAACTTCACGTAGACAAGCTCAGCACATTGAAATGATTGTGGGGGCAGATAGAAAATTTGTATACAATCAAATTAAAAGAATGGTGGAGATTGAAATGAAAGCGAACGAACATTTATTTCTAGAAGACCGTCCAAAGTAAGCAAGACTATATTTTTTATTTTTATTGTTTAATTATTTCTTACGCAGTAATATTTATAATTTAGGCCAGAATTAAAAGTAGAAAAGGAAATCGAGCAACCTAAAATTACTAAAGAAGAATTACTAGAAAAATTAGCAGAAATTAAAAAGAAAAAAGATGAAGAGGAACGTAAATTAGTGGAAGAAAAACGCTTACAATTGTTCATGTTCGTGTATAAAAATCCAAATTAATAAGACCAGTGGCTATTTTTGAGAACACTACTTTGCGCACAATAAAAATTAAAGTGTGCATTCGGCATATTATAATTATTATTCTTATTGACAAAATTCAAGGTCCCGTAAATGTAAAAACATTATCTATATCGAAAAGTATTTACTTTTTCAAAATTTTTTTTTTACCAACTCATGAAACAAAATGTTATTAAATATTACATGATCATTATTTTGAAATCACTACCAACATTTGACTCTTAAATAGCAATCTACATTAATAATTCCACACATAGATGACGTTTTACTTAAATTAAATTTTGGTGTTGACATTTTTAATTTCTGTCAACGCCGAAACTCGAACTCAAGTGTATGACATATAAGTGCACTACGGGAAAAAAGAAAATTTAGCCATTGAATTTATTAAACTAATGTTAGATTTTATTGTTTTTTTTTTTCTATTAGAGAAAATTCTGAAGAGTTAAGGATCGCTACAATGGATAAAAGAAGACGTGAAATAGGTCTTTTGAATTATAAAATAATTCAAGAAAAAGAAAGATTCATTAAAAAACAAAAAACCGAAAATAGAGAACTGTCAAATCTGCAAAATTCAGAAATTTTCAAAAATCAAGTAAATATTATTACCAGTTTATAAAATTTAGAGTGCCAATTTTTTGTTTTTCATGTAACTTCAAAAGAAGTGATACCACATGTAGAGTATTTTTATTACTAACACACGATTTAGACAATTTACAATCAGCAGTACCAATTTTGTATTGTTAGTTGTAATATCAAAGTAAATTAAAAACTTTATGAGTGTTTTTGTAAGTAGGTTTTTTCTTTATATACTGTATTAGATCATTATAAGTGAGATATAAACATGTTATTGTTATTATAATTAATGTTATATAAATATCACAGTTTAAAAATTCTTATATCTTGTCTAAAAATTAAAATATAGAAAAATCTGAAGTACAAATACAGATAATGTTCTTACTTTAAGTTTGATAATAGCTCAATTTACTATTGTATTCAAATTAACAGTTTAAAGTTGTCCTCGCTGAACGCAAATTTGCTCTGTCATGTGTAAGACGGAGATAGCATAGTGATTTTTTTTATCATGACTAGTAATTTTCTCGGAGGATTTTAAATGAATTACTACATTGTTGTTTTTTAATCATCGTAGAACTGTTAAAGCTTTATTTTCAAACCATTTTTAATTTTCTACTCTTATTTCATGCACCTACCTTAATTAAGTACCTATATACTTTTGTTTTTCAAATAGCACCTCCCCGCCCAATTACATTAATATTAGATTTACCGGTTATGATTAATAACCATTTAAAGTTTAGACCTAAGGAATAGGGAATAGTTATCAATTTATTATTTAAAAATAGATACCTACGCAATTTATTACAATGGTTAAAAAAAAACAAAAATTAAATTAACTTAAAATCATTCGAGAAAATTGCTGGTTTATGATAAAAAATTACCCTGTATGCTATTGGTTTCTAAACATTTGAACTTTCTTAAGTTGGTTAGTCTACGGTTTTAGTTTTTGGTTGGTTTAATACAATTTTTATATCTAAGAACATGATTTATTTAGGCTCTGGAAAGAGAAGAAGAAAAACGAAAAAATTGTGAAAAGAAACAACGGTATCAACAGGAATTATACGAACAATTACAAGAAAAAGAAGCTATCCGAAAACATGAAAAAGAATTAAAAATTATCGAATGTAATGAGTATAAAAAATTGAACGAAACGTTGAAAGAAGAGGATGCACTTGGTGAGTATAAACTTTGTAAGCGTACATAAATATATAAGTAGGTATCATTGATAGAAAATAATAACTATACATTATACTTATAATACCAATTTATATCTTTAGGTTTTTCTGTTTTTAGTATTAATATACATCGATATTAATTAAGTACCTAGGTAAATAAATAGGATTTGTTTTTGCACATTAATTCGTGTATATAGTATACTCAATTTGTAATTTGCAAAAACGTATTTAATTTTAGAAAAATTGGACCGTATAAAAAAGCAAGTACAGAAAAGAGAAGAAATCAAACAATTTACTGAAGAAAGATCAAAATGGTTTTCAGAATCACACAAGGCCTTAAAATCGTTTGGTGAAACAAAGGAAATTATAATACAAAATTTAAAAGACAATATGGAAGATAAATTCTCAGCTAAGGTTGAAATAATGATTTGGGTTGCCTTTATTCGAATAAAAATACATTATTAAATATTGTAGATCCAGTTGACGCATGAAAACGAAAAGTTCAAGAAACATCAAGCGATCATCAAAGAAGAACGGAGAAAGCTAAGCGAAGCCATAACAAATAAAGTAATGCAACAAATAAGGGAAATTGAAGAGCTCAAACAATCTATTGAACGTCAAAATGCTGAAGTGCGACGAAAACGTACAGAGGTGAGAATGATTAGTTCAATGCTATACAATTCGTAGGGTTTCCGTTTATGTTAATGTTACATTTTATAATATTATTTTTATAGGCTGGAAATAAGGCTTTAATAGAGCAAATTAAATCGCATGCAATAATGCTCGAGGAACAAAAAGTCATGAAGTATAAAATATTTGAAGAAGCTCAGAAAGAATATGAAGAGTATTTAAAAGAGGAAAAATTACTACGTGAGAATAAAAACCGAACTAAACAGCAGGTTAGAACAGAACTAAACGAACAGATGAAGTATAATAAATATATAATCGTAAGTGTAACAATATTTTAATTATTATTATTTCAATTAATTTTTATTACATTTCTAATTTTGTTTTTATTTTTAAAAATCGACCCATCTACAATTTACACGTTATAATTATTATTCTATGTAGGAAAATCAACGAAAAATTGAAATGGAAGATCATCAAACTTGCATGAAGGAAATTGACAAACATGATAAATTATTAAAAAAACTTTTAAATGAACTCTGGACAGTCTGAACTGTTACATATATTATTAGAATAAATACATAATGTATTATAATTTTTAAAATTAATTAATTTAGCATCTTCAACATTTTGGTGTGGACTTTCATATTGAGTTTTTATAACATACCTGCCTACATCGTCACTGTGCGATACTCCTATATTGATAAGATAATAAAAAATGTAGGTAGTTAGGTAGGTATATGAATATACAATTATATGAATGTTTTTTTGAAATTACTATCGTGATATATCTTATCCATCATAGTGTTCAATTTTGGTATAAGTTGTGAAATCACAGGCCCTACGAACTGGTTCAGTGGATCCCGTTATCTTTTGTATAATGTTATGTATAATATTTTATATGTAAATAAAAATGTATAAACTTAATTTATTCAGTACTTCAAAAGCTCTCCACGAGGAGAGGCTATTGCTCATTTACAAGCACCAGGAATAAACGTTTGTTTACTTATTAAAACTAATAGGCTAGAATTTATAATTTTTCCAAAATGCTTTGGCCGTAGTAGGGGAAATGTCACCGCCGTTGACAGAAATTAAAAATGTATAGAGGTACCTAAATATATGTAGATTATTATAATATTATACGGTAACCAAATATTATATATTATATACTATATAACATATAATGTATTATGTTACTATGAAAGTTCGAAAAAATAGTTACCATGTTTTTTTATTAGATATAATATTAATTATTGAATTTATTATAAAATATTTCACGTATATTTTCCATTTTTGAAAAATGTTTTGAATATTGCGCAAATAAATAGTATACAATAAAATAAATAACTATATTGAATGACGATATCATACTGAATTTTAGCGAGGCAACAAAGCACGGTTGTTATCCAGATATAATAAAAGTAGTTGGGCGAGGTAATAAAACATTTTATCAAATTATCAATATTTTTTATATGAAATATTGTATAAGTACTAGGTAGTATGTCTACTATTATAGTATTAATAAAGTAATAATAACATAATAACATGTTTATATTAATTATATAATTAGTTCTTATTAATAATAGTGTATAATTATTTTGACTTTTCCGTTATTCTTAGATTACATTTAAAGAAAACAATATTAGCACATCGGGCCGTATTTAATGGAGGGTTTTAAGGGAACTTGCCCCTGTCAGCAGATGTTTGGGGGGCATCCGGATGCCGGAATACTATATGAAAAATTTAAAACTTTTGACCCTTGGCTTAAGAAATGTATGAAAAAAAAAAACAATTTAAACTAAAAATAATGATTGATTTGTATTATATGATATGGGCTGCAAATTAATTCTTTAAGATTTCACGTGGCAATATAATGACAATGGAGAATCCTGTGAACGCAAAGTATTTTAGTATATAAGTATAAACGTTCCAGTGGTCAGGAAATATGAAAAATTAAGAAAAACGTAGGAATAACAGGAAAATCGGTGCAATATTAAACAAATAATATTAAAGAAAATATATAATGCCTATTTAATTATTGTACCATAATATGATGTACAGATTGTTGACAAAGCATCACTATCAACTGAACTCTGCTCAGAATCGTTTTTAGTAAGCAATGGTTCATTGCTACATACAGATAAAAATTAATTTCCCTTTTATATCCTACCTTCCCAACTTCTCACCAACAATTGTGGCTGCATCAGTCGTGTGCGAAAGATGTCCGTCTTTGTTGTTTTGAAATAATTAATGTAACAGTGTAAAGATTTGATTTTAAAATTGTAATAATTAAAATGCTATGAGATTAATACACTTATTTTTACTCTGAAAATTATGAAAGTTTAATAAAATTATTATAATATTGATATATTTAAATGTGTGAAATGTGTGATACATGAACAGTAGTATTTCAAACTGAAAATAAACACATTTTAGGTAGATAGTTATAACGTGCAATTTATATAACACAATTATATTTCATAGCCTTATAATTTTCCGACTTATAATAGTGGCACTTATCCCGTTTTAATTCTTATTTTTATAAGTGTTTAAAGTTAACGTTTTTACGAATAAATTTACTAAAAACACTACAAATAGTAAATTATTTTGTTATTAAAAATTAATAATATTTTGAATGTAAATTTAGAAAAAATTGTTTTACTTAGGCCCACTTAGTATTTATCTTTTATTTAAAATTATACACCGTTTAATTCCGTACTTATAAAGTTATTTAAATAGTAAAGTATTATTTTATAAACGTTTATTTACAAGCTGCTGCAGTGTTTTTTTTTTTAAAAAATAGGTATATAAAAAGTAAATGTGATATGTACAATTACTAATTAGGAAGATGAGAAGAAAAGCTTTTATGGAGATAGCATTTACCCACACCAGTTCTCTCGGTTGGATCACCTGGAACTTATTTGAAATAAGGCTATTGAAGAAATGATTTGAATAGGTGATATATGATTTAAGAGTTTGTTTGAAGGTTATATATGTATGTTTATTTAATGTCAGAACGTAGTGGTTGCGTTGAAACAAGTTGTTTGGAACATATTAAAGGATTTCTATAGCCAAACACCACTGAGAGGAAGCTTATTGGGCAGTTTGAAAAGAGTTTTCAGCAGTAACGGCATGAAAAATCAATAATTGTGGTGATTTGAAAGTAGCAATCAGTATCAAAATACCGTTGATTCCTATTTAACATATAATTAATGATGTAGGAGTCTTACTAATTTATTTTTTCATTAAGTACTCAAATTAAATTTAAGTAGGAGGAGATTAGTGGAACACTAATAAAATGCTGCGTGTCGTGCGCCACATAAATGATACTTCATTCTTTCACTCCTTACTTATGTTTAAAAGATATTTAAAAGCGAAATATCTCCTCAACGTGTTGTCGAAAATCAAAAATTTAAACACCAAAATTTATTTAAAGTAATACTCCGTCTATTTATGAAATTTTTAATACAGGTTCTCATTTGAAAAATCAAAGTTGGAATGGCCACAGGATACTCTTTAAATGTTGTGAAAAATTTAAGTATTTGAAAATATTGGCTTTAAAATCAGAATTTAACTATATGCAAAATTTAACTAAAAAATGGGTTTAGCACACTTAGTGAATCACTCTGTATATTATTACGTATACATTTTCTTTTTCGTTTTTCGATAATTCTTATTAAAAAAAATAGATTGTAAATAAACCTGTTTAATATGTATTATTTCGTTAAAATTTGAAGTTATATCTTATATATTTAATTTAATAATTTATAAAACATTGACCACGTGGTCTTTAAAAACTAATGTACAACCTGTGTCATGTACCTGTGTACAAAATGTACTTAAACATTTTTAAATATCCCCCCTATAGTCATAGCGTCCGGTGCATGGGCACCTTTCGCACCCCCTCCCCCTAGGCACAGTTCTGTGATTATGTTTTTTTTTTTTTAAATATATTAATTAATTTTCAGTTAATAGTGAGTACAATACTAAAATTATATTTGAATTATCAATAAGTTTGAAACCGAACTCTTAGAAATAAATGAGCCAATTAATTATTGATGAAACAATTAGGTATACATTTGTAAATTTTAGAAGTTAATTACTGTTGCAATAATAAAATTCAACATAAAGATGATACCAAATATTCCTATAGTTGGCTAACATAATCACGGTCAAAAGGAAGGGCCATAGCCCTCTTCGCCCTCCTCCTGGATACGTCTCTGCCCAGCACTTGTCATGGTGACTGTGAATCCCTCACGGGTTGTACAGTTGACCGATAAAGTGTGAGTACAGTAAGTTTATCGCCAATCAAACGACCAAGTTGTATGTAAATATTGGTGGTCCTTTGACTCGGGTCAAGTTTACCGACAATATTATTCACCGGCGCGATCTAAAGACCAATAATTGTTGTACGACTTACTCATTACCATCACCGGTAAGCAAAGTTAGCTAAGTAAAACACTAGCCGATTTTTATAAAATTTGTAAATGCTTATATTTTGGACCAACTTTTTTTGAAAAAAAATCTGACTAGGTAGGTACTATAAAATGCATATAAATTCAACCTAAAGGCTTACTTCGGTGTTATTTTTAGATTCATATACTAATATTATACTGTGTAACCATGGTGTACGTATACCGTAGAATCTGTGGTATAGATCTAATGGCGTAGATTATTAATACAATGTAAGATTACAAAAAATATTGATTAGAGAGTCAAGTTCGGTAAGAATTTTGTTGGCTTCGACGAAAAAAGGAAGTTTCGTAAACCCAGAGGTCGTGAGTTCAAACCAGAGTTGAGAAATTTTTTTTTTGAAAAAGTACGTCAGGTAGGTACTAGGGAAAAAACAAATGCATTTTGTTTCGAAAAAAAAAAAAAAAAAAAATAAGTAATGTAATGTGGAAGCTTATGGTTTTTACAAAGATGTTTATTTTTTTTTTTTATTTGTGGATACCTTTTAATCAGCGATTTTGCTCCAAGATTTCAAGGAAATCTGACTGGAAAGATACTTTAAAAAGGTTATTTTTTGATTTTCCCAAAAGTTTTCCAAGCAAATGAGTAAAACCGGAAAAAAACATGGGAAAATCGGGAAAAACTTAAGAAACACAAGAAAATCGGTACAATGTTAAACAAATATAATTTAAAAAATATGCATAATAATGTCTATATAATTATTTTACCATAATATGACGTATATATTGTTGACAAAGCATCACTGCCAACTGAAATCCGTTCAGAATTGCTTTTTCATTAGCAATGGTTTATCGTTGCTTATAGATATAAATTAAATTCCTTTCTATATCCTTTCTTCCCAACTTCTCACCTACAACAGTGGCCACACCCGTCTCCAGTATCAGCTCTTTTTTCATAAAAATATTATTAAATATCATAACTGGGGGAGCGTCTGCCGAGGGCTCCATTCATATTAATAATATTAACAACCCTCCTCCCCCCAATGAACATTCCTGAGAACACCACTATCTAGAAAACTAGTATTAGTGTTTACATTGTCTCAAATATTTACTGTATAGGATATAGGATTAGGTACATAATAGTAGATAAATCAATTAGTTACCTAATCTTATAGTTTGCGATGAAATATAATTTAATCGATATATAATATAATTACATCATACTAAACAATAATTTTAGCTAACACAATACAACACGCTATTATTAATAAATAGAAAAATAAATAGTATAACAATAGACAAGTACCATTTATATTTTTAGTATTCTAAGGTTATTTTATAATTTAAAAATGCTTAAATACGATAATATTTGATTTTAGTTTATATACTGTAGTCTTTCTTTTAGACATATCTTATAGTTCAGTGTGGTCTATGTTTTTCCATATGTTTGTGTATGAGAACTCTGTTAATGGCATTGTACTCCAGAATGTATGATTACCAGGATCCGATTGTTCCTGGGGTTCGAAAGTTTGATTTTGCGTGATCTTAATTAAATTTAATGGATCGGCGGGGTTTTTAGATAACGGTGACCATACTACAGAATTTCCAATATCAGGAATTCTGAAATATAACAATTTGTCATTAAAACTTGCTTATTGGAATATACTATATATAATTTGATTGGTATGTATATTGTAGTAAGTTTAATAAAATTATGCTCGTAATGTTTCAAATATTGGTAATCGATATCGTCAATCGTCATGTACGGTTAAATGTGTTTAATTTGATGCATACTGAAAATCTTGTTTAATTCGTGAGCCATTAAAATATTATGGAAGTAAAATTTTAATTATGCACATTTAAATTTTCAAATAAAAGGTTACTACCTTTTTTATTTGTTCATAGAAAACATAAACTATTTAAATATCTATTTTTACGATCTAAACTAAAGGATTAATCGAATTTATTGTTTTTTTTTTTTTTTTTTATATTATTCCGCTATTTTAAAGAAATAGAATCATTTAAATTATACTTACCCCGTTTTAGAAAATGATGACCAAATGTTCACCATGACGGGAATTAATTTAGCATCTTCAGCATTTTTATGTGGATCTCCATATTTAGTTTTTATAATATACATGGTATCATCACCATGTGCTACTCCTAAATTGATAAGATAATAAAAAAGGTAAGTGGATATTAGATAGAGGTTTTTTTAAAATTACTATTGTGATTTACCTAATCCGTCAGAGTTTCCAGATTTGATATATTTGTCTGATAGTGAGTATTTACCTTTATAACCAAATTCATAAAAGAATACTGGTGATTTACTTTTTGAGGCCAAAAGTTTGGCTGCTCTTGCCACAGGTTCTTTGAACATTCTATCTGAAGTCATCTACAATGGATATCTGTATGTTTAACTATGCATTTTATATATTTATAGGTATTGTTACGGTAATTTAATTAAATATAGTAACTATGTATGTATAGGTAATTTTGGACCAAAATACCTCAGTAAGTAAATTATTGTTCAAAGTGTATTAATCTTACTTGGATAACGTTATTTTTGGTGTTTACTGATACAGGGTTGTTTTTAAAATAGAATGTCTTTATTTTCTGTGCAATTTCGGGTCTCAATGATTCATCTGAAATTGTGTTGTTATAGTCAAGTAGAAATGGTAGAATATAATTCCAATTGGTTTCCATATCCAATAGAGTTTCTTCAAGTGACACTAATTCGGCAGATGGATAAAGACCATCGTCTTGTGTAAAACTAAACAGCAATGGGATATCCTGGGCAGGTAAGTTCTCTGGTAAATCTGGTAAAAAACGTTCAACTCCAGCCGTTTCAACGGAAGGACCAAATGGTGAAAACGGATTGTACTTCCACGGCTTATGACAAAAAACAGTGTTAGTATTACAAGTTAAAACATTTGTTGTGTTTAGATTTGCAAAAGTCAAAAAGTATTAAAATATTACGTATTTACTAAAAAGTTTTTCAAGGACTCTGTGATGGCTAATGCAGGCCTTGATCGAAGACATTTGACTGTGTCTGTTGAGTAGTATGTAGGACATCCTAGAAACTCAGCTAATGCTTTAGTCTTTTCAACCACATTTTCTGTGTACGCCCAGTGACATAAAGCACTTCCACTCTCAGCAATTACTCGATTAAATAACCCTTTAAATGATAATTAAAGCATTAATGTAGTACCTACTGTATACAGTGTAGAATTTTATTGGTTATTTCCGCAAGTAAATAAGTAATTAAAATTATTATTGCGTCAGGGGCATAATTACGGGGGGATATCGGGGTAGATCCCCCCGTGAGCCGTATTTATATAGTATATTATTAATTTACACAAATTGGAAGTTCAAATGTAAATTTTTAAAACTATTATGAAATTCAAAAATTATAAATGTTCAATTTTAATGGTAGGTACCAAAGTATTCATAGGTTATTATTATACTAGACAAATAATATTCTAGTTAATGTCATAATGTTGGGAAGCCAACAGAAGACTAGAATTAAAGATAGGGGACACCCCAGTGGCCAATAGTGAATGTCCAAGGTACCTAGGGATAAAAATTGACAGAGCTCTAACTTTCAAGGACCATATAGAGGCAATGGAAAAAAGTTGAAAACTAGAAACAATATAATAGCAAAATTAACGGGCACAAGCTTGGGGTAGTAACGGGGAAGTCCTGCGAACATCTAAATTAGCATTGGTTTACAGCGTAGCCGAGTATTGTGCACCGGTATGATCAAGAAGTGCTCACTGTAAAAAAGTAGACATAGAGCTCAACAAGTCAATGCGAATAATATCAGGGACTGTGAGAACTACCCAAACCCAATGGTTGCCGGTACTGTCGAAAATAATACCTCCAGAACTGAGGAGGTTAATGAAGGCTCATCAGGAAGTAAAAAAAGTAATGAACAACCCTGAACTTCCATTATATAACGACATAATCTCACACCCCCCCCAAAAAACTGAAGTCAAGACACTCTAACTGGGACCTGACATTCCCGTAAGAATCAATACCCGAGGTATGGAAAAATCGTTGGAGAGATTCAGAAGTGCAAAACTCAACATTGATTGCAGACCCAATGATGAGAGTCCTGGGATTCAACCTGCCCAGACACTTATGGACAGCTTTAAACAGAGCTAGGACTAATCAGGGTAGAATTAAAAGTCTCTTATATAAATGGGGTATGATCAATTCTCCCTTGTGTGCATGCGGAGCAGAACAAACCATTCAACATATCATTGAAGAATGCCCTAACACTAAGTTCAACGGGGGTATAGTAAGACTTCACAAGGCTGAAGAGGATACAGTAACATGGATAAATAACCTGGAGTTTCGTTTGTGAAGACGTTTATGTATAATAACCTGAGTAATATTTCATTTGGAATTTGTCATCCCTCTAAACACTAGTTATAACTGTAGTTACCTTGTTATGTTATGTTACATTGATGTTTTATATTGTTACTTATGTACTTGCTGTTAATATACTTATACTTTTTCACTTTTTTATTTTTATCTATACCTATTACCTATTTATTTATTTATTTATTTATTTATTCATACATATCTATTCAAAAACCCATTTATTTATATACTTATTATTTTATTTTTGTTGCTTTATATTTTGTTAGTATATTATAATATATTATAGCCGATGTCATATAAAAAAAAAAAAAAAAAAAAAAAAAATGTCATAATAAATAGTAAATTCCACTTTAAACTTTATATACTACGCGTCCGAACGTGATTAGGACGTTGCGATTTTGAAAACGCAGACATGCTATTTAATAGAAAACTTCCGAGCCCTGGTGATGAGCTTTTAAATGTTGGTAGGGGGGACGGTTGTGTTAAGCATACCTCCCACAAGGTTGTCGTGAAGATTTATTTTGATATCCTTCCCCCTTAAAATATTCTCAATTATGCTGCTGTATTGTGTCATAGTGACATTATATACCTATTAACTAATATTGTTCGGAAAATATGGTTTATTCTCGTTGCTATAAGTTTAATATTTTAAAAATTAATAATTAGGTAACATTAACAGGCGCCGGGTTTTTGAAACTTTTTGGGGGCTCGAAATATCAAAACTATTTAGATTAAAAAGCAAAATAAATAAAAAAAAAACACTTTTTTTTCAATAAAAGAATTGTTAAATTTTATTTTATTTCTTTTGGTGCGTAAACCAAAAACTTTCACTGAATACTTATATTAGCCTTTTATAGACGCTGTAAATGTTCAAAACATTATATTCTGATTTCTTTTGAGCTATTTATAACTATTTGAAATGTTTTACTTTTTAATTGATTTTATTAAATTGTTTTAGCACAGTTATAATTATTGAAATTTTGATACAAGATTCATAATAATTAGTTAAGTTATTAGTAAAATAATAGTTGATTGTAATATCGTTCTTTATTATTTTTTTCAAACCACAGGTATAAGCGTTTAAATTTAAAATTTTGATACGATTTGTAAAAATCACGGCATTTTATGTTTGTAATTTTATAATACGTTTTCCCTACTTCCTAATTCTGTATTTTCCACTTGTTTGAATTAAACATTTCTGGCTCTATAAAAAATGTTCCGTTAAGTTGGTAACAGCATATTTTGCTATAATTTCGATAATGAGCTCAACAATGTGCTAAGATTTGCTAGAATGCTCGAATATTTGAGACACGAACAATTGTTATTTATTATTGTTATTTTTGTGTTAATTGTCATTATTGCATTTATCAGAAATTCTATAAAATGTTTATTTTAGTATTTACTGTTTTTAGACTCGGATTAATTCTGATCACTTTTGTGATATTTTTATATATTGTCAAATATTTAATAGGTAAATTGTTTGTTTTTTTATGGAATATATATTTTTTTTTCGAGCACTTTCATCTGTTTAATTTACCGTTAAATTGACAATAATACAAACATTGACAGTTGCATTTCAGTGAGTATACTATTTTGATTATTTCATAGATTCAGCACCTACTTGTTTGTTAAACTGCTCACAAAGTACAAATGTTTTATAATTTATGAGATTAGTGATTATACTCATACAGTTATGCGGTTATACACTTGTTATGATTAGGAACTATAATAATTTGGTTGTATTAAATTATTTTTAGTAATAATAATATATTGTTTTATAAAATCGGTTTTCGAAAAAGTTACGCGAACGTAATGAACTCGGGATGTTAGATGTAGTGGCGGATCCAGGGAGTTACAGGGTAATTGGCCTCCCCCCACCCAAACACTCTAGTTGGGTACTATAGTTATTAGTACTATACTGTAGTTGGGTAATATATTTCGGTTTACAAGGTTTTATAGTTTACTATATTTAGTACTGTATTAATGTAGCGTCGCTTAAAAATAACCATCGCCTATTTAATTCTTTTTGGTCGAATTGAAGCACGACACTAATGTTTTACGAATAATTTCACTGTCCATACTCCCGACTTACCTAACGACATTGGCGACACCAGGTGGTAGTGAACGCTGGCTGCGCCCGCCGACATGCCGGCAATCGTCACCGCTCCCGGATTACCGCCGAAAGCCACTATGTTACGTTGGATCCATTTCAGGGCCGCTACTTGGTCTTTTAAACCGTTATTGCCGGGCAGTGTTCCGTCACCCGTGCTCGCGAACCCCAACGGTCCTAGACGGTAGTTGATCGAGACGTACACGAAATCGTTATCGTCCAAAAGGTAATGTGGACCGAAACTGATGCCCGCGCCAAATTGAAACGCACCCCCGTGAATGTACACGATCACGTTCATCAATCCACCGGATATCAGCCCTTCACGGGGTAGCTGTACGAAACAGTAACATAATATAGGTCGTGCGTTATGGCTCCAGAAAAAAAAAAGTGTTTAGGTTTTAACGTTTTGTAACGGAAGACATGATGCCCTCTTCTTGACCCCCTTAATGGGCGTTCGCGTATGCATTTATAAGATTTATATTATTATAATGCGTGTAAATAATATGTGGTTTTTATAATTATTTTCACGAGCCAATAACATTACTACGCTTGTGGATAATATTTTTAAACGTACAGTAAGTATTTATATTAAATTATAATAAATAAAATGTGTAATTTAAAAAATAACTATGCATTTGCACAATTACTTCTAGTAAGGTCCATGGAACTGGGCTGTGGATCACCACGGTTGGTGGGTTCCGCAAATTGGGCCGCTGGAAGAGATTGTAGTACCTATGTAGAACATGTTAACTTAATAGTTACCTCTAATTTAAAGGGGTATAGTGGATGCAATGCCCGCGCATCCCTCAAACGGTTGTATTGTTTAAGTATATAGGTATACTGTATAGGTGTTTTATGCGAACATGCCTCGCGAAGAGTTAACCGGGATTCTGTATGTATAATTGTATTTTAAACCAATAAACGATAGCTGCAGTAATGGGGAAGTATTGTGAAAACGAATTCTCCACTACTGTCGATTTAAGTGAAAATATCTTGAGGGATTTGGCGAAAGGCACCCGAAACGTGCAGTGTTATCGAAACGTTTCCAATAACGATTCTTTCACGATTTATGAATGTTCTTTGATCGTATATATATTTCGGAATTTGTAATTTTTATATTTATGGACAAATAAATCAAAGGTAGGTATTTAACAAGTGTGCGTTGAGTCTTTAAAATAAATACTATATAGGTACTCATGTATAATATAAAGTACCTACCAACGTAGTATACGTCGACAAGAAATAACCCTCGACAATAATACTGCGATTAGTATTTAGATATATTTACATTACAAGTTGATATTTTCCCCCTGTAAGCTAGATATTTGACTAAATTTTTACTGCAATTACCATATTATCAGCCTTTTAGTGACTTCAAATAATAATTTTGGGTTTTTTTTTTCATAAAAACGTGGTTTGTACGTTTTGACCGAACGAATCGGCAATAATTGTTCTTGAAGGAATAATCGTTTATTTTGCCGGTCGATAAGTTCCAAAATTTGATCGAACGTATTACGTAATATCCACTCACTTTTGGCGTGTAAACATTTAGGTACAGACAGTCTTCTTGGCCGACTACTCTGAACGTAGCATGATTCAGTCCTATGCAATCGCTCCCAGGAATGGTGGCGTTCCACACACCCATCCACGGTTTCACCGGTTGCGGTTCCTAGAATAATATTAAGACGAATGATATTTTAATATTTAAATTTGTATTACACTTAATCATTTTTAATTTGTTTTTAGTTTTACCGACCATACAAACGCATTCGTCATTTACACACATTTAGGTACCCCTATAATATCAAAGTCGGGCAAGCCAATGTTAATAATAAACACGATTAAGAAAAATTCAATAAAAATCTTTCAATTAAATGTCAAAGGGGTTAATAAAAAATAAATTGAATTGGTTTTATACTTTAAATGTGTTTTTTGTTTTATTTTTGTGTGTGTTCAAGTAGGTACCCAAATTTTCTACCAGAAATCATAGTTTGTGAAATCGATGTATGATTGAAAACACAGAATTTTATCCATATTATTTATCGTATGCTATCAATATTAATTTAGTTTGTGTTAAATTGCTATTGCAAACGGATTAATTATTTTAAAAACTTTTTAAAATAGTTATATTATAATATGGACTTTTTACATTTAGACGTTATCATTTAAACATATATTTATATTCTAAAATGTGACATAATAATTAAAAACTTAGTTTTACTTATTAAAATAGCTATAACTAAAAAATAACGAAAAGTAATACTTGGCTAATATTTTTTTTTCAATCAACATATTAAATAATTAATTCCAATGACTTTTGTTTGCCTTTATTTGTCTATTCGGTTTTAGATCTTATTTAAAGCTGGTTCCAGTAGCGGTATAGAAATTAGAATTACAACGATATTAAAGTTAACGATTAACGAGATTATTGTGTATGTAAGTTAGATAACTTTTTAAAAATTAAAAATATTATGCTTTATAAGTAATTCTATTGTAAATAAGTCCATATTAATAAATGAAAAAATGTATTATTATAAAAAAATATAAATTTTTTGAAAATTAAAAAAAATCCTCTTCTGCTCCCCTAATTGAGGAGTTGATTTTAAAATTGATAATAAATTTGGATTCAGCGTCCTTAAAAATATAAAGTTTGAAGTGAAACATGTAAGTTTCACGATACTTTAATAAACACCTCCTACTACCCTTTAATCAACCATTTTAATTAAAGAGATTGGTTTCAAAACTGTCAAAAAATTTGGATTTCACGTATCCAAAAGTATATTAAAATTAATTTATTGCGTGACTTTTAGAATTCAAATATAAATTTAGAGGTATTAATTTTATGTAAGCCAAATTATAGTAAATATTAATTTCAGACCATTATATGGCCCAAAGGCTTCTAGAGTCTAGACGAAACTATTTCGCAATTAAATTCATAGTAGTATTTTGTATTCAAATATGATTGATTTATATATAAATATATAAATCACGCCGTATCAGACCGTATTATTTGTCTTTATCATTTTCGAAAAGTTCCATTTACTCGCATCTCGTTTCGCGAGCTCATGCCGTACCTTTATTCGAAAAAACTTCGACCGTTTGGTTACATAAGTAATATTATTCTATACCGGTATGTAGGTATGAATACACTGATACATAATGTACGTTATAGGGTGACTGTTATAATTTTAAACGGGACAAATAAAAAAAATTATATTCTTCATAATTTGAAGGAAAATCTGAAGGAAATTTATTTGCCACCTCTCCTTTATCATACGGATTTTTTAAACCAAACAAAAATAAACATAGAGAAATATATTTTGTTAATTGCCTATATTATTATATTTTATTATTTTAAAGTATATGATAAATGGCCAGGGGTAAAACATGTTATTTTAATATTGTTTAAGGCCAAATTTTGAAGTGGGAAGTATTTTAACATACACGAAGTGTCTCCATTCTGTAATATATTTTTCGGTGACTTAACCGGGCACGGTTACCTTAAAACGATTTTTGTGGACGGGCGGACTGGCGTAAGGTACGCCCAAGAACGCGTACACGGGCCGGCCGCCGATTGTGGTCCGGTCGGTAATGCCGACCAGTTCTCCCGATTCGACGCGTACTCTCGGCGTGGTAGTGTCTTGCGACGAACAACAGGGCAACAATAGCGAAGTGACGAACACGACGAAAAACCGTATCGCGAACATGATGGTCGATGAAGTATCAGCAGACGCAGAACTGTCGAACCTCCGAGACGTTGTTGTCAGCCGTGGTGTACATTTGCACCGACTGTGCCCAGGGATGCCAACTTTATGTTTTCCAAATAAAGTACTACAAAATTGTTAATTTTTTAATTTTTTTCGGAATTCGTTTTTTTTTTTTTTATTTAAAATCATTCAACATCAACAACATTGGTCTGTAATATAGTATTTACTTTTAATTAGTATTATACTGTATTTTAGAGCACCTATATTTTATTGAAAGTGTACAGTGTAAAGCACAGAGGTAAAAGAAAAGTAGAATATCATAATATTATGCTTATGATTGTTTCAGTGTAATAACAGGTAGGCCTGGATTAAGGGTTTGAGGGCCCGTGGACCATCACTTAATTTGTATACTCTTGAAATAAGGTATTGTATATTTAAATATAACTAATAAGTTTAATTCAACTCTTTCAATCTTTGTGGGTCATTATTTTTTCTGGGCTCTGTAAACGTGTCCCCCCTGTCCCCTCTTAATTCGGGTCTGATAACAGACAGGCGTACTTATTACAGTATTTTGTATTACCTACTGTGAAAAAATGTGTATATTCGCACTCATTTATCTTTTTACAATTCATTTCTTCTCACTTTAATATACGAGGCTTTGGATTATCTGTTTTCCACATGCCTTATTCAAAATCTATGTGTATTCGTGTGTGTGTGTGATTTTTATCAAACTTTTCGTTAAAATTGAAATAATTTCAACTAATTTACTATTACCAATTAGTAATTGTAATCTATTATTACTTATATTTTATAACGCTAAATAAACGTACAATTTATCGATTATAGTAACCTTGAATAATAATATTAGTTAAAGTAGGTATACACATTAATAATGAAATGTTATTTGAACATTTCCATTATTTATGTACGCAAACTATATAGTCGTCAAGTTATAAATGAACTATTTTATATTTGTGCAAACGAAGTTTATCGGTAAAATGTTTTTAATCCGTATTACGGCGGCGGCAACGTTGATAAAAAAAACCGTAAACATTTTGTGACATTACAACGTGCACATCGACACGACGTCGCTGGTTTCGTATTTACAAACCGTATTCGAGTTTGGCCCAAATGCCGTGTAAATACGTAACCCACGCGTCGTGTTTTTTCGTCGACTTGGTATTAGGTTTCAAGTTTACATTTTAAGACTTCGACTTTCTCGGAGCAGTATAGGGTTCGGACCAACAGCAACAATTAGGTGGTATACGTTTGGTAGAACTCCTTAAATCAACTAGGTTACGCAACTGTTTGAAACCCGCATAATGTTTGTAAAAACGCTGTCGGAGCGTTAACGGTATACAATATTATCTAAGAAAATAAAATAATGTCTTATCTCAGAAAAACATTGTTGGCGTGGCACGTGATGATAACGTGTTAATGATCGTGACTGAGTGCCTCAGCGACCATCCACTTTGGCCCGACGCGACTCGGCGTTCGAAAAATGTAATGCATACGCTCCGGACTAGGGCTTCGCGATTATTTAGATTAATCGATTATTATAATCGAATAATCGAATAACCGAATAATCGAGTTGTTTATACACATTATAGTCTAGACCAGAGGTTCCCAAACTTTTATTTCAGATGTATTTATCGTAAAAATGACGAAGCATGCGGTTTTTACTTAATAATTTTAATTGACAAATATTTACATCTCATGCACGCCCAATTTTTGCTTTCGATAACAATGATCCCTTGCAGGTCAGAAGAAACCCCTGGGTTAATTGTAATGATATGAATAGTCGGAAAATAAAATAGAACAATCGAATGGTAATTTGAAATTATGTGAAAATTATAAACGTTTAAACTGACTTCACATAGGAAAGGTTGTTTTCCCATGGGACAGCGATGTATATACAGGATGATTCCACTAAGTGCTTACCCAATTTGTTTGGTAAAATTTTGTATGTATTCAAATTATCATTTCTGAAAACCCGTTACTGAGATATTCCACTTTTAAGTATGAGTAGGGGGAGAGTAGTGGAGTATTATTTGTATTTATAAGTGCTCCATTACTCTTTCTCTACCTAAAATTAAAAGTGGAATCTATCGTTAACGGGTTGACAGAAATTGAACACCAACATTTATTTAATATGATACTCCATATTATATTTATGAAATTTCTATTATAGGTTCTCATTTGAAAAAAACCAAAGTCGGTTTCACCACAGGATACTCCTTAAATGATGTGAAAAATTTAAGTATTCGTAAATATCGACTTTAACTACACTTAAAAATTCCAAAAATGAGAATTTGGATATTTTTTCAACGCAGAACAATTAGATTCAAGACGTTTAAAACAAGACATTCTGTGTACGTGCAAATATTTATATATTTATTATTATTGAGTAGTTATATAGTTCGTGTTTGTTATAAGATAATATAATTTAATTGTATGGCATATTTGTGTTTGTAGTTTAGACGCACAGTGGTTGATTTAAATTGATTTAAATTTAGTTTTATTGGACTATGGTTATATTACTTACGATAAATTCTTCATAAAGTGATTTATTTTCAGATTCCAAGTGTGCCAAGAGAGCTATTGGTTTTACTAAGATGTTAATTTTTTTTACTTTCTTTTTTTATTTTTGTTTGTTGATATGTTTTTTGCTAGTAAATTTGCTCCGATGTATAAGTGTAGCATGTTTTTTAAAAGCTCAAGTTATCGAAATGGTATTTTGTAGAGGTTATTTTTTGATTTTTGACGCTATTTTTCAAATAAAAACATTTAAATGGGAAAAAAAACTTAGGAAAACGTACAATTTCATGATTTTCATTCATTATTTTATAAAAACATGGACGACGTTTTCTATCAGGAAAAATGACTTAATCGAATAATTACAACACACCTTTTTTGTTGAATTTTTTGATTTACTTTCACACGGTATCATCGTTAAAACTTTTGAGCCACTTTGGAGCATTTAAGGAATTTTAATTTTTTTACTGTAATTCGGTCATAAATACACGTAGAGACATTTAGATATCGCTTGTTGTTTAATAAAATTTAAGGTGGTGTGGAAACTTACACGATTTGGTTATAATAATATTAGTAATTGTATATTATTATAGCCTCTCCTTGTTTGTTTATCCTAGAATGAATAAGGTAAAATTTAACGATTATAAACATCAAACGCCGTAGGTACTTGACATAATAATAACAATAATAATTATGTATTATTATGGGACTGGCGACATTCTCCTTTCGTGATAATGGTAAATGACACTATAGTATTATACAGTATCACGCAAACTAAACATTCATAGATAAAGATGAAAAATAATTGGATACAATTCATCTAGATACAGATAAAATATAGTTAAAATCCAAATTATCTAGATAAAGATAAAAGATATACTACTTTTTATCTGGATTAAAAATAAATGTATTTTAATATTAATAACACTCTTTTATCAATATAAATACAATATTAATATAATTAAATTTCAGTTTCCACCCCCCCGCATACATGTCGGAAAGAAAAATTGATGTTTTTTAAATTGTACAGCAGCGTTTACATAAATATATACGAGTACCAATACTATTTCGGGAAGTCAATGAATTTATTTTAACTATATTTAGAATTGAGCAGATAGTGTTCATTCAAAATATCATTGTTGTGCACGTGTGTGTGTATGTGTGCGCGTGTGAACGTGTATGATATGGGCATGTGAACTTCTTAAGAACTATGGACTATGATCTATATAACTTCACATTGCGATCATGAGCCAGTATCGGGTAGTATAGAATAAGACATTTTGTGAATAAGAAACACGGACAATTATTATTACTTTATATTATAGACTATGAAAATTAAAAATTAAAATTGTTAGACTAAACAGAAATGCTTAAAAATCTAACGGGAAGTAAAATAAAAATCGTACCTGTGATAAAAAAAAAATTGAGCTTAATGTAGTATTTTTTTTCATAAAGGAATTTTAATATTAAATTTTTACGAACATTTTTGGATTAAAAAATTATATGGAAAAAACCTAGTTATTGGTCCATCCAAATTTTTCAATATTTTTTTTTTTTTGAATATAATATGTATATTGTCGATTTAAGAACGATGATGAAGTTAGAATCGAGTAGACTGACTTAGTTACGAAATTATATGTATTATGTTAATAACTCAATATTGTCAATTTTATAGTATGACTGTCGTTGTTTTGTAGTAGTACATACTTGTTGTCATCCCAGAGATCGTAAGTTCAAACCCATTTTTTGAACATTTTTTTTTGCAAAACCACATCGGTAAAATAGGGAATAGGGAAAAAACATATGCATTTTGGGTGCACCTAGAGACCAAGTCGACGTAATATGATGTATATATATATATATATATTGTTGAAAAAGCAATACTATTAATCGAGCTCGGCTCAAAATTCTTTTTCGTTAGGAATGATTAATCTTTACTTACAGACATATATTAAATTCCTCTTTACTTTTTAAACTTTTCATCTACAACAGTGATCCACCCATGAAGTAGAGAAGTGAAGTAGTCCGATATCCGTCTTTTTAATTCTGTTATATTTAATTTTTCGAAAAAAAAAAAATGTAGTCAACATTTATTTATCCAGATGGATTGTGTTATCTAACACAATTTTTTATAATATAATATTAAATGTAATTTTCAGATACAGATAAAGTTAATTATTTATTCATATAATTTATTTAGATAGTTACTCTAGATAAAACTTAATACTGATTATATACTGTAACAGTAGAATACTATTATTATACTGAAAGAAATTGGTGACAGTGTATAAAAAGTGTTCGATGGATTTCAATTTTTGAAAACGGATGTAATTCTGTAAGTTTTTATTATAGAATTTGTCGGAAATAGAAGTTTTACTGAAAATAAATATTGTAAAAAAAATCTAATTTTATTTTTGAAAAATTGTCAAAAATGTACCTAATGTCAAGTGTTTTGCCTTTTAATTTATAAATATAATCAAAATGTAAAAGACAATTCCAATATATTATCCTAGTAAAAAACCTTAAGAATCATATTATGTTTTTAAAACTTAAATCTGTCAAACGCAATGTTTTGCCTGATTTTTCGGTCTAATACGTCACATTCATCTGTAAAAATGGCAGTACCATTTCTCCCTAAATGGGAATTGGACAGTAGATTAGTGGAAAAGGATCTATTACAAGTTTGGAAAACCCAATCTGTGACATTGCATAGTTCTCAAATTCTAAACGTTTTTTAAAAAATAAACGATAATTTTATGGACAATTTTGAGAGAATTCGGTAACTTTTAATTATTTTACGAGTATTATGCTTGTGTGTGTAAAAATCTTTATAAATTAAATATCCTAATTTATTTATAAATAGTTGATAGAATTTTTTTTAAAAATCTTCAAGTAATATTATATATTATATTTTGGTAGGTAACTGCATTTTCAATGTTCACCAGTATGCATTTATATTTTATACTCATATTTGACATACCTAATAATAACGTTGGGCCGAATGTGTTCTAAACTTATGTTTAGAAACCTAAAAACCGTCACCAATCCCCTTAAGGTAGTTGTAGAAATTTTCACATAGAAAACAGTATAAACAATTATCATATTTTATTATTTTGTCCATGACTTTTTTAATAGGTACCAATAAAAGCGCGATTGGTTTTAATATTAATTACGGGTATATATTATTATTATTTAATAGGTTTGTTTATTTATTTTGTTTTTTTAGCTAGTAACTTATATTTTGGTGTAGGCAAATTTACCGTGTTATAGTTAATTATGATGTATCTAGATATATCATTTTCAAGGACATCTACCGGTTTACAGACGAGTATTTATTATTTGAATTTTATAATAAACGTTGTACCCACTATAGGTCTCTCTGTAGACCTAACTACTTCATTTCAACTACTACTATTCATTGAGTGATTAACTGCAGTGACGTTAATATTAATAATAATACACATAGGTATCATCAAATAATATTATTTTAAAATTAATTTCGTACTTAATATAATAATAATATTATGCACATTGTTAGTGGATTATTATTAACGTATGGAGTTTGTTTCGTGGCAAGTCTTCGGTTTCCAACGGTAGAAATCGAAAGCGGATTCGTGTCTGGAATATTATCGCAGACATGGAAAGGACGAACCATATACAAATTCGAAGGGATACGTTATGCGACTCCTCCCGTAGGGGAATTAAGATTTCAGGTAAAGCTCGTCAAAGTTTACGTCTATATGATATTGTAATACAGAATGATTTTTTCCTCAAACCAATTTTTTGGTGTTTTAAGTGAATTTGATTTTTTTTTTTCATTATGGAATAGTTTAAGCTTTATTTTAACACTATTTTTGAGTTTACCTTAATTCTTATACCTGAAATAAGCGAGTATTAACTTTTGATTCTCAAATAGTTACTCCTCTTTTGAATGTCCCTTTTTATGTATATGGACAGTTTAAATAATTTTTTTAATGATTTTGATATGCATCGTAACTTTATAGTTATCTATTTTTAGATGATAAATTGATAATTCTTCCATACTACTAAGGTAAGTCATAAACTGTAAATTCAATATAAGTGTTATGCATATTATGAATTTGTTTAGACAAATATTTTTTATTCAAATCTGTATTTAAAAGAAAAAGTTATTATTTAAAAATCCAAAGTATATACTCATTAAAGGTATAAAGACATTAGGGGTAAACATTTTTTTACTTGATTCATATCTTAATAGTGTTAAAATAAAACTTAAATAATTCCATTACGATAAAAAAAAAAAAAGCAAACGAAAATTATATTCACGTAAGGTTCCCCGAAAAAATCACTAGATCATGTTGAGTGAATCACTCTGTATACATAAAATGAAATTATGTTAATATGATATTAAAATATCAAGTGTATAATATATACCGAAATTTAATATACAAACAGGAAGCACAACCGGTGGAACCATGGTTAGGAATATGGAACGCGTCAATACCGGGTAACGAATGTATTCAATACGACCATGTAAGTTATTCAGTGCAAGGCGATGAAGATTGCCTTTACGTCAACGTTTACACGCCAACAGTTAGTAAACCCTTTTCATTAACATACATAATATAATATATACAGGCCGATAATTTTATCATGAACTGCCAGTGATTATTTATGCAAATTTTGAGTGAAATATTGATATGGTTTTTTCGGTCATTTAATGATCTTATTCACAACATTTTCAAATGTCCACCTTAATATCGCACAGGTATATTATAAATATCCATAGCTGGTATTAACATTTTTTTTCAAATAATTATCTATATTTTTTAATTCGCTCTTCGAAAAGAGGATATTTTTCTAAAAATAAGGATGTAAAAATTTAACCAAAACTTCCGTATAGAAGCGTAATAAAAATTAATGAACCTTATTGTGTGTTAACACAATGTTTTTTTCATTTACATTTATAGCTTCCAGAAAAAGAGAAGAGAAAAGAACTTTTAAACGTATTGGTTTTCATTCACGGTGGTGCTTTTATGTTCTTAGAAGGATCCGTATACAAACCCGATTTTATTTTGGACAAAGACATAGTGTTTGTGACATTTAACTACAGACTTGGTCCAATTGGTAATATCATAACAACTTAGATATCACCTAAAAAATAAAATAAAATAAAGTTATCTCTCCAGACCATTTTAGTTTATTAGTTTATAGAAATTTTTGATTTTGTTCATCATAAAATAGGTAATAATAATAATACAAATATTAGTAATAATATAATAATTTAAAGTACCTACCTAAATACCTATATAGAGCGTTGAATAATATCGAAAAAAATATTGATAAGATAAATAACAATAAATTAAATTATTGTATAATATATAAAAATTATTATTATTATTGAAGGTTGATTTATTAAACTGATAAAGAATGAATGATTGAAATCATAGTAGAAATTAATTTAAATTTTTAACTTTTTAATGTTCACTTTCGATTCAATACTAAGTTGTATGCAGTGCTTAAAATGGAAAAATGATAGAAAAGTGACTTTCAGACTTAACAAATTTACCATGTTTGTAATTTTATTGTTGAACTCAACTTAATCATGAGGGCTCTGTCTGTCCTCATCACTCTTATTTTTAATATATAATTTACGAAAAAACACTAATAACACTACTGCAGCTAATTGTTTGCTATAATATTTATATTTGTTTTAGATTCTATTATGATATAGTTACTATTATGATTCTACCATGATATGTATTTTTGTTAAAAAAACTTTACTACAACAATTCTTGCTCCGATCATTAACTTAAGAGGTTTACTTTCTAATAGACAATTTTAAGATTGTGCGATGAAGAGGTTGCTTTTTTATTATCCTTGTAGTATTCTTAGTTTTGGACACCCTAGAAAAATTGTGGGGAAAACTATAATATTTACACATTAACGGTTTCTGTTACTTTCGATTTTGTTTTTTGTTTTAATTCAGTGAAGAATAATCGTAGAAACCGGAAATTTTACTGAATAATTGTAAAGATATAGTCTCTTATACACAGTTCAATAGTTCATTCTAGATATATGTTAAAATTTCCAAAATATTCTAGACATTTTTAAATTATTTATAGCCATTTAAAATTTTTTTGAGTTTTTAGAATTTATTTTATTTTAGGATTAAAATTTTTTTGGCCCAATAAAAATGCTAGAAAATTTAGCATAAGGTTTATCATACGTTGCAATTAATTGAAAAAAAAAGATCAGCGTAATATTATAATTTTTTTTTAAGCTCTTAATGTGTAAATTTTAATGAAAATGCATTTTGTTAAAAATGTATACGTTTTGATATTGTATACAAACAAATTATTATGGTAGTTAAAATTTGATTGTATTATGCAAAAATCTTTAAAATGAATAATTATTTCAGGTTTTTTTAGTACCGGAGATACTATAGTATCTGGTAACAATGGGTTAAAAGATCAAGTATACGCCCTACAATGGGTTAAAAGAAATATCAAATATTTTGGAGGTGATCCAGAAAATGTTACAATCAGTGGTATGTCAGCTGGAGGTGCCAGTGTACATTTTCATATGTTGTCACCATTATCGAGAGGTTAAAGCATATATTAATGGATTCCCCGTGTAATTAATTTTCGTATAAAATATACTTAACAATATATTATAATATTCAGGGTTATTTCAAAAAGCATTCTCACAGAGTGGAACCGCCTTGTGCCCTTGGACAATAACCGAAAATGTACCCGCGAAATCAAAAGCAATTGGTGCTTATTTGGGGTGTCCAACTTATTCGTCACTAGAGCTAGTGGAATGTTTAAATACTAGACCAGCAAAACAGATCGTGGACGCTGTACAAATATTTTTAGTAAGTTAAAATGTATATTATTTGATTATTTATTATTTATTATGATTTGGGTATCGTTGTGAAATTTATAAATAGCCATTCATGTACAACCCATATTCACCTTTTGGACCCATAATCGAATTACCTAGCGAACAAGCGTTTATAAGTGAATTGCCCTATAATATTCTCGCCAAAGGCCTGGCAGCCGATGTACCATGGATGATCAGTGTTACCACTCACGAAGGACTTTACCCCGGATCCGGTAATTCGATGTGATTTGAATGGTTTTTATTTTTATTGAAAATTTGAATGTTAATAATATGTTACAGAGTTTATCAATAATGCTGCGTTAATGAAGCATATTGATGAAAATTGGAATAATGTAATACCACATATATTAGATTACAATTACACGATACCTGGTGAACAAATTAATAATGTTTCACAACTTATTAGGAAAGAATACATCGGTAATACAGTTTTAAAGAAAGGAAATACCGAACAATTTATTCAAGTAGGTATCTACTATGAACTTGAAGATGTTTTTGGAATTATTCAGTGACACAAATTATTACGAATATAATTTCTAGATGATTGGTGATCGTCTATTTGTAGTTGATATTTTAAAAGCTGCTAAAATCCATGCTCAACTTTATAAATCACCTGTATTCATGTATCAGTTTGCTCACCGAGGTACACACAGTTTATCAGATATATTCAGCAAGTCAAATGAAAATTACGGTGAGTAAAATTACGGGACTTTAACTGTATTGTTTTGAACAACTTCGATGTTTGTATAATCGAAAGTTGACTTAAATGTAGTATGAATATTGGTATACAATTTTTTTTCATAGGAGCTAGTCACGGAGATGACACATCGTATGCATTACGAAATATTTATGTAAGCGCCGAAGATTCAGAAACCGATCAATTCATAATCTCAATTATTGTTGATATTTGGACATCATTTGCTCTAACAGGGTAATACAATTGTTGTTAATTAAAGTTTAATAATTTGTTGTGTTTTGATTAAAGAGATATGTTTAATTTAGGATACCTTCAACAGGCGTTAATTCTATTAAATGGACTCCTATAAGTCAAAATCCAAATCATTTGGGCGTATCATTTTTAAAAATTGCTTCACCCACAAAGATTTTTATGGATAAAGGTATTGATATTGGAAGAGCTGGTTTTTGGGATTCTCTGGGATTCAATGAAAACCATTACTTTAAAGAATATTAATATTTTTGATGAATTAATAATTCTAGTATCAAATATTATATTGCTATATTTTGTGTCACGCATATATTATAATGTTCATGATCACAAATATGATTATTAATAAACTGAAGAAGTAATTACTTATCGACTACTAATATTTTTATTTTTATGCTTGCTTAAAAAGACTGGACATTATCTATATTGTAATTTGTGAGCAATCAGGCACATCAGTTGTTAACTGTCTAGTCAAACATTATTACACAATGCAAATAACGTAATATACGTATTGAACCGTCAATTTTATAATAAATGTTGTTTACCAAAATAAATGGTTTTAAAACCACCCCAAAGAAATACAAATTTGTATTTGATTTTTGTTTTTAAAATATGTTATACATAATATTCCGATATTCAATTTACAAATTATTAATTTCTTAATCGCACCATAATTATTGTAAAACTATATTATTCATAATACATTTGTGCTACCTACATAGTTTTACCTATTACCAGATTATTATGAAAGTATTAGCAACGTTTCTTTTAAAAAGGAATTCGTTCCTCTTCCTCACTTCTTAAAAAATCCTGGTGGAAAAGTTGTTCACAGAAAAAAAAATCATAATATTTTACCAATATATTTTGTAAATTTTCTAGTTTTTCCTCCGTTTTTTTTTTTGGTTTTTCACATTTGATGAGAAAAATCCCGAGTAAATTGAACCTCCTTAAGGTACCACCCGAAGAAAATTTCCTTTTAGAAAAAGGCCTGTATGACATACATCAGAGTAAGTTTTCTAGTAGAAAAAGTATTAACATAAAAAAAAAAAAATAAAAAAAACTTTGTTAAAACCTTATAAATTAATCGATATTTCAATAATAATAATCATCTTAAAAGTAAGAATTTGTATGAATAATAATAATAAATAAGAGTAATAATGAGCATTTAAGTATTATTTTTGAACAATAATAATAATCGGTATACTAATAACAACCATCAATAATAATCAACGAATATCATAATCACTAATCAACATTTTAATAAAATAATCATAGTTACTTTAACAAAAATAGTAAGTAATTTTAATAATAGTCATCATAATTGTAATAATAATACTTCATCTACTTCATAATAATTTATTTATTTATTTATTTATTTGATAATCTATTAATAATAACAATATATAGATGTCCCAGGATAATGGGGACAGGTACAGCCACTGTTATGGTAATTTAATGTATATCTGTAAGTAACAATAAACCATTGCTAACGAAAAAACGATTCTGAGAGGAGTTCAGTTGATAGTGACGCTTTGTTAATATATATATATATATGTTATATTATAGTAAAATAATGAAATAGGCTTTATAACATAGGCGTTATATTTTCTTTAATAATATTTGTTGTATTGATTTTCTTACGTTTTTCCCGATTTTCCCATGTTTTTTCCGGTTTTTCACATTTGTTAAGAAAATCAAAAAATGACCTCTATAAAGTACCTTCCCAGTCAAATTTCCTTTTAGAAAAACATTTCTATTTAGTCTAACAATTTTGTCTACAGAGTACTTATCGAATAAAAATTACGAATAAAATTCGCAAAATTAAAGTGTCTATAATTAGCTCAAAAATGGATAAAATGTTTTTGAAAAATTTACTACGTCTAGAAAAAATCGATAAATTGTCATTTTTGGATTGGAGAAATATTTCTAGGAGAAAACATCGTGTTAACACAATAAAAACAATGAAAACGACAACGTCACGGCGATCCGTGAATATTTGCTGTTTTACCTATACTTTTCTTTTAAGTTTTTTCTAATTATTTCGAAAACCTCTTGAAAAATCGAAAAATAACCTTCTTAATGCATCAACCAGAGAAAATTACCTTTCAGAAAAGGTACTATAGTCTATACTTCAGAGCAAGTTTGTTTTGTTTCTGTTCATAGGTAGAAGAAAACCACACTAATCACAGTAAAACCAATAGATTCGGAGCGCAGCGAAGAATCTAAAAAAATTAGAAATATACATCATTGTAAAACAAATTCATTTCTCACTTTGCCCAGAATCTAAAATTATATTAATAATTTTTCAAGTGTTTTATTTATTTTAAATAAATTATAATCCAAAAACAAAAATATAATTTCATTATATTATATTATAATATATATTAGTTTACATAACAAAACACACCGATAGTTGTCAAACAGTTGATAACAATACTATTTCGTTATTTTAATATATACTATAGTTCAGTGTGGTTTAGGTTTTCTGACAAGCTCGTGACTGAGAACTCGGTTAACGGCAACGTGCTCCAGAAAGTATGATTACCGGGATCCGATTGTTCTTGGAGTTCAAAAGTTTGATTTTGTGTGATCTTAATTAATTTCAATGGGTCAGCGAGATTTTTAGACACTGGCGTCCACACTGTAGAATTTCCGAGTTCGGGAATTCTGAAATACAAACAACAATCGGTCCATTAAATAATTATACGAAAACAAAATCTGCAATTACATTAATACGTAAAATCTACTGTGTGTTACACTGATTAAGATATTTTTAATTGTTTTTAATAATTAATTTAATTAAATTAATTGTTTTTAATAATTAATTTAATTTAATTAATTATTTAATTAACAATTGTTTTTATATATTTGCAGTGTGCATTTATAATATTTTTATTTCATAGAAACAAAGAAATTTTGCATACGGTACCCGGTTTTAGCAAACGACGTCCAAATGTTAACCATGATTGGGATTAGTTTAGCATCTTCAATGTTGTCGTGCGGATGTTCATTTTGCGTTTTTATAATGTACATAGTGTTGTCACCGTGTGAAATCCCTAAATTCATTATAGGCAACAATAATGTTTGAAAAATGTATTATTATTATTTTTTCTTTATAGTTGTTGTTTACCTAATCCGTCAGAGAGTCCAGTTTTGGAATATTTGTTGGTGAGTGTATATTTACCCTTATAACCAAATTCATAAAAGTATACCGGTGATGTGTTCTTTGATGCTAATAACTTGGCAGCTCTGGCCAAAGGTTCTTTAAACATTCTATCCGTAGTCATCTATAATAAATCGAATATTTACATATATTATATAGATATTTTTTTTTTTTTTTTAATATCCATCGATCAATGAACACAGAATGTTTACTGTAAGCCAAACAACTACAACGCTACCAACAATAGTGCAAATTAAAATGCCTAATTAATAAATAAGTTTATCAAATAATTTAAATAGTTCGGGTGTTGTGGGTTAGGTTTCGTTGAAATAAATTCAGTGGATAAAAAAAAAATATGCGATGGATGGGAAAATCTATACAATATGCAACTAAAAAACTTCATAGAGATAAAATAAAAATAAAAATCGTGATTGATTGCATTATGACAAAGGCCACCCGGGAATACGATATTTTTTTATTTTATTTTTTCGGTTTAATAGCCCTACAGATAATAGAATTACCGTTCAACTGAAAAGATAAAGATGACACAACAAACCTTTTACTTGCTTTAAATGATTTAATGAACAATATAAACGATAAGATAGACGATAATAATTTCCTATAGACTTACTCAATTAATATAGCGAACTAGGCATATATTTAATTTCATGGGTTATATTATATAATTGAACTTGAGTGTTTCAAGTATCTTTTAGTGTAATAAATATAAAAGTATCTAAATATGTATAGCACGATACAGATACCATACATGTACAGGTAATATAATAGACATATTATTATACATACTTGGACGACGTTACTTTTGGTGTTTACTGATACAGTGTTGTTTCCAAAGTAGAATGATTTTATTTTTTGTGCAATTTCAGGTCTTAAAGATTCATCCGAAATTGTGTTATTGTAGTCGAGTAGAAATGGTAAAACGTTATTCCAATTGGTTTCCATGTCCATTAGAATTTCTTCAAGTGACACCAATTCGGCAGAAGAATAAAGACCGTCATCTTGGGTGAAACTAAACAGCACTGGGACATCATGCGATGGTAGGTTCTGTGGTAAATCCATCAAAAATCGTTCAACTCCAGCCATTTCAACGGTAGGACCAAACGGTGTGAATGGATTGAATTTCCATGGCTTGTAAAAAAAAAAAAAAAAAGAAAGTGTATTACAACATATTGCATTTAGATTTATAATAATTTTAACGTGTATAGTCATATTTACTAAAAATTGTTTTAAAGACTCTGCGATAGCTAGTGCTGGTCTTGATCGAAGGCATTTGATTGTGTCTTTTGAGTAGTATGTAGGACATCCCAGAAACTCAGCTAACGATTTGGTCTTTTGAACTACGTTTTCGGTGTACGCCCAGTGGCATAAAGCACTCCCACTCTCAGCAATTGCTCGATTAAATAATCCTTTACAAACGAATTGGTTACTTATGTACAACGTGAATTTTTTTTCCGAAAAATTGTATACATATTACATATTATATTTAATATTTCATAAGCTATGTAACAAATTGCGCTGCAGTATAAATAGGTTGGTGGTTAGGTTAGGTTAGTTAATAGTATATTTATATTAGTATTATTTTCCGTTTAGATACTAAACGTGCACTCCATTGTTGGCGGTTGTGAACCAATTTCAAGCTCTAGTGCAGCGTTTTAATTATGAAATAAAAAATTAAAAGCAATATATTGTAGTAATCAAAATTTAATTACAAATTGTGTACCTAGAGATTAACAAGAACAAAAGAAACTATAGGTATTCAAAATGTTAAATATTAAATTAAAAAATGTTATTGCCTATTGTTGTTAATTCGAGGAATTATTTAATTAATAATCAACACGTAGGTATTATAATTTATAATAATATTGTGCTATAATTTACTATAGTCCTAATTTTTTAGAGATTATAAATTGACAAAAGAATAAATAAAAATAAAAAAATTCAAGGTTGAAACAGAATTATATATTTATATAAACAAAACTTGAGCAATTATTATCTATTCATAAATAACAGTAGTTATTATTATTTTTTAATATCTCAGATTAAAAAGGACTATAAAGATATAACTGAAATTGCATGATTGTTTTATATGACTTAAAAATTTATAGTTTTATATATGATAATACTATACTTGGTACCTACCTATGAGTTATGACCTACTTAGATTTAAGATTATTGAAACGTTTGATAACCTTATTCAAATTTGAGGTTACGATTAATTTTGTACATAGGTAGGTAGGTTTATATTTGTTTCAGCGGCGTAATCATGGGGGGGGAGAAGGGGACCTGAATGTCCACCCTTTTTTACCTAAGACTGTAATGGATGCACTTGATTTATGCACGTAATATGGATTACTATTCAAATATATTTTTCCATTTGATTTATTAAAGTATTATGATCGTTAACCATTATTGATTGCCGCGTCCGAACGCGTGTTCTCTACTTTAAAGAGAATCAATGCATGTTTACTTGCGGAATACGATGTCAGATAATTTAAAATTAGTATATCGTACACACAGTACCGTGCCTAACAAAATCGTCATCAGGCGCCAGAAAAATGTAACGATTGGCAAAAAAAAAAGGCCCAACCTGGCTTTGGACGTTTACTCTTTTTTTTACTAACATTTTCAAATAGCGCCCCCCCCCCTTTAGTCGTTGCGCCCTGTGCGTGGGCACCTCTCGTACACTCCTAGGCACACGACCCTTCGTACACGCATTACGTATCATCTACAATATGGAAATATTTCGTACGTTAGAATCGATTAAACGAATAATAATTACCCGCAGACATGGGCGACACCAAGTGATAGTGGACGCTGGCTGCGCCGGCGGACGTGCCGGCGATCGTCACCGCGGCCGGATTGCCGCCGAAAGCGGCTATGTTGCGTTGGACCCATTTCAGGGCCGCCACTTGGTCTTTTAAACCGTTGTTGCCGGGCAGTATTTCGTCGCCGGTGCTCGCGAATCCCAGCGGCCCCGCGCGGTAGTTGACCGTCACGTACACGAAATCGTTACCGTCCAATAGGTAGTGCGGACCGTAACCGACGTCGCCGTCGCCGGCCTGAAACGCTTCGCCATGGATGTACACGATCACGTTCATCAGGCCGCCGGACACGAGCCCCTCTTGGGGCAGCTGTAACAGAATCACGTGCAGTCTTGTAACGTATTCGAACATTATAGCGTTTGATTACTGTATTATAGCGTATACATTTGAATATATAAGCAGTCTTATAAAGAATATTTGTATTTTGTTTTCTGAATCTTTAGGCGAAACAATATTCTTTGATATATCTATGATATATCACATCATATATTATATCCAATATATTATATTGATACTACCTAATACCTATAATATGATAATATTATTACATGATATAAAACTCATAGAAAAGAAAATCCTTATCATGTACCCAGACTAATAACTGATTAAATATTGTGATATTCACATTTGCAAAAACTTCAAAAAAATCGTAGAAAATAAAAGATCATATTTAACAAAAGTTTCAACAACTAAAAATGTTCTAGAAATATATTTTCCAAAGTGGTTATTTTTAATTTTTTTAAAAAAAAATTATTTTAAAATATAAACTTTTTTATTTTAACTTACCCCTCTTCTAAAAAAAAATATATATATATATATTCATATATAAACTGTTGTGCTGAGGCATACTAATTATTTAAAATATACATATATTATCAAAAATATTGAATAGAACAAAAGTTATTGCATTTGCCGAATTCTCGTGAGACACTCTGTATATAGTTGATACGCCAAATGACATAATTTTAAAGTAACTGTTATAAGTACTAGATAACTAAGACTAAGACTATAATAAATGATACATAGAACTTTTGTACTTTTCAATATTTTACTATTATTATTATTTTTTACTTATTGTTTGATTTATTTATGCGCAAATGATGTATAGTATGTTAGTGTGAGGTAAATGGGCGGTGATTACCCCTGACGCATAGACATAATACATTACGTTTTTGGGTATACACCCATATAATATACTATACTCTGTCTCACGAGGGAAAAATACTGTTTCTGCAGCATGCATCGATTCTGTGATGGTCTATGACCATAATCCGTAATGTGAGCTCAACTTGAAAGTTTTAATGTAAGTGATAGGTACTTTATTACCTCCTTACATAATATTAGGTAGTTAGTTATATTACTTAAAATTGCGATATCTAAAGATATACGATTGAGTATATGTTTAAGATTGTAGCAATTAATGTAAACTTAGATTTTTGAATCTAAAAAAAGTTTTTTTTTTTGGTGGGAGGGGGTTGAGTGAGAATTGACCCTAACCACCCTTTTTATTTATAATCGGCGTATATTCGAGAATTTTTTTTTTTAGGACTACATTACTGTTTTGACAATGTGATTTTCGGGCACATCAAATATCACTCTTACCACGACACTGTACGTTTGTAATAAATCAATTAACCGTCAATCGACGTTGTATTCTGATGTAGAGAATTACCTATATTAGCTGTATAGGCAGTTATAAACTAATAAAAGCAAAAAACAAAAACGAATAACTGTCCTATAATTGTAAACTAATATTTGAGTTTAAAAAAACAAATATCTAAATTATCTTTGTGGGTAGTTGCAGTGAAACAATGATACTACGATTTGTATTGAATTATTGTTTTATTCGAACGTATTGTATGGGCAATGTGCAAAACTATCGGGTTTTTTTTTCGCAGTCGTGTTTCGTTTTAACCTGTTAGAACATTCTCGTCACTTACTTTTGGTGTATAAATATTTAGGTAAAGGCAATCTTCTTGGCCGGTTACTTTGAACGAATTGTGGTCCAGTCCTATGCAACCACTCATTGGGACGGTGGCGTTCCACACACCAACCCATGGTTTTACTGGTTGTGGTTCCTAGAATTTAGACAAAGGTTAGAAAATACACGTTATTACTACTTATTCTTATTTGGCATAAGTTTTGTATCATATATCGGCTTTGAGAATATTCATTCAATATGAGGTCTCATTTTTTTTACAAATTAGGAAATCATTTCGGATTCTATAACGTTATTGTTATTTTTAGGACAAACTGATTCCGTTTTTTTAGGAATCCGTTACTTGTCGATACTGATATATGCAATTTTCAATTTAGTTGACGCATCGGGGTGTACAATTTTGGAAATTCCTTGTACTTTTCCTAATAATCGTAGAGGTTTTTACCGAATACCATAACGTTCACGTTATCTATAGACGTAGTACGTATACCTAACCGCAGAGCTTGATTTAGAATTTTTTAGGCCCAGGACCAAAAGAAAAAGTTGGCCTATTTTTAATCCATTTAATACCAACATTTCTTATCTCATACCCATATATTTTTTATGAAACTGAAAAAAATAATTTATATTTTTACAAGTATTTTCGACTGTGTAAACTTTTTTTGGTATTCTTCAATTTTAAGGATTAATTAAAATTAATTAAAAGAATAATTAAATCCAGTAGGTGGGCCTCTGATCCGTATGAGCCTTGGACAAATACCCAAAATGTGTTTGCGTAAATATGGCCCTGCCTAACCGAATCTAATCCATTTATCCATTAACATTAGCATATGTTTGTTTGCTTTTTACATTTTAAAACGTTCAAAAACCACATTTTACTCGGTTTTGGTGACTTTGTAAAATATTATAAGTCGGGTATTACTTGCCTTAAAACGGTGTTTGTAGACTGGCGGACTGGCGTACGGTACGCCCAGAAATGCGTAAAACGGCCGGCCGCTGGCGATGGTACTGCCGGTGCCGCCGGCCAACTCTCCGGATTCCACGCGTACTCTCGGGACCGTTCCGGCGACCGCGGTCTCTTCGGTAAGACGGCAGCACGCCGATAACAAAACGATCGCGGCGAACAACTTTACGGTCAACATGGTCGGTGGTGTGGTGGAGGATCAGGTGACTGGGCGAAAACGGACTCGACCGGGCCAATATATACGCGTAATATTGTACCGGGTGGCCGCAAAACAGTGTACACGTAATTATTATTATTTTTTTTTTTATATTACGTTTATCTCTGACAGGTGTCGCGCAGGCGATGGCCGACGTCGGCAAACAACGTCAACGTACCGCCTATACAGTAAGCTAGCTATAATATACCTGCCTAGCCGTCACGATAAAAAAAATCTTATCCGCGCAGAGTCATGTAAACGTATCGTAAATCATTCGGACGGCGCGCTTGTATTATTATTATGGCGTATCGTCGTCTGTCACCATATAATAATATCGAGTTACGTAAACGGCTAGGTGAAGATCTTTTTTCGGGCGACCCCCTCGCTCTTCGAACACCTCGACAATTCGCGCTATGTGACGCGTGACAACCGCCCGAATAAATAAACTTAGGCCGACGCGGATAATAATAATATGATATTATGAACCGTCGTCACCGACGCAGAAAAATTGTTTTATTATAACGAGTATTCGTGTTGCGTTATTGTATACCCGCGAGTACATGCAAGCGATCGGTATAACACGATAAACAAGCGATTTTCAATATTATTACCCAGACGGTCGGTAGTGAATTATCAGTGACGCAGGGGCGACCGAAGCGTATACTTTTTTTGGGAGCAACGTGTTTGATAGAGGCGCTGGTGATTGTCGAGTATTTGGTGAATGAATTATATATGGTTAAAACCGAATCGGTATAAACGTGCACGTGAAGCAGGCCTATAATAGCTATTTATTCGCGGCACTTTAATCGATAGCTATTAATGTGTCACCTGCAGTGATAAACTGATAAAGTTGATGATATTATAACAATACCATAGATGAAAAAAATGTACAGTACATTTAATCGACTGCATACGAATTGCGTCCTTAAAAAAGAAAATATATGTCGTGACAACCGAGTTACGTCCACGATTTTTCGGCGACTGTCCCGAGTCACGTCCGCAAGAATAATTGTTATTCTATTTCTATATGTTTGATGATAAACTCGTTAATATTAATTATCTGTCGACTATCGATTATCGATACCTTATTATATGTTGGTAAATACCACCTTACAGTTCATGGTTGGAAATCAATTTTGTTTATGTTGTTCATGTCAAAAATGTTCAAAAACTGATATTTATATTAAAGTGCAAAGATCAAATTTAACCAACAAACGAAGAGAGGATATAGAAAACGAAGATTTTGTTAAAAATACTACGCAGACGCAACTGGGACAAAATTTATTAATTTATGGCCGCAATTCGAATGCGCCGATTTAATCAATGACCATACTAAAAACTGTTACCATACTAATTATTTCATATTTTCATAAAAATGGGTTAGATATGAACAAAAATACAAATAAATACCTTTGTATGATGTAAATTTACTTAATTTGTTATGCTCAATGCTATAATAGGTATGATTGGGTGCATCTTTTCGAAAAAATAAATTATATAATTACAGCATTGACTTGGTGACGAAGAGTATAATTTCTATTATCTTTTTTTTTGGGGTGAAAAATATATTTTGCCTCGAGGTGCTTTAATGTGTAGTTACGCCACTGTGAATTTTAATAATTATTATAAGTTTTTTTTTCGAATTTTCCATTTATATATTTTCACCCCGCTACTTTTAGACAATTCTAGTAGCTCTCTATGAACCAAATGGCTCATACTCGGAAATTGGAATTTTCTTTTTTATATAGGTGGAATGAAGTTATAAAGTGTTGCGGATGACGGTGATTTTTAACTTTGAACACACCTAAAGATTGACCAAGGGAATGAAGATATGTATACGTATAATGTATGTATACAAAAATTGCGCTTTTTTTGGGAGCGAGGTATTTCACTCTTATCGTTTTTACGCTCAAACTTCATCAGTTTTTTTTTTTTTTGAATTAGTGTAGTATTATATGTATAGTATAAATGTTCAGTGGTGGGCACAGATATGGGAAGAATAGGGTTTATATTGCCCCCTTATTGGCTTAAAACAAAACAATTATGAGTGTTTTTTGAGTAATTTTATCTAGAAATTATCTATTTTAGCTAAGTTTTAATGATGAAAGATTGATTTATTGAATACAATTTTTTGGATTCGGCTTTTATATTCTTACTGTCAGGTTAGGCATAACAAAAGAAAATTATACGGTATAATCATAAATCATGATTACCATTTACTACATACCCTGAACCCTCCCATTGATAATTCTTGGGTGCTCTACCAATAGTATTGTATTCGATTATTTATTGTTTTACAAAAAATATTTCTACAATACAAAATAGTTTACTGAAAATTCGACCCTATATTCGAGAGCAGAGCTCATGCGTGTTTTTCTAGTTTTACGTGATTTAGTGGAAGATGTGCGTACGTTATATATAGGGATGTATCCAAATCGGTTCTCGAACTCATAACTCTACACATGCTGAATAGGTTCCCGTTTGAAAAAGGTGCCTTATGAAGGTGAGCCGAATAGGTTCCCGTTAAATACCTATATTTATACAATATATGTAGGTATAATTTAGTTCATTTTGGATTCTGATTGGAGCAAAGAAACTTATGGTTATGTTAGATTTTTATTATATTTTTGTTGGCAAATTTTCTATCATCAATTTTGTTTTGATTCACAATTATAGCATTTTTTTTGAAAAGAAATTTGACTGGAGTGATACTTTAGGGAAGTCATTTTTTAATTTTCCCATTATTTATTATCTTTATATAGTATTACTAGGATTAGTATGTATAGTATAGTATACATACTTGATGAGGACTTGATTAAGGGTATTACCCTTTTATTTTTGCTTATATACTTGTTAATATTATTTTAATTTGTTTGATTTTGTTTCAGATATATAAATTGTTGACGATTTATTTTAATTTTGTAGATACATTTTTCATTCAGAAAAAAGTAAGAACTTATATTATAATATCTATAACTTAAATGGGTTCGAGAAAAATATCAGTTATAAATTTAATAATAAAAGATCATTTGATATTTTGAATATCTTTTATTGTATTTCGATCAAGTTTTACTCGTTTTTTAAAAGTAATAAGTAAAAGTAAAGGTTTATTTTGTAGGTATTTCGAGTTTATGATAAGAAAAACAATACAAATTGGTTTACACCGAGTCTATTGAAGCAAGACGAGGGTGAATTAAGTCTCTGTGACTTTTTCTGGTTGTTTCATTAGGTACAGTTGTTTTAAACAGTGTAATAAATAGTAAACAATCAATAGTTTATATTTTTTAAATTCTTATTCAGTAAAAATAGTAAAATATACAATTTAGTCTGAATATTTTATAGGAATTCGTTTTAATTTTATTACAATATTTAACAACATTTTCCGTTTATTGTATAGTTTTGGTTGGATAAGAAAGATATAATATATTTTTTTCAAATTCAGCAGTTTTATTTTTTATTAAGTACTAGTTTTTGGTTATAACAATGAAAATTAGTTTTAATTTTTAGGTTATCTCAGCAATGCGTTTTTGACGCAAAATTGTGTGTATAATTTAACAGTATAAACAATATAAATTTTATATCAGACTGTTTATTGCCTGAGATCTAATCTCTGAGTTTCACTTTTACGTTTTGCTTAATTAACTGTATAGTTTCTTGCGTAAAAAAAAAAAATTGTATGGATAAAAACTAAACTCGCCAACATATTTTCAATTATACATATTAGTGAAAGAAAATAATGTTTTTTTTTTAAATTTTTTTTACTATAGCACAAAAATAATATTGTACAAATATTTTTTTACAGTAAAACAAAACGTTTATTCTAATTTATACATTGATAATATTCATTATACATTAATTAACTAGAAACTACTAAATATTATAGAACATTATTTACAAGATGAATTAGCTGTAGTTTTAAAAGTATAGTATTATTGTATTAAAGAAAAAAAAATGATAAAAATAACCGTCTACATAATATTGGCAAGCTTTGATGAGTTTTGAATGTATGGAGGCAAGATAAAAATGAATGATAAATTTGTGCTTGATAAAAATATTTTACAGTTGTGAAATGACTTATAGACTAAATGATGAAAAAAAAAAAAAAAAAAATTGAACAAGTGACTAATATTAACACATTTAAATAACATATGTTTGTTATGGCATAACACATTATTTCTAGGGTACAAAAATGTAATATTTTTAATATTAATAATATATATATACATATGTATACATAATATGTATAAATGTATACATTATTTATATATATATATGTATACATACATAATATTATATTCTTTAAAATAAAATAAATAAAAAAAACACAATAATATATAAAGTATCGATGAATGTGTTTCTTTTGTCGTTTCTAACTGTGGTTACCGCATTGCGTTACTTATATGAGCACTTGGTTTTGAACTGACGTATAATGAACGTGATCAGTGTAAACTGACTGGAGGTAAAAAGTCACCACAACGTGGGAAATTCTCGGGCACTGGCGGTAGGTCGGCATGGGTCCCGACGTGAAGCACTAAATTCATACCAATTACAATATGGAATAAGAAGTGACAATGGAACAACCAATAACCTGTAAATTGGCCACATTTTAAGTATATCGTTTTTATGTAATATTTAAAACATATTTATTTACTTAGTCGACATCAATATTTACCTGGGTTGTCAGCTCTGAATCGGAATACCACATATCCGTTGTTGGGTACAGCTATCGTGTCCTTACTTGGTGGTAAATTGAAATGTCTGTCTAAAAGACCTCTTCGGTCCAAATCAAGTGCGTGTTTCAAGTTGATTTTCTTAACGTTCTTGTCTGGTGATCTACCCATACCAATAACATGGAATGAATACCCATGCAAATGGAACGGATGACTCAAGTTGGGTTGTTGGACTAGGGAAATAAATAATATTATAGATGTAAGACATTTGATTTATTTTAAATATATTTTTTGTTTAATACCTTCGTCAACCAGCACAACTTCTACAACAGCATGCATGGGAATATCGACTTTGTGAGAACACATACAATTTCTACCACAATTCGCCGGTTTGTTATCTCCATTACAGAATGACTCTGGAGGTATATCATCAATTTGAGAAAGCATAGGTGATGCAGGAGAGGTATACGATATTTCATCTACCAAACTTATTACGTGATCTCCACCGCCGGGAGCGACTGAAAATTTACAAAATACATCGTAAAAATTATTTTACTCAAAAAAAAAAAAAAAAAAAAAAAAAGGTAAAAAAAAAAAAAAAAAAAAAAAAAATGGTAATAATCAAAATGATAAAAAAAAAAATGAATTATTGTAATAATTTAAAATCAATAAACGTACCCAAATATCTATTGTATTGATGAGGTTGGAAGAGTTCATCAGGCCTGTAGAACAAAAATTTGAATGGTAAAAATATTTTGACATCAGGTCTTTCTTGTAAAAGGCCTTTGTCCACAACTTTGGCATTTTTCAGTTGGTTTACACAAATAGCGTCAGTTCTGGGACGATTACAAACAGCGTCCAATGGATTCAATACCTATTTATCAAATAGATATGATTAAAAATGTGTTATAGAACTAAAATTATAGAATTTAATATATTAACACGATTATTAATAATCACTTACAACTCCTTGTGGTAAGCCGACATCATAAGTGGGTGCCTTTGCTTTTGGTTGATACGGTCCTCGAGCGTACCTGAGTATAGCTAATTGTTGCACACGTTTTATACCACATTCGCCAAGACCTCTGACTTGAATCCAATATGCACTAACAGGTTGTTCTGCGTTAATAATGAAGTCGTATCTTTCTCCTGTTATTATAAATACAAGTTAGTTAAAGTAATATATTTGCACTATACAGTACATAAAAAAAAATTTTAAAAAAATCAAAAATCAAAATTACCCGAGAATGAAATGATTGTGTTGACGACCACTGGTTGCACGGGTTCACCATCAGTTGCGATAAGGACGAGCGGATGTCCTTGTATGGTAATTTGAGCGGGACAAACGGAAGCTAAGGAGTTGATCATTCTAAACCTGTACCTTCTACCAGGTGTGATGGTAAACGTTTCTAATGGTGTGTTAGTACTGAATCCTGTATTAGGGTCCTGTCATAATATATAACAATAAATAATTATTCATTATTTATCTATTTACTTTATTGATCACAACGATCTGAAAATAATATTCATGCACACGACTCACCGTGAATTGTCCTTTGCCGTTGATCAATAGAGATTCTGGATCCTGTCCGGTGTTTGCTGCTAATCTACCAGGGAATCTTTCCATCGCGTCTTCGTGAAGCCAATCGGACAATAAAATAACGTGAGTGGTTAAATCATAATCGTATAAATGACTATTAGGATCTTGTGATGGCGGTTGTCGTACCACAATACTTCCATAGATACCGTCGATTTTTTGTAGTCCTGTTTACCGTAATAATATAATAACGATTATACGTTTTGTGTATAATAATTTTTTTTTTTAATCATTATGAAACAAATTATTTAATGACGATTTAAAGATGATCCAATTAAACGGTAGATAATTGTTCAATTTCTGGTAGTTAATTTGACAAAACATAATTTTAAAATTAATTAGTATTTGTTGACTCTTTATAATACCCGTGTTTACACAAAGTAACGTCACTATTATATGGTCATATTTAATTTTACGATTGTTAAATATTTTAATATAAAGTTGTCTTATTAAGATAATATAATATGACTTTCACTAGATTAAATCTTATTACATAAGGTCACGTGACACTGACTACCATTATCGTGGAACTAAAACTGGGTTAATGCAAGCGGATCACGGCTGGCTGGATAGGAATAGCGACTATTTTTTTTTAATGAGGATATATCGGCGTGTGCGTACATATAGGTACACGCATATCGATTATTTTAACAAACGAATCATAAATCTTCGTAATTAACTAGGTGGCACGTATTACGTGTGAACTATCCGCTGTGTCCGAACATGCGATGTGCGAGACTAAGTCACGAGCGAATCAGTTTATACGATGAAGGTACATTTTAACTTGAGATTGTTACCAGAATGGGCATGCCAAAAGTGCGTGCCGGCGTTCGTGTCGAATTGATATCTGAAGGTGTTTCCTTCGTGTATGGGACATTGAGTAACATACGGGACACCGTCGGAGTATTGGGTGCCACGTTGGTGAAGTCCGTGCCAATGGACTACAAGTTCCAAACCGTGCATGTGATTCAATAAGTCAACGACTACCTTATCTCCTTCGCAGACCTATCGTGGTATTGCAAAGTAATATACAAAATATAAATATACGTAGTAATACAAAATATATAAATATAATGGCGAAATTATTATACCTGTATACTTGGACCGGGCAACATACGATTCACGGCCAACATCCCTCTTTCGACACCATCGGCTAACACGCACTGACAATGACTCCACAAGGAATTGGTAGCATTTGGCGTACACACTTGACAAGCTCTATTTTCAAACACATTTTATATTGTCATTTAAAAAATGATAATATGCTTATCGTAATAAAAAATAAGTAGATAGTAGAAAACGTAAAACGATAAAGCATTGTGATGTAGTAATTATTTCTGTCGGAATATTATAATATGGAGGTTGATAATAGGTATGTTGCAAAGTTATATTTATGTGTAATAATCATGCGATGTTCATGCTTACGCTCCCAATACGTTGTATAATTCTGCGGTAAAATGATAGTAACATATTCTCGGGGGCTCTCCTTCGCGACAAGCCCTCGCACATTCTTCTGGCGATGAAAACTCGGAATTCTTACGTAATTCGTCGAGACCTCGTTTGTCGAAATCTAGCGACGAGTACCCCAACGGTGGTAAATTGCTGTGTGTCGATTCAGAAATACCTTAAACAAGTTAAACATTTTCATTAGTTTAGCATACATAATGCATTGTTTTATCTTTAATCTTAATTAAAGGGGGTTTAGTGCAATGAAAATACACGTCCTTTCGATATTATTTAGAAGTAATAAAAAAAACTGTCTATGGACCTTATATTATGGGCCTTCCTTTAGCCTAGAATTTGGTTGAACTAGAAAGGTGCTAATTAGTATTTTTTCCGTATCAAGAATATGAACTTGATTTATTGTGTCAAATTATGTAGCATTTATTGCTTTATTCGAAACTATCAAAAAGTAATTTTGGATTTGCCTTGTTTTTGCATTAATTTGAAAAAAAAATATCCTAATAGACAATTTAAGTCTCCAAATACGGTAAATGTTACAACTATAAGAACAATATTATTCTTATTATTTTATTCTTACAACTATTCCATATTTGTTATAGCAAAGAATCAAAATTTTGTCAAATAAAAATGTTTTCGAAAAACCCGGAAAGTCCAGGATTTTTAGGAAAAATTTGAGTATTTTGATGGAACTGAAAATTCCCAGAACATTTAAAAACAATTTTCAAAAATCATAGAAAAAAATAGAAACTATAAACTCATTAATAAACAGTGTACATTGGCAATGATTTTTTTTCACGTTGAAATTTTTTTTATTATTTCTTTTTCAAAGAAAACTAATTATTCAAAAATGTACAATTTCATAAATTGTTCAATTTTTTTCATGGACTGGGAAAAACTGAGGGTTTTCCGGCATTTTGATTCCTATACCTGCATGTTATAGCCGTGAATTCAGAAATGTATTATTTTAAAATGCATACTTCCAAATCCAGAGAATGTGGCCGGGTGAGTTTGCACAAGTCCGTGATCCGACGGGAAATAGTTTTCCGGTTGAATAAATGCTGACGAGTCGTCGTCAGGTACGTTTTGTATGCGTCCCGGTGACCAGTATGATTCCGCAGTTGCCTGATCGCTCGAGTCGCTTCCTGAAAATTAATTTTATTTTTCATTAATTTGAATACGAAATTATTCATAGTTATAGTTTCTATTAATAACAAATAGATAACAAATATATTATTCGTTCTAATCAAATACGAAATATACTCGGTGTTTTAATACAATAAGTATTAAATGTTAAAAAAAAAAAAAAAAAAAAAATGAAAAAACGCGTTACTATTATGGTTCGTATGGGTACCGGTTTTTAAATTGTCCTCGGATAGTTCAATAGGTATATTATCGTATATTTTTAAACGTTTAAAAGACATAGTGATATGTAGCGATTTACGTGCAATCCGTAAGTCATTCGATTGTATTGTGGGCAGGTATGATATTATGTAGGTGTAATGTTTTCTGTATTATTCTCTGTTTACACAAGTTACGGATTAATGTGGTATATTTCCCAAAATGTACGTTATGGGTAATATTATAGTACGCGAAAAAGAATAAAGCGTTTGCGCAGGTACGATAGATAATCGGAACGTTACGGACATATATATCTACTAACCTATACCCATGCTTATCTATAGATAGGCTGTGTTTCAATAGTTCTATTCAAAATCGTTTACTGTCGTAATAAGTCCGTATATTTGTAATATCCTATCCTGGTGTAGTATAGGTACTAAAATATACATTTCAACTGCAGTTGTTTACAAAATATAATATTTATTTTAACCTATTTTTTTTTTACGATTTCAAAAAAACAACCCCCGCGGCGATACCTGTATATACATACCGCTGATTTGTTAATAAATATGATTTTTCTGAACTGTACGCCAATAATATGACGTACTCGTTGTCTACGAATAGGGGACATTTAGATACTTATAATATAGGTACTATACGTACACTTGATGGGGGGGGGGTTCAAACTCTAAAATCTGTGGGGGTATTAATCTTCCGGCGCGTAATAGGAAATGTTTAGTTCGTTTATTTATGACTTCTCCCCCCTTCTCATCATCCGCCGATACATGGTTTCTGTATACGTGTTGTCGGACACGTATTAAATATTTATGAATGAAATTATTAACGTTTTATTCACAAATAATAATACTATTGTCGACGTATAGATATTTATATTAGGTATTTTTTTTTATAAACGTCATAATATTAGGTACCTACCTGTTAAAAGATTATATAATACCTATTTTTTTTTTTTTTTTACGTACGATAACATAAACGGTAAATTATAATATTTTCTATCGAATAATAAACTACTACGTCGACTTCGAAATTTGTAGGATTTACGTGTCGTCCGTATCAATAATATTATGTTTCTCAAATAGCAAAAATTATCGAAAATATTAAATAAAGGGGGCAATTTTTTCGTATATTTTATTTATAGAACTATTATACAAGTGTCAAATTGTAGGTAAAGATAACGAAACACACCACTCGCGCTAATAATATCGCGCGTATTTGCATAACAGATTAAGTTGTCACATTTTCGTGCAGATTTCAATGGAAACGTGTATGCATATACATATATACCAGACAAAGACAGTTTTATGTATTTAACGATTGAGATTTCTGTTCGCTTTCAATTTAAACGTGACCATTTTTTTTTTTACCACGTGTTCACAGTTCCGTAACAATGCGTAGAATATTATTATTTAGTTTAGAATGTCGTATTGAAAAAGAATGATAATAATTATATACATTTTTACCGTCGTCATTTGTGTTATTAAATAATAGTGGTGATAATAAAAATAAATGTATAAATGAGACACATATTGATTATTAAAAAAAATAAAAAGACGTTATCAGCTCTTTCTATTTCAGGTGTTATTGTTCGACTAATATCTAATATATTATAATTTTATGATTAACGTTCGTTCCTTAGCTAAAAAAAAAAATAATACAAATCCGTACTTATCTACACATATTGTATAGGAGCAACGTAACTATATATTATTGTGTAATAGACATTTCTTGTTCACGTTGCATATATTATTTCATTAAATTCTATTGGTACGACCCGGAACCCGAATTTGTGTATAGTCTTGCACCCCGTATGCTGTAATCGTGTTAAAATAATATTGTATTATGTTTCCCTTGTATACACTCACAGTCAAGCTCGTCTATTATTAGTATATATTCGTTATTCTGCTGCAGTGTACAATTGTATTGTTATTGCACTTATACGTAGTATTATACACATACCTTTCGAAAATAGGTTAGGTAAGTTTTGTAAAATAGAAGAACGTCCTCATACCTACTTACGCTTGGTATGTACATAGCAGGTAGGTATGCTTTGTTAGAAAGAAAAAGAGATTAAAAGCCAAATTATTTTCGTTATTTTGGATGCGTGGAAAATGTATTGGGTTTTATGGATTGTACCTATGCTATAGCGTCGGGTTGTCTTAGACTCCGAGTATAACGAAGAAGCTATATTATATAGTTTTATAAAAATCTGTTTTTTTTTTCTCGAAAAATATGTTTACGATTTTTTGTTACGGTTTATTTGAAGCAATACTTTAGTTCATTTTTTGTTGTTTGATATTTGTTGATTTTTTGGTTACCTTAGGCAACAAGGGAAAAACATGATTTATAATGGGTAAACTTCGCTCAGAATCATTTTTGCTTTAGAAATGATTAATCATTGTACAAAGTTCGTGGGGCGAAAATTGAATATAATACATTGCGCTTTTTTCTTAACCGGAAAATCTCTACTGAAATGCTGAATGAATTAAATTACCAACCTCTACGAATTGTCGTAACTTTCGTTGGACTATTGGATTAAATACAATACTATTATAATCGGACCTATATCAACTTATAAATTATTTTAATTAAAATTACGTATACATTTTGTAGATACAAATTTATTTTGTATATTTATTTTCAATCGGCTGGATAAATCGTATTGAATTTGATCCGAACGTATTGGATCATAATTTTATTTTAGGCAAGGTAAAATGTTTAAGTATCATTTTTAATTTTGAATGCAGAGAACATTTTTTAGAATTTATTATTTATTTTTTTCGGAATAGTTAATAAAATAAAAAGAAGAATAGACAATTATTTCGGTGTTGTAGGCACTATTATCGTCTCCCGTCATTCTCTTCGTCATGCGCAGGAATACACAGGATACATGGAATCATGATTACCTAGCTGTATCATTATTTTATACTTAAAAATTAATAATTTCGAGAAAATTTCAGAAAATTATGACTTGAACGTTTGATTCTTCGTTTCTATTAAGTATTTTTCAACACTTATAGAACACATTATATACTTATCCCCGTTGTGTCCGTCCGTATTAAGTTACGATTGTTGATTTGGTTGAAAAGAAAATATATATTATTTTAAATTATTTAATAATATGAGTATTAAATATAAACTCATAATAATCAATTTGAAAAAAAATAGGTACCAAAATATTAGTCGTGCTTTGGAGAATATGAAAAATGGCCCGTCATTTATTTACAAATTACGATTTTTAATTTATTTAAGTTTTTTACATAAGTATAATATTATTACTAGATTATCAAATTCTCACGAAATTGTATATAGAATAATAATTTATATATTATTATATTGTTTAAAGTACGTATAGAAACTGGACATTTTGATAGCTCGCAGAGAGAGCTTCCCTAACTTGTTTTTGTAATTTTCCGGGTATTGAATATGAATTTAAAAAAAATTAAATATCTTCTTTATTATGGGTGGCTTCTGTCTGTTTTCAATTTTATCTAAAATTTTGGAATAAACACTTGTTGAGCATGTTAACTACATAGTACAGACCAATAGTTTTTACGATTGTCGACCATATATGATATTTTCTTTGTGGTCTCGGAGACTCAGGAATTTTTCATCATAACGTCAATTCTAAATTCTTGAATATGTTATTTTTCGAGTTAATTTTCCAATTTTATTGATTACCAATTGAACAAATGTAATCATTATAATAACATTCTATATGAACGTTATTATATTATTATACTCGTCATTTGTTCAACGACGATTGGAACTATTTTTCGAATTGATGGAATTTATTTTATTTCTTTAATATCTTCTGCTTGAAGTAATATACGAGTAATGTACAATATTATGTTACAGATATTTTATGACGTATATAAATGCAACATTATTCAAACGTTCAATAATTTACAAATAACGGTATCCGACAAAGAATAATTTAAATTAACAGATTTATTTATACAACGTAACATGTATCAATAAGATCAAATGAAATGTAATAAATATTAGTATTTCAATGGTTTCATCAAATTTAGTTTAAAAAAAAAAAAAAATTCAATTCATCATAATTCGATTTAGATATTGACTACATTATATACGATTACATAAGTATATGAGAATTTGATGAAATTTCGTCTGTAATATTATATTGAAATTCCAATAATAACATCGTTGTCTCATGGACACCGAGCAATAAAATGATTACGTCCAGTGTATACAAGTGATATATATATATATATATAAATATAAAAATAATAAAAAAAAAAGACGGAAGAAAAAAATTCGATTCTCCGGACACGCACCCATAGTGAAATTATGTAATTAATGGTCGAAAACGATTGACGGTTTCTATAGCTCTCAAAACGTCTTATTATCGTACAATCGACACCATCGTAAATTGCCATCACTGCAATAGCGAACGACATCACTAAAAAATCAAAAAAAAAAAATCATTCAGATCCGGTTCGGGCGTGTAGAAATCTAAGACGCTGCACGTATTTTATTTTAGCGAGTTTATTTTAAAAGAAATTACCCTCCGTAGTATTTTCCAGAAAAATCTAACTCAGTGTACATAATGCGTGATTCACTAAAAGTTTACGAAAACCATGTGATAATATTCACTTTATTGTTTCAATATTTCTTTTGGACACGATGAAATATTATTTCGATATTGATTACCAATTTGCATTACCGTAATATTATTGGTGTAAGGTAAAAATTCGACTAGAAAATATTATTAATTATCGGCCGTTAAAATGTATAAATAATTATATTTTGAAATATTCAGGTAAAAAAAAGCCGTTGATAACAATGTGAAAATTATATTCATACAAATCAAAGGTGAAGAAAAAAATCATCACCTATATAAATACACATTGTGTACAGTAATATAATCACTATAAAAAATTCAAAGTTAATGATGTTTTAATGCGTGTATTAAGCGAGAGAAATTTTAGAAAACTTCGTAAAAAAAAAAAAAAAAAAAAAAAAAAAAAAACAAATAAAATACGTCTTATGTATTTGAAAACATTAACCAAAAAAAAAATAAAAAATAATATCCCTAACAGAAAAACCGGACGGTTCATAGTTGATAGATCACATTGTATACCGATAAAAAATAATTATAGACCATAATATTATTATTATAATATAGTGTAGTTAAAAGTAGGTACGTTGAAAATAACATTATATAGTACCTAACCGTACCCGGTAAAATCGGGTACTAAAATATTATTATAATAACGACGAGACGCGAATGACGAAAATGCAGGTACCCGGGACATTGTTGATCCGAAAGTTCGAAGAGAAATTTCGATTTTTTTTTTTTTTTTATGTATACGTACGAAATATCGGTATAGATATACGTACGGAATTGGCGAAATATTTTAATCGCGTGTCGGACGGATGTTTGGTTTTATCAAGCGTGGGATACAATATTTTGTAATATCGGATTAGACGCTACACATTATTATACGTATAACATAGTCACGTGATAATTTTGTCCGGTAAAACAAGTTAACGTTTCGTTTTATACACCGGGTTTGCTGGTTTAATATTATTAATATTGTAAAAATTAATTTTTTGATCGTACCGACGACGGCGACGTTGATAATAATACGGTCATAAATTAAAAATTGTAAGTAGGTAATAGTTAAGTAGGTGTTAACCCGCGGAGTTAATAGTTTAATGTTATGTTCTGATCGACGTTTTATCGCCGGTTTTTTAATAATGATTACTATATCAATATTATTATTATATTATTTACTCGCATAAACGGCCAACATTGTTACGATAATAATATTAATATTATTCGTGGACGAGTAAATATAATACGGCAGATTACCGCAGGTTATATCAGAAGACCCGATTTGATTTTCGATATTTTCAAGTCGAGTAGCTAATTTAAATAATTATATTAGGAAACATTCCGATTTTTAAAATTAATTACGTTTACTCGCTTACTTCGTGGTTATCCTCGTTTAAATGGAGAAGGAGAGGGGAACAGAAAAATTCAGCGAGGACTACGATCGCGCTCATAATAATATTAAGCTTAACTTTTATTCAGTTACTAACAACTCGTATTGGGATGCAGGAATAGGGTCAGTCCTCTCTGTTCCGGCGGGTAGGTCACGTAAAAAACGCGATTATGCTTCTTCTGTGGATGTATCGCTCTCCTGTTATCGCGGGGAGCACTGTCCGAGTCCCGTCGGCGCACACTCAAAAATAATAAAAAACGGATCTCTCTAAAATTGCATACGTAGTAAAACTTATAGATTTTGTTTTTTTTTCTTGTGGTTTCCCGTCTGTCACGGGGAAATTCGCAAAAAACGTATTATTCAACTGCGTGCGTTTTGGATCGTAGAAGTAATGAGGGTGAGCGGAATTTAAGAATTCGTGTCTCTCGCTATTGGCCATCTATACATTAATTACGAATCGATGTAGTACAATATGTTCTTGTCATGTATACACGTATACCTATTATTCTCGTACAAATTGTTATTAATACAAAGTCATTTTTACCGAGGCTGCGGATACAAACAAACGGTTGGGAATGTAAAAAACTATTTTATTTACGTTTAGTGCATACAAATATATAATGTACAATGTACGTTATTATATCTACTTATCGTAACGCTTATATATAACGATTTAGCGTTTCTAGCGAGAAAAAAAAATATAGAGATTTGTATTACGATTAAGTAGGTACATTAAAACTTGAAAAAATGTGTTTATTTTATAAGAAAATTGTAATTAGCGTGTAAAAAATTCGCGAAAAAAAAAAAGAAAAATATCGAAAATATTATAAAATTTGTATAAGTACATATAATTTATAAAAGTAAATACCTACACTTAATAGTAAGTACGCCTGCAGACTCGAATATAATGTTTTGTGTTTTACCGTGGTAAACATCAAAATGTTTGCGTTATTTCCTTAAACTAAATTGGTCATGGTATGCATTAAAAAAAAAAAAAAAAAAACATTCGTCAATTATTAATTCGTAATGAATTACCTAAAACGACTTTTCTATCGACACAAAAGAATTTTTATATTCTTGTTGATCGATGAATAAAAAAAACAAAAAAATGAATTGTGTGTAGGTACTATCAATATTATATATTAATTATATATATTACTTTGTGTATTTTATGTAACTGCATAGTATAGAATTATGTATATTTTAGTAATTTTTTCTTTATTATTGTCACAAACGCATTTTGAACGAATTTTAATATATTTAAATCGTTTGTTCGACCTGAAATCAAATCCACATATTATATTTGTATGCAATAATCCACGAGATAAAAAAAAAAAAAAAAAAAAAAAATGTTAACTGCAGGTATATAGGATATCTAAATAATATAGCCAATATAAAATTTCACAATAATATAACGAATGCTGTTCTGTATGTTTTCTTTCAATCGTGACTTGGCTACTGCGGTACGCATACCGAATAAGAAAATTAGAAAAAAAAAATAATAATCATCTCATCTATTCAATACCTAGTCGGTTATTATATTATAGTTTATATTCAATTGTCTCCTCTCTCTCTCTCTCTCTCTTTTTCTCGCTTTATGCGGTTTTGGATCTTCTAATAAAAAAAAAAAAAAAAAAAAAAAAAAAAAAACAATCGATCAGTGACATCGAACGTCCATCGATCAGTATATACTCTTTGACCACATGCCAAATTTCACACTTCTGTTGGCACCCACGGCCGGCGGGCAGGGGCATACGTAATTAGTTTCACTTGCATCGAACCGCGGCGGCGGCGCCCGGGCCACACTGAATTTCTCCAGCCTAGACACATATTATATTATACCTATATAATATTATAATATATTATTATAATGATATCATAGCCCGTAGAAAATATGTTGCAACCGAGCGGAAGCTGATACCGTTTTGAATTATCGATAAAAAAAACATAATAATAATAAAAAATAAAAAGAATTACGATATTGTAAACAATAACAAACGGAAAAAAAAAACAAACTATTTGAAACGAGTTAATATCAAACAAGTTAATCTATTTTAATATCGCGAACGACTGATGGATGTATCGCAAGGATTTAAGATGTTTATATTATATATGTGTACATATTATTATTAAATTGGAATGAGAGCGGAATTATTATCAATTATTTTATGTAAAGTTTATTAAATAATTCAAATGCGGTTATACCAAATATTCGAAATATTTAATTACCACGATATACTGAACAGAGTAGACACGAGACGCCGCAGATAGTTCGTGAACAACGAATGCGTAGGTACCTTTGTCAAATATGTTTCATACACCAAAATTTCTCCAGTGCGATCACATATATGTATATGTATGCGAAACAATTAGATAGCCGATTGTATGATGATACGAGATATAATAAGTCGGCAGCCGTAATATGTATCATACTAAAATAGAATATTACTGCAGTGTATTGATTTACCCGCGAAATACATGTTAATGCAGTACGTGTATTATGATGCGATGCTGTGGCGTGTTTTCGATTTCCTCGTGGGGGTGGGTGATGATGAAATATTAAAAACGTGACATCAATGGACCTCTGTCACTATTGGATCTTATTTGTTCTTCTTACATTTACGTTTAATTTTCCAAATGTTCTTTAAGTGGGATACTGAGTAAGATACTTCCATAATGCTGCGATAAACGGTACGGTAACAATGCAATGTGTTCATAGTTTTTTATGGCTCAAATGCATCGTTACAGTACCGTTACTTGTAGCAATAGGTATACTCATTATTAACAATGGCATTTTGCCGCACATTTTTCAATGGTTATTTATCAGTTCTTAATCCTCTTGATTAACTTTTATCCAATAATGGAAATGCATAACTTCTATGAGGATACCAGAGCCAGAATAATAATTTTAAGGACTTTTGTATAAAAAAATGAAGATGAAATCTAAAAAAAAATGGCTCCGGGGTACTTCCCTTCCCATATCACACCCAATAAATACGCTACAGATATGACGATATTATAGAAACAATTGGTTATTAATTTCTACGGATAGGTATTTATAAATTATAACAAACAAATTTTATTGATTTTAACTTGTGATCAATATAATTTGTCCTCCTATTATTCCTATAGTTGCTAAGCAGTGGCAGATCCAAGGGGGCAATAGAATCCTTTGTCCCCTTTTCAAAAACCGTACTTGTATTGAGTATAGTATGATTTTTTCCTGTATTGTGGTAAATATGTAATATAATTTTCGTTGTTGAAAAATTAAAATCTGTATCCGCCACTGTTACCAATTTTCATATACCTACATTTGTGGGTGAGATTTATCTAAAATTTTAATAAGATATAAGATCATGGCGTGTGCTTAATTACATATTATTATTTATATTCCGTGCCTATAATCATTTTCGATATTATTATTATCATCGATTTGATCACAATTGACTATATGATTATATACCTAGTATATAGTTACCAGCTAATAACATTGGTGTTAACAGACTTCAAATCGAGTTTTAAAAGTTTTAAAAACTGGTTACGTTAAATATCTCCACGCAGTTTAAAATGAATTGTATATGTGTCATCGTTTTAAAAACTATACTTTTTTTTTTTTTTTATATACGAACCGTTTACCGGTGAAAATATTATAACGACAAGTCTGACCGGAATTGTGAGTTTTATTGCGACTCTTCGTTTTGTTAAGAATCGTTAAGAAAATCCATTACGGCATTTAATAATTATAATTATAATACCATAAATACGCAATTATACGAGGAAATAATATCGTGGATTTACGGTGCGGATAATAATTACTTTAGCGGTATGGTGAATTATATTATATCAATAGGTATACGCGTGTTCGGGGGAACAATATTCTTCGGCTGTAATTTACCCAAGCTTTCTCGCGGATACTTTTTTGCGCGATTGTTACGAAGTCGTATTGTGCGTAAACGTTTATAGGCTATAATACATCCTATATATATATATATATCCAATACAGGTATACAGGCTTGTTGATCCTGTTTTGATTGAATTAACAAAAATAACGCCGAAGTCGGTGGACAAAATATCTGATCGCGTTTGGTTCATCGAAAAATAAAATTTGCCGTTTCCGGAGTCGTCACCATCTCTACGATAAGACAGCGAAAGTTTGGCGTTTCCAACTAAATTTCTGTTTTAAAAAAAAAAAAAATTTAACTCACCCCATTCGTTATCTCGGTCCTGCCTACGGCGCACTTTTGGGCCGAGTGAAATTTTCGAAAAAAAAAAAAAAATAAAATAAAATAAACGTCAACGTTTAATAACACACATCCGTAGATTTCAATACGATGGACTGTATCGATATTACCACTAGGTAACGCGATACCGCGTCGTGCACTTTTATTTGTACACGGGATATTGTGATAATAATATACGCGTATGGCCGAGAAAACCGTTTTGTTTTGTTCGGGATACGAACACGACGCGCGGTTCCCACGTACAATTAACGCGTATCAGTACCATCGTAATTTATAATATTGCACCTAACCCATATAACGTACCGTGACAATGGCTTTATCGGGTTTATAACCTCCGTATATACCTACATACAGCTGCAGTATCGTATATGGATGCGGCGGGTCGTAGGGTTACTTCGAAAACCTCATTCCGATAATTTCACTAACGCACCGGCTTTATTTGTGCTTCGCGTGGCACTCGTCATTTCGTTAATTAATTTTTTTAATGTCGACTTTTTTTAAAATTTTTTTTTTTCTCTCCATAATAAGAGACCTTCCCTACTCTCGATTTTTTCGTTTACAATTATTATTACCAGCCCGACACGATAATATTATTATTATCCTACAGTAGCCAAAAAATATAACGTATGTTGCGCAATTATTTTTATAGGAAATTAACGACTGAAGATATTATTTTTAAGTCGAATAAATTATAAGTTATTACCTACCGAAAAAAAAAAACACATCTAAGTAAAAACTTCTTCGTTACACTAGGAATCTAAAATTAAAAACGCGTATTACCTACTATATAGATATTACTAGATATTTTGGCAACATATACAATATAATATTGTGACGCGTGTGACGATAAAAAAAAAAAAAAAAAAAGAAAGAGAGATTTTACCAAAAACAACGTTGTTTAGTATAATAAGCACAACAATTTTATAGGGCACCTTTTTTACGATTGACCGCCATGGCAGAATTTTAATTTCTCGTTTTGAACATTTTTCAGATTTCATTGTGCTTTCCCTTTATATATATTATATTGACGTCATTTCGTAAGGATTAAAACTTGATCCGACTCTCACTTAATAACACTACAAAGTTCATTAATCTTGTGAAGGATATAAAGAACGAATTATTTTTGATACTATATTATTAACGTCAAGCTATAGTAGTACGTATAAGTATTAGGTACCTACCTATCTTAAACAATCTAGTTGTAATCTTTGTATTTTTAATCCGCATTGTCTTCAATAAATTTGCTCGGTGTATCCGTACGCATAGAGATGTAATAGAAATTACTGGTTATTTTTTTTTCTTTTACGTTAAGTTTAGTGTATTTTCAATGTTCTGAACTCGTGTATATTTGTAAACGCCCAATTACCCCGTTAACGTGAATATCCATTTAAAACAATCGTTGTTACAGGGTTAAGAAATTTAAAGAATATTTAATGGTTCATAGGTTGAACTCGTCGCTCACGCGTCTGGTGTTCTAGCTAAAGAGTAAATTATAATTTTATAAATAAAAATACGAACACGAATGCCGGAGTATAAGAATCGGGTAATAAAGTATAAACTATAGTATAAGTACTGTTATTATACGATAAAAACATATTATATTTTGCTTATAGTTTTTCGGGCAAGTATACTTATACCAGATAAATCAATATATTTTTTTTTAAATTAAACGAAATTTTGTCCGAAATATCTATTAATAATTATGTTTACTGCGAATATTGTAAGTGAGTATATGTATCAATAGGAAATTCATCAAATAGAACCGATTCGTTGGAAAATTCGCGCTGAAATCGTTTCATTGTTATTTCAACAGTTTTAATAGGTGTCATTATCATTTCGATACATACAGACATAATAATATATTATAATGCAATATAATACACACGTGCATTTACGATTGCGGTGCGATAATGGGAATATTATCATAGAATACAATATACATTACACCTAATAATATGCATTAATATTGTATTAGTAATTTTGATAATTATCATATTGGTACAAGTATATAAGGTATGCACAAATCAATATGCCTAAACGACACCAATAATAATATTTGAAAATCGCGCCGGAATAACCGCTGCCCGGGATTATCCAATACGGGCGGCGATACGACGATGACGACGACGTGCCATTGAGCATTGCCCGTTGGTACAATAGTAAAATATTATGTATTATTGTACGCGATACCGTCGAATTTATGCGAAATAAAACCGCAGTGACAAAAATTGAATGGCCTATGCGGTTTTGCAGGAACGCCGCTTTCTTCGACGGTTTCAGAGTTCATTTAAATTCTTTAACTAAATTATCCCACGTACACTACGCTGCGCTGTATTACACTACACCGGCGGCGGCTGACAGTAGCATTTCACCGAAAAAATTACTATAATTTTCACGTTTAAAAATTATCATCGTCGTTATTATAATATTATAATATATTTCAACGTTGGGTATATAGGCGTAATACGGTTGTGTTTCATATATTGTACACCTGTACGTCCTAAGTTACACCGTATACGCGGAGATGTATAGGTACGCTTCGTTTGACAGTTCAGTATATTAGTGCATGTATATAAACGAGCTATAATTCGAAAGTCGAATGTTGGTATGCATATGTGTACACAGTATTTTATTATACTGTACATAGTACCTATAGGTTAATAGTTAATGACGTGCATTTACCGAGTTTTGTGTACGAAATAATTAAGTACGAATATAATGTTGCAGGTAGGTACGCCCAACGAAACATCGCGATATTAACATAATATTCTCTAATACTCTTGGAATCGAATTATGGAATTATTATAAAACACGTACGAATTACAAACCGTATAACGGTAGAAATATGTACGATTATTAATCGGTAGAAATGCGCATGTTGGATAGCACGTTGAGATCTATACAGATTATGTCGACGTTAAACTATATAACAGCAGGATCAGTGACGTGGCGAACGAGATTATCTGAGAAGCAATCGCTTATGAGATTTTTCGTAAGATTTGGGAGATGTCTTTATCGTTCGATATCTTCTTTGAATTTATTTTATTAATTATTTTAGTACACTTTTGATATTTTATTAATATTATACCTAAAGATTAAAAAAGCTAATATTTTACTGTTTCCGTGTTGCTGCACGCAATTTAAAAAGAAAAATTACTTAGATCTTTAACATAGGATTGAATAGAGCAAAATGTCTGAGGGGGCCAAAGTAAAAACGATTTCTAAAAAGACTATATGATAGAACGTTTTTGACTGAGACAGTGGGACATGAACATTTTACAAGTTTTTGGGGGCTATTCGTGAAGTGAACAAGCCTTAAGCTCTACATTATTTGTGCCTATATTTAAAAAAATTCAAGGATGTGATTTTTTTGTTCAGCTGTCGAGTATAAGGTGGGGTAGATGATTCGCCAAAATATTTTCTTCTCGGAAATTTAGATTTCGCCGCGTCACTGCCAGCGATGTAAATACGAATTGTGTCGCTAAAAATATTAACGATATAGACAGGTTGTAACTACTTATTATATCGAAGAATATCAACGAATTTATAAACCTGATTTTAAAACACATTTCACGTCGCCGGCGTAAAAATATTGCAGAGGTTAATTACTCTCGCGCAATACAACTATATTTATATACATATTATATGCCATAGCACACAATATGCTGCGCGATTCGACTAAACCAACTAAACGGGTTTTTGTACGTAGGTACCTTTGGTTTATAAATAATTGTAGAAACCGGAAATCTCGAATATTTTTTTTTTTTTTTTTTTTTATATTTATGTGTTATATACATTTCCCGGATAAAACAATATACGCGTTAGAAAAAAAAAAAAAAAAGAAAGAAAAAAAGACGTTTAAAAAAAGAAACTATAATGGTATAGGTATAGGTACTCGTATATATTATAATACACCGCGCAGGTATCTTTTATCCTACATTTCTTTGTTCTGATATGCGTACGTCTGACAGATTCAAATTTATTGTCCGGTTGCTTAACGTCGCGGAGCACTAGTGAAAATACGCCGCCGCGATGGAGGCGAATATTCCGAAATGGATTTTCGTCGGTAAAAACATATATGTACATATATACATACGTACATATATATATATATATATATATGTATATATGTATGTATGTACATATATGTACGCAGAATATAATATTCCGCAGCGTGTAACGTTTGTATTGGTACCGGCTTCGGAGATCGAAATATCGGAGTGCCCCGCAATAATAATAACAATAATAATAAACACGCGTGTGCCTTTTTGCACCTATTTCATAATACGCGTAAAATTCGCTGTGGAATGTTCAAGGCGAACTAATTTATGTATATATAAGTGTACCTATATTATTTGTTGTCACATAATATTATCCCGGTGCGCATGCACCTATACATATATATATATATATATATATGTTATACACGTGCATAGAGGTATATCAAAACAAACACGGGAACGTTGACGCTGTCGGCAGCCGTCTGGATCCATGGCGAATCGTTTAAGGAACATAATATACGGGCACGATAAAGACAACCGATTAAACTGAAAACAAAAGCGCGTTAAATTGTTCGCCGGGCGCGCGCGAGCGCGTGTGTTTTTCCGTTGTCACGATCGATTCGTTCAATCCTATGTCATCGGAATATCGAAGTGGTAGCGTTCGACAAGATTCGCGCGCGCGCGCGCGCGCACGGTCCGTTATTTTTGCAGCATAGGGAAATATATAGTGGCCCAAGCGATTACACACGTGTCCGTAGACAATTTTATGTACGCATTTCTACATAATAATGTACCTTTATAACGTTCGTCATTCCGAGGAGTATAACGTTATAACATGATTCATATAACGTAGGTGCGCGACCGTTTAAGTCTCCGCGAACGACGATGAATATAAACAATTGAATTGGGAATTTCGAAAAGGGCTCATATCTGAAAATTTTTAATTTTCAGAAAAAATTCAAAAACTGATTTCCTTTTTAATTTTGTTTTTTATTTTAGCGATTTTTTTTCCAAAATTACAGACTACTATGTAATTTTATTGAAAAAGTGATTAAGTTTTTCGAGATGAATTCTTTTCAACATTTATACGAGGACAATAGTGGTTTAAAATTGAAAATACCCATATTATTGACTCGAAATAAATATAAACAAATATTTCTCATACATGTCGTTATTTTTTTATGAATCGATTGTACGCAGAAAATGTTCTCCTCGAAATTTAAAAAAAAAAAAAAAAAATTAAGGTTTTATATAATTTAAAATTCTTCTTCGACGTCCAGCTGTAATGATACGTTTGTCGACCACTGCAGAATGCTTTCATAGAAATGTATATAATCTTCTGGTATGTATGCGTCGTAAGTTTTTTCCATAACAATAGAAAACAGACGTGAGCCCTTTTCGCTCATAAAACATCGGACTATATGTGTAAATGAAAAAAAACGTGGACAAATCTATTTTGATAAAAACTCGAGATGGGCCCTTTTTGAAATTCCCAATTCAAGTAATAACGATATGATATTGCGCATTGTGTTGCGACGATCATCGTATTATAGGTTATAATAATCTATTGTAATCATGCGCGGTGGGAAATCGTTTACGCATTGATTGTATACTATTATTATTATAATCAGTAATAATTGCTACTGCAGTACACACCGCGACAAGAACGGTTCATATATACATGTGCATATATATATATATATATATGTATGCACTATTCGAGTAGATTGGGGATAAAACGTAATATTTTTATAGTCAGATAGGTACTTAAAACCTTAACCTTACACCGGCAGCGGGCTGCCCGTATAGAACGATGGAGTAACGTTTCACAATATTTCACACCATTTCGTTGTTCCGCAGTTAATCGTGTGAAAATGACAATTGATTTTCTTTCTCTACGCTATTATAATATTATCGCGGGCAACCTCGTTTCAATAAGTAACCCGTTTATAATTTTTTTTTTTTTTGTGGTGTTCGTTATCATCAATTCAGAGGATAATAATAATATTTACGTTACATAGAAATAATAATGTACAAACACGTACGTATTTCTTCCCAGTTTTTAAATATAATATGTTTTAATATATATATATATATATATATATATATGGTATAGACACATAATACGAGCGGTTATTATTTGCTATACAAATAATATAAAATCGTTCAAGTACAATACATGCACAATAAGAAATCCTTGCCCTAAATATTCGCGTAACAATGCGTATAAGTTTCGGGAACTTTGACCCGTGAAAAATATACTAACTTGTTAAGATATACGTAAAAAAAATATATTGTCAATGAGGATTCGAACCTTCAAATTTAAAAATAAAAAAGGAGGAAAACATGTGATATAATGTATCGAAAAATTATGTTAAAATAATCCCCGCTTTTTTTTTTTTTGATATGGACTTTTAGCCATCATGTACGTTTGCATAAGTCTGTCATATCGAAATGTTACAATAACTTTTTTTTTTTGTTTCGATGCCAAAAATTCAATTAGTATATCATATTATATAGTTGATTATCGTTTTTATAATAATGGCGACTGAAAACTTCTTTAATGTATGTTACATACATTTGATAATAACGAGTGACGACGAAAAAAATGAAAGTGTCTCGATATTTTTCTATACGTTTATTTTTTTGACTGTTTTCCGAAGAGTCGATCATTTAATACTGCAAAAATAGTGTATGAGACTACGACCCGCAGAAATAATAGAATCGGAAAGGAAAAGAAAAGTGACTAGGTCTTCAACGCATGGCAAGACAATTACGCGAGTACCAAGTCCAAAATAATTACAATCGGCGTATTAGGTTGTATTGAATGAAAATAATTACAACGGGATTCTTCGATTTTTTTATTTTTTTTTTTTTATCTCTATCTAAATTAACAACATAGCCGGTATTTAATCGAAAAAAATAAAACTAACGTTAAATTATTTCATTCTTATTATTGGACACGATTATTTCTTCTAATAAAACATCTCTTTAATAAATAAGAGTGATGTTATATGATATGATGTTATAATATGTGTAGGTATCTATAAATATTATTAAACTACAGAAGAAAAAATGTGTTTAAAAAAGGAAAAGCTACGAAAAAAACTCTCTAAAAATACTTAAATTTATTAAAAATGGTAGAGAGGTTTTAAAAATACCCATTAACACTTCAAAAATGAGTAACATAAAGTATTATTTTTTTTCAAAATACGTGCAATTTTCAAAATAAATTATTTTGTTGTAATCATTTTTGTAGTGTTAGAAAATTGTACTTAATAAATAAGACATATTGGAAGTTAGGGGAGGGGCAGATTTTTAAACCCCCTCTTTGTTTTTATAATTATTTTTATAGTGCTTTTTTCGTAGATTTTCGATGTTTTTACATGATTTTTATGTGGATTTAAGTGCATAGAAATCCATTCTCTAATTATAATTTATAACAATTCGTTTTATTGTTATATTATTGTAGGTACATAAACTATTTAAAAGTAACGATTTCAATCCATATAGTGATTTTAATTGTCTGTAAATAAAATTATTTGTACGCATTGTGTTTTTTTCTTTTATTCACGAATCGGTTGTTCGTTATTATTTCTCAATCAGCTTTTAGTGTAATATAAAATTTGTTTTTTAATATGGAAAACTATAGACGGTTGTCAAATTTCGGTTTTCAAATTTGGTATTTGAATCAAGCTTTAGATATACCTAGGGGTTAGATTGACAGGGTAACGAAGTGAACTTTTCATGTAGTACCTACAATTTCACTAATTCAAACTTCAATGGGGGAAAATATAAATTTGATTTTGATTTTTTCGTAGAAATGTATTACCTTACAATAACAAGTCAAATTTGGTGATGGTTTAAAAATAATTTATGATAAATATAATCACAAGCCCTAGTGATATTGTGTGTATTAGTAGGTATATTAAGTATAGAATTTATATAATTTCAATTTTGTACAATTCAATTATTAGTAAATTTAATTCTTGGTTAATTATTTTTAGATTTGTTCATAAAAATAATTTCTTAATTTGACAAATACGATTCACGTTATTTATATAACTATTATCTATCAAATATTATAGTATAATTGGCTAATGTGATTGATGTGGAAATATTGAAAATCAAAAGAAACACTTGGTTATAAAATAAATAAAATCGAATTAAATTTCGTGTTATCGACTACTGCTGCAGTTAAAGCAGGTTTTGAATATATAATTACGATAACAATGCAATTATTCGAGCATTGATTTTACGTTCGTAAAATAGATTAGACCCTTTAGAGTGAAAACAGTCATATTTTTTACCTTAGCAATAATTTATAAACAAATTTTTGTAACGAAGCGTGCGTGAATTAGCTAGGCAGAGATATATCAAAAACCGATAATTTAAACCACTTCCCTAGGAAGCGAATTTTTATATATGTATATGAAAAAAAAAAGAATGAAATTAAATAAGATATCTTGGATTCCAGTTTGTTTTCTAAAACTCGATCCAAAATAATGAGTGAAGGTGTTGTGTTATAGGTAACTGGCAAAAAAAAAAAAAAACAAAAAACAAACATTAACTATTATACAAATAATATACCGAGACAGTTACAAATCTCAAATCAATTGGTTCTTTTTTTTTATTATTATTTATTTGTAGTACTTATATAGGAAATATAATAATAAGTTTTAAGAAAAAAAAATAGATAATCTTTAAATTTAAAACGCATAATATATATGTAAAAAAAAAAATTATTTGTATAAGTATCAATAATATCATATAATGACTCGTGAAAAATATAATTTATTTGAATAAAGAATTGCATAGGTAATATAAATAAAAAATGTAAAAAAGTATTGTAAAAAATGAAAATAAAATTTGAGAGATATGTATTAAATTATATACATGCAAGTAATAATTCGTCGTAATCCGTAGGGTATGTCAAATAATTGACAGTTTACATTGATTAAAGTCTGTTAATTTACATATCGTGTGTATATCCTTGGTCTTCGGAGATTTGAAAATGTGATATATTGTTGAAAATCGTCAAATCCTTTTACATACACCCTATATTATATATAGTTGCTTGGTGAATGATGCTGTTTTATACTGTCTGATTGTTGCGATATAATAGCGATGTACGAGTGTCATAGTGTATAAGTATACACAGCATCCCTTCTAACGTCACGACTATATGTTTTGTGGGACCGACAATGATAGATAATTGTTATTATCCGGGGTCCCAAAAGTATTACTCCTTGTAGTAATCCATTTAAAGTTGCGAAACTGATCCCTTTTTAATTTACATTGTGTACAATAGGCGACGTATAATTCCGTTAAATAATATAAAGAACAAACTTTACCCAACACATATTTCGTGGATAAACAAACTTTGTTTAGTCATATAAATTATAGGTGCGTACTTGTAATAGGTATAGGTATACCCACAATAACTATGTAGGTCCTATATAGTTTTTATATTATTGTTTCTTTGGTTTATATTTTTTTGTGACACGTTCGAATTTATTCTTCTCATTTCACTTTCTCATCCATGATAAAAATATCGTTGTACTATTACTACTATATGTAGTTCAGAAAGCGGGTTTGATGATGTATTGATTAGGTACACCAATACGACCAATAACGATCTACCAAAAATAATTGAGTTATGTAAAATGATGTCATTATTATAGTATACAACTACTATATATTGAAAACGACTGGCAATGTCCATATTGCGAATTTTCACCATAATAAAACCGCACCAGCTAGCATATCCCATATTTTCATCACCGACGCTCATAATTTATTACCTAAAATTTCTATACCTATACTATATAGGTACGCATTAGCAATACACCAAAGTATATTTTGTTTGTTCCAGTGAACGCTAATACGGATTCGAAATGATAATATTTTTCTCGGTCTAGCATGACACCGGCGTAGCAGTGGTAGGCTCCCGGGTCTAGGTCAGTTTGTGTCGATAATTTTTTTCTTATTTCTTTTTTATAATTATAATAGTTACATTATTCCCCATCAAACCACCAAGGATCACTAGCGGTACCCTCTACACGGCGCATACATTATTTTATTGCAATAAAATTAACTCTGACCGTGACACGGAAAAGCATGTAGAGAACTCGATGGTGCAGCGGCGGTGGCCGCAGCTGCCGGTTGCGACAGTCACGTTTCAAACACTGCGGAGTCGAGAGGTCGCGCGAAAGACTCAAAGCACACGAGATCGGCCGTTATAATGTATAGGGTTTTTAAAACGGATCGAAACAAATCGAAGTGTTTGCAGTAAAAATAGGAAAGCAAAATATCGTACCAACAGTAATTATACATACATATATGCATATAGCGCCGTATAATATACCCGCTGTACGTTCGTGACTTAAACTACTTGTTTTCCGTACGGTGCACCTACAGTAAAGCTATCCGATAGTGCATACGACTACCTATGCAGGTGCAAGTGCAACGACTATTATATCAATGAATCATTCGCGGACTGTATAATTATAATCAACATATTTTATCGTAATACTATTTGTTTGTGTACCCATATTTGAAATAAATAACTCCGTTAGAATATTATTATATATATATATACGTATATACGTATACAAACATGATATATTTTCTCCGATAAACCTATTTTTTCAATGATATACCGATAATATATTAACAAAATAAAAATCGTATAATATGTGATATTGTATTATGGAAATTTAGATTAGACACGAGATACGATCTGTACATATATATATATATATATATATTATAATATAGTGTCATTTCGAATAAATAAGAAAAAAAAGAAAAAAAGAATTGGCTATCAAAACAAATCCGGCGGTCTTCGGTTTTCACTTTACGTTTCTATTTAAATTCTACACGCGACGAAATCGCGGCCATTTCGTTAAGATATACCTATACAATATATAATATTAGACATAGTATGTTTTTGACAATAATTAAAAACTACCTATACGTTGGAATAACGTTAACCGAAGAAAATCGTATATTGTGTACCGCGTTGTATTATTATATTTGAAAATTGACGGAAAAAAAGACAGAATTTAAGAAAAGTGATGCAATGTACATTTTCGCGAAATTGCGTGGTGACTTTAACGAACGGTGTTTCTTTGAGGTGGGATATTATTTTATCACGGGGAGATCGACATCATTTTTTTCAACAAACGTATTAAAATAAAAACAAATAAAGTTATAATTGTTTTTGTTATTCATTTTACCTGTCCGTTTCTTGACCCTGGTGCCGGCGTACATGGTGGAATTTTCCATATTGGTGTGTGACAAGACTATGGTCGATTGTACTGGAGCAGGCGTGAAATGCAGCGCCGTGGCCAACAGGACCAAATACCACACGTGGTAATGGTACATTTTTGAATGCGTAGTTACTCGAATGGTATAAATAACGGGCGCGACGAAAGCGAGGGAAAAAAAAAGAAAAACCGTGGCAGTCGTCTACGTTTCAGGCGATGTGACGGCGTCGCAGGTACGCATAAATAACAATAATAATAATATGACACTGTGTTTATAAAATAGGTGCTGTTTAGAAAAAAAAAAAAATTGCTATTAATATTATGATTTTTTTTTTTTTTTTGTCTACTATTACATTAATGTCACAGTGTGAAAACAAACAAACAAACAAAGAATCCTCGATTTTGAATTTTTTTTTTCCAATCGACAAAGTATAAACCGATAACGGCGGTGCGCGATACACGGCGACCGGACTCGGAACCGTTCGACTCGTGAATAAAAAGCAGCGGGTCCTCGTGTCGGACCAACGCTCGCGAATGGACTGAATTTCTTGTCGGTTGCGAATAATTGAGTAGGTATATACTACTCTCTTTTAACGACCTCACCACCACCACACGCGGCGTAGCAGCGCTTCGGTCATATTATACCGCCGCCGCCGCCGCCGTGTCGTAGTCTTCGCCTTTCCATTTCTTCGTCATCGCCTCCGCCGTCCGCCGTCGTCTTTCCGTTTATTACAACGATTTTTTTTTTTTCGTTTATACTTTACTACTGCAGTATATAGGTGTACTAGGTTATAATAATAATAATAATAATACAGGTACACACGTTACATATTGTAGAACTGTAACATATTTATTATTTATATATTAGTGTTATAATATATACACGTATATATTCGAAAAGTGAGTGATACATAATAATGATATTATACGATTGAAGTACATTATACAGATAGATATTTGTACACTAGAAATGTCTCGCGATCGTCAAAAAACCCATTGGCCTCCAAAAAAAAAAAAAAAAAAAACATTAGATATAACGCGATATCGAGTTATATCTAAATCTTATCTGTGTAATATCGAGAAAGTAAATTAAGTACTTATATCTACCTACCTACGCATGTGTAGGTAACAGCTATTTAAATATTTATAGTGTCCCAAGAAGACTTTTAGGCACCTGCTATTATATTATATCTATACGTGTTCTATAATTGTAACCTATTGTGTTGAAATATCATTTTGGTCTCAATAAAGATTTATTTAATATGATGTTTGTTTCAATGAGGTAATCCGCAGTATATTATAGCAAAGTGACTTATATTCAAATAAAATGTTAAAAACAATTTCTTTCTTGTTGTGATTTGACACTTTAAATATCGTTTAGAACGCATGTGTATTACTCATATATTCGATTATTGGATATTGTAGTTACATGGGCGCAATTTAGATTAAAAATCTGGGAGTGTTAAAGTTCAAAGAAAAAAAACACTAATTCACTAATTCGTGGGGGATATGCTCCACATGCCCTATTCGTCTACACCTAATAACAATTAGTGCTGTACAAATAAATTTAAAAATAATTAGTTACAGATTTAAAACACAACCATTTCCGTGTTAATGGTATGGTAGGTTAGGTATTGTTACATAATATATTATATGTATGTATAAGTTATGCTCTTAAGAAAAGTTCGCGACCGGAGTTAGTTAACTACGAGTATATCAATTATTTTGGCTATAAAATATCCTTTTGCATTACAAATAGTACGGACTTAAACAGCTATTAATATACAAATAGATGAAATTGTAGACCTGGGTTTAGAATAGGACCTACAGTAATTCTTGCTTATTGTAAGAGACAATTTGCATAGATGTATTTCTAGACCAAGAATACAATTTAGACTGCTTCTCGCTCTCAAGTTCAAACTCTAAATCTAATTATCTTTGTTGATCTATGGGTTACTTTGGTGATATAAATTAAATAGTAAAAAAAAAAAGTTTAAAACGCACAAAACAAAAAAATTAATATTAAAATTTTAATATGATTTCTTTTGGCACTGGTAACGACGGGTTGGACAGCAATAGTGTATAATATATATAATACAATTTTAATACAAATCGAAAGTCCGTTAAAAAGTTTCATCTTAAGAATATATTTTTTATATTTAAGATTACCTTAATATACTATCAATTACAGCTGCGAGTTTATCATAATTTATTATATAGATATAGGTTTTTTTCTTTTTTATGAAGGTGTACAACACCTATGTAGTATAATACTATACTCGTATTAAATTCAACGATTTTCTAGTATCCTACATTATAATATTATAATAATGACACATAAAATAGAAATAAATTAGATTTGACCTTCGATGACTTTAGATAATTCAATACCTATAGTATGTGTTATTATATTATACTTATACTGCAGCATAATATACTCTTAATATTGCCGTTATATATTTTAATAATCGTCTCTGGCAATGCCATACTCGTTTAGTCCATTAGATAATTTACTAGAGCATAAAGTCAGCGTCCACACCATACGTACCAATATGTATATGCTCGTATCGTAAATGCAAGTACGCATATTGTATATGTATAGGTGTACGTATGCAATGCGTTTTGTAACCATCCAAGGTGCGTGGGAATATGCGTGCACGAATGTGTCCCGTTTGTTTGTATATTTTTCTATATCGGCTGATAACGATTGTTATATTATATAAAATATTATACCACGGTAGTAGATAGTTGAGTGGTGATTTAGTAGCGCCAAACGGATTCTGAGAACAGCGAGGAATGTATTGGGTTTTACTGTGATGTGTGCTTTTTTATTCATGTTTATTCATGTTTTCTGTCTGTGAACAACTTTTCTATCGGAAATCTGGCTTCGATCAAAATGTAGGTTTAGCATATTTTCTGTAAGCTAATTTTGTCTAGTTGGTACAGTAAGAATGTGATTTTTTTTTTTTATTTTCCGTATAGTTTTCTAAATAATTGAGGGACAAACGGAAAAATGTTTACATTAACGATTTCTGTTATTTTTGATTTTGTTGTAATTCGGTTAAAAAGAATCTTAGAGATCTGAAACTTTTATGTAACACTTATTTTAGCCCTTCTTAGACGCGGTAACATTTTCAAAACATTTATAGGCATTAGGTGCATACAGACACGTTGATCTGTTTCTGTGTGTAAATTTTCAGACCTCTACGTGTGATTGATTTGGCCGTACACAGATAAACAAACAGACCTTTATTATTCAAGTCCTTTTTTAAAATATGGAGTACTACAAAAATGAATCGGTTTTCGTTTGTTCCAAATGTTAATAATTTTAGAGTAAAACACGAAGTTGTCGATTTTATTAAGACGATGCAAATTCGTCAGAATTATTAAAAAGATGGAATAATTTAATTTCTTAAGATATTTACATGAACCAAGTGTATTTATCACTGAAAGAACTGATGTAATGTTCTTTATTTTCTGAGAAGTTGTGTCTAAAATATTGTGACATTTGAACAATGAATAATATCTATCGACGAGGTATTTAACAATAATAAAAAAAAATAATTTTAATTGGTCACGTCCAAATACATCGGTGTGCTTATGTTTGCCTATACGTCAATAATCTTTTATTTATTTAAAAACGTGGTATTGTAAAACGTTCAATAAACGTTTCCAGTGGTGGAGCCAAGGTTGGGGGGGGGTTGAAATATTGTAACCCACCCTCACTCATTGATATTTTTTAACTACAGGTTAGGTTAAGACGGCTGTAGATCAATATAATATTAACCTCTAAACCCTCTCCCATTAATAAATCCTGGATACGCTACTAAACGTTGGTAACTATTTGCGTTATTTTAATCGTATTTCTAGCTACAGTAATTATATCGTTATGAAATAGTATCAACGTAGAAAAAGAAATACAAAAAATATTTAAAACATAGTTCCGACAAAATATAGCCAAAGACATGTTTAATCGATATATATCAAAATCAAGAATAGTAATTCGTTTCAATAATATTCTATTCGGATTCAATTTTTTTTTCTCCGTTGGCACTATTTTATAGTAGTATAATTAGAAAGGTTATATTCTTTCCGATAGTAAAATTCTTACAAAATGTCTTCCAACATTTTACGATTTCTAAAATATATGGCTCAAAGCATATACATAGGTAATATTATTATTTATTCAACTATTCTAATGCATGTTTATACGTATTGAAATAATCCTATTTGCATGCAAAACTGTGTTTATTCGATGGAGTAGGTATACCTATGCGAGGGAAAATTGCTGTCCAAGTCGGACATGTTTGTAATCGCAATTTGCATGTATAAGAGAAATTAGTACCTAGTGGTGGTACTTCCCGTTTGATTTATACTCGGTATAATGTATATCACAATCTAATCGATCACGTTTTTGCATTTAAACGTTTTAATTTTATCATTTCAAATATTGTAATTATTGTGTATACGTTGCATACAAATTATCTATTTAAAAACACGACGGATGGGATTATCGATTATTTTATTGTAGTCTATAGGGTACACAGTTTCATACACTTTTTTTAAGGTCCCGTAGACAAAACACTTAAACGGACTTTTATAATTTCGTCATATCCGCCCGTCCGTAATTTATCACAAGCATAAAACTTCACAAAATTTTTCCACCGATTTTGATGAAATTCAACAGGGAGGCGTATAATGTAAACTGCCATACAATTTCATTATTAAAAATTCCAAAAAAAAAAAAAACATTTAAGGGAAGTTGTGTAATTTTCAATTGATAAAACAGAGGGATGGAAAATTAATTTTCACGCGCCCAATCGTGTGAAGCGGCATTGAAAGAGTCTTTATAAATGCAATGATGGTTTTTGTGTAACGAGTTTTTTCATAGATAAATATTTCATGATATACGCATAAGCTCCTTAAGTGACCGATGTTTGATTGCTGTCTTTGATTGTGTACAAAATAGAAATAAAAAAATGTATACCTAGTAAACGACACAGTTTAACATATCTCTAGATTGAGGCTTGTCCGGAATGAGTGTAAGTAACAAACTACCCTGTCCAAATGAAATTGGACTAGATACTAGTAAAAATCTGCTATGGATTTTATTTTTTGAAAAAGTTACACGGTTTTTTGTCTTTCTAGTAAAGTAGCTGTAGTATTTGTCTACAGTCGTTTCTCTCAAAAACTGCGTAACTATTGGCGTGTACCTAAACTATAAATTCTTAAGCGACAAGACACCCGTAGGTAGGTTCGGAGTTGAATACATATTATTGAAAATATTGTGGTTCGTATTTCTTATATTAAAATTAAATGTTAATTCGTTTTCGGCAAATGGTGATTACCGAATCATTTAACGTGCATGCTAGGTACCTGTGCGTGCGCAGCTATTTGATAAATAATATACGGTATACACGTATAAAAAAGCGAAAGTGGAAGAGCACTTTCGTAAATGGTCTATTTGATCAATTAATTAAAATATAAATACCGATACATTTTTACCGGGCAGGTACGTCCGACTGCAGTTT